ATACAGTATTATTAATTACAAAAACCAAAAGGCGCTTTCAGTAAAGTAGGCCAAATAAAATTTTGTTATAAAAATGCTAGTCAGATTCTTTTTTAATGTCCTTTAAAACTCTGGAATATGAATTTCTATTAAAATCCAAAATTTCTAATTTGAATACTTGATTTCCTTAAAGGATTTTTTTTCCCGGCCTATAACTAAAGTATTCATAACTTTTCAAGAGTTTCGCCAAATTCCACGATAGTACAACCGTTGGAAAGCTGAATTACTTTTTTCTGGCCCACATCAATAACTTTTATATTTCATTCATTTTTAAGTTAGAAATTAAAAAAAATTCTTAATTGTTTTTATTTTATATCTTCGGTTCTAATTTGTTAATGGAGGTCGGTTTTGTACCATTTTGTGTACCATATACAGCCCTAAACCTCTATAAATACATGTGAATTAGTGGAGACATTCTGCAGTTATCACAATTATTGGTGTCGTTGATAAAATTTCAAGGGTCCAGCCTAGGCAAGTATTTTTAATTTTTTTTATAGAATTTCGTGTGTAAGGGTTTTCAAGTCGCGAAAAACGAACATTATCTTTGTTTTCCCCTAATAAAATCTTTACGCTAGATAAAGGCGCAGACTTTTCAATCTAGTTAAAAGGGGATATTGTGTATAAAAATAATAAGTGGCAATTAACATAAAAAGCTTAATTATTAGAAAATGAACAATATAATAGTATATAAGAAAAAATGTATACATATATTTTTATATATATGTGTGTGTGTTTATACAATACATTAGTTGTTGTTGTTTTTTTTTGCGTATGGGGTATAGGTATATTTGAATTTATGTTAATAAAGTAATTAATTATATTACATATTTTTATTTTTATTTAAAGGATTGAGGCAATGAGATGAACTCTAAATTCTCCGATAATTCAAATTTGCCACGGAATATGTGATAAAATCTTCATGTAAAAATGGAAGGGTGCACATGAATAATTTATAAAATTCTAGGATTCGTTGCTACATATAAATATCTTTGAATATAAACTAAAACTTCAATAACAGGGATATAGGAAGTTGTAAAATACTTGCGCACCTACTTCTGGCTCTTAGCTTAGCCATCTAATCGACTTTTCTATTTACTTAATTGATTTTAGTTCAGATATTTTATTCATTCATGTAAATTAATTTTTATAAATTCCTATTTTATTTTGTTCTTCGAAATATTGAGAGAGGGGGGGAACGATATTCTCGTCCCCTATCTACTTTTATTGGGGGGGAGGCGGTCGCTCCCTCCCCTCTAAAGTCTGTGCCTATGATTCTCCAATACAAGACCGGTTTAGAAAAAATATATTATGCAAATAGCTACAATTTGGATATAGTTTTTTGCACCTCCAAATCCTTAAATAAGAATTTATATCAAATGAAAAATTTAAATTTTTGCTAAGCATTTTTAAGTTTGATGATTTAAATTATTCAGTGAGATCCCATGAGTGATTTTAAACAATTTGAGCTCAAAATACTGACAAAATTTTGTTTAATATGAGATTTATCTATACATTAAAAGACAATTTGACAATTATTTTGAGCGAATGACTGAGACATTTTTTAAATTTCATCGCTTAGATCATTCAATGGTATCCCTTGAGTGTCTAAAACAATATGAGCTACAATTATAAATATCTAACAAATTATGAAATGGAGTGGTTAGCTCAGTGGTAGGGTACTTATCTTCCAATGCCCAAAGGTCTCGGGTTCGAATCTCGGCTCATGGCAGAAAAAATATGTATTCTGTTTCATCAGGCGTATCAGGTTAGTGATAAGCTGGTATCAGGAGATCCATCTGGGACAAACGCAGCCTCTTTAAAGTGGGTACCCTTAATTAAAATAATTGATCAAGGTGGAAAATCTGACGGTTGAGTGTGATCTCAGTCAAATCACCTCCTTGCACAACTGTTGACTAAGGAACAGTACTTCCCCTAAATAGTACTGAAACCAAGCCCCTTCATGGGTTGCATTTTAACAAATTATTATATTGACGTATGGACTTCTGGGGCTGAAGTTTTTTTTACAAAATTAAATATTAATTGTCATGCAAAGAAAGAAAACATCGATTTGTTTCTCTTGACGTGGCTTTGATGGGAATTAAGAAAAGGGTTAGAAAACGTTCGGACTGTAAATACAAGCAAAAACAAAAACCATATAATCCATTTAATCAACTTTATATTGAGGCGCCAAGAGATAATCTGCGCGCGCAACTTCAGTCATCTAAACACCGGCCTTTCCATTCCCTGTTATGTTGTAGATTGTTGTAGTTTTAGTCGAAATGTATTATATTAGTTGCGTTAAATGTTTTATTTGCTGTTTTATTGAACTAGTTGCAGCATACCCCACAAGTTAGGATATATGGCATGTATTTGGATTTTTAAATATAGTACAATGACTACCCCATTTGGATACTTGTTTTATGTTTACTGACGCGAAATGATTTATTTTTAGGTCCTAACATTTTCAAGGAACCCAAAGAAGTATCGAGAAGTAACTGCCTAGCGATAATTTGTGAATATTTAAAAAGTTTTTTTTCTGCAATAAAGTTAATTCGCTCAATGAAAAAGTCACTAAACCAATCAACCTTTCTATGCGGTTATAAATGATTATTTTTAGATAAAAAGATAAGCGAATTCTCATTCCTTATTCAGACTTATAACTTTAATGATGTTATCATTCATGAATTTATAAACAATAATAGTTTTAAATATATTAATGTTAAGTAGACTACTAACTTTCACAGTATTAATTGTGTTTTAACAATAATTTTCTTTTCTTATTTCAAAAAACAATTAAACAAATGTTTTAAAGCTTTAGAATTTTCTACTGAATCTGTTACTCGAAAAGTTGTATTAATCAGAAGTGTCAACTATGTTTGTTATAACTTTTTTAAATCATATTCTTCATATCAATTATTATTTTGACTTTGAATTATACTGTAATATTTTCCAGTTTCTATGACTTTCTAATGCTTTTCATCCTTGAATTCAAGCACTAAGCAATCCAGATTCTTATTTTTATATTGTGATCCCACCTTTTTTTTTTAAATATATTTTGCCATTTTCAGTTTTAAGTTCTGTTATAAGTCATTATGGTTGGAATGCATTCCTCTCAAATTGATTCTCAAGTATCTTCAAAAAATGATTGCCATCAGAGGACAGCAACTGAAGTCAGTGGTAATAAGGAGGAAAGCAGAACCAATCTCATTGTAAATTATTTACCTCAGTCGATGTCTGAAGATGAAATTAGATCTCGTTTTTCCTCTATTGGAGAGGTAGAAAGTTGTAAACTTATGAAACATAAAGTTACTGGCCAGAGTTTGGGCTATGCCTTTGTTAATTATCGTAGACCAATGGATGCAATAAAAGCCATTAACATGTTAAATGGACTCTCTTTAGAAAATAAAACTATTAAAGTTTCATTTGCTCGTCCAAGTAGTGAAGCTATAGTTGGTGCGAATCTCTACATTTGCGGTTTACCAAAGATGTACACCCTAAAAGACTTAGAAGATCTATTTAGTCCTATAGGAAAGATAATATCTTCTAAAATTCTTCAAGGGAACATGGCTCAGCCGACTGGAAGTAATTCATCTAATAATGTCCTTTGTATGTCGAGGGGAATAGGTTTCATTAGATACAGTTTAAGGACTGAAGCAGAAAAAGCCATTAAGGTACTCAATGGCACTATTCCTAAAGGTTGTACTGAACCCATTTCAGTCAAATTTGCCCATAACCCTGCAAACAGTATTAATGTTTTTCCTCCAGTACCTCCTCGTATGGTTGTAGGTGTTCCAAATCGCCTTGGTTTAACCCCTTCTAACATGATTCCACCTTCAAGCATGCCACCACACATAAGTAATCACCTTCTTGTGCGCCCTAAGCATCCGTCTGTTGGTAATTTTAGATTCAATCCAATGTCTGTAGATTATCAAGTGAATGCTGTTTTTCCTGGAAGTATGAAAAATGGTTTAGGGTGGAATATTTTTGTGTTTAATCTACCACCTGAAACACAAGAAAATGTTCTCTGGCAATTATTTGGGCCCTTTGGTGCTGTTCAAAGTGTCAAAGTAATTGTGGATTTGCAAACAAACAAATGTAAAGGGTATGGTTTTGTAACAATGTCTAACCGAGATGAAGCTGAAACTGCTGTTCGGTCATTGAATGGATTTTCATTAGGTAATCGTGTTTTACAAGTATCATTTAAAACTAACAAAAGTAAAAATTAATAAGCACATTTATTTAACTTCAAACATTAAGTCAAAAAGATATATTTTATTTATGACTTTCCTTGTTAATTTAGTTGTTAAAAGAGTTATTCATTTATTCAAAATGTTTATTTGTTTTAAAGAAGATTTTTTATTTTAAAATTTATTATTTATGGTATTTTGTCAAATTTAGATTTTAAATGAGTTTTACTTAACAAGGATCAAATGTCTGTCCAAAAAATAAATAAATACATTCAATATAAGTCATATTTCTTTCATTAATCTTAATGAAACAATTTTAACTTATTAGGCATTTATTACGTCACTAGTTAATACATCAATGAACATAGATAGATAAATTAAAACTAATGGCATATTTATTATTATTATTAAGTCTTATAGGACATATATTTCTTGTACTACAATTTTGATACAATATAAGCATATACAAACATTATTTCAACAAATTTTTGATAAATCATTATAACATACTGTTTTCTTTGTAAATGTTAGATGATTCAAAATGTTTAGCATACATTATTGTCGTAATTTGTCTGTATTGTTGTATGGGTATAGCTTCTAGAAGTAATATGAACATAGATGTAGATTAAAAAAAAATATTCAAGATGCAATCATATATTTAGGTTTATTTAATTCTTAAACATTTAATCAATTCTATAATAATAAAGCTTCTGAAATTTGTAAGAACAAAAATATATATGTGTGTAGTAGTTAAAAAATAAAACAAAAATATAGAGATGGACAGTGTGAACTGAGCGATGTTGAACAACGAGATCTTCGACCTGGCTATGATTACTTGCACGATAAAGAGGATTTTTGGATGTTCACGTGGGATTTTGGAGCTCCGGGATGTTATATGCCACCACCTCCTGGAAAGCCACCACTTCTTTCTGAGCCACACTATCCAGGTAATTAAAATTTGCAACTCTTTAATTAGATATTTTGAAAAATAAATACTTCTTAAAAGTAAGATAGTTTAAAAATTAAAGTGAAGAAAAATCCCATATAAATAGTAAATTTGTTTTCGAATACAGGAGATCGAGGCGTAGAAGATACATGGGCCAGGTTTACAGTGAATGGGATTCCCTGCCGTGCTGGCACTGTTTGTTCTCAGAACCATGACATTGGAGTTTGGACTTGTCCTATTGATAATGGAGATTGGGATTATTGCTGCAAATCAGGTCATCAATGTGGATATTCGGATGGCTTCAATTATCCATGGTATGTGCTTCTCTTAATTATTTCTAATTTAATTTATGGATACTTGAAGTCATTGAAGGAGGGAGGAAATCTAGTTCTTGAATTCCTATGTTGAACAATCTTGTATTTGTAAAACAAATTTTCTCTTTATAGAATATTTGTGGAAATCTTGATTTAACTTTCTACCTCCTTGGGCATAACCAGTTAAAAACAGAGGATTCTTTTATGAATTAAATTTCTTTCATGTTGAGGGTGTCAATAAATTTTTCAGAAATTCATTGTTTACACTTCTTACAATTTCATTTTTAATTTTTTCTATAATGTAATCAGGTGAAGGGCAGCTCCCCCACTTTCTTCTCTGACTCCGCTAATAGTTTCTAACTCCATTCCTAGTGCTGTGAAGGTTTCTTATTTACATTTTAAACAATATTTTTATCAATTTGCTTAATTTATTTTATATAATTCATAGTTAAGGTAGTCCAGCGAAACAGCATTAACCAGAGATTGAAAAATCTTAAGATAAATGATGGGAACTAAAGCATCTCTTTAATTTTCATTGAAAATAGAGATTAACATGTTGATGTTGGTCGACCTAATGTTTTGAAACTGGTTTTTAATACAATAATGTAATCAAAGAGAAAAAAAAATGTTATTCATTTTTCCTTGTGGTTTATTTGAAGAAATTAAATTCATAGTAATGGTTTCTTTTGATCACTAACATTTTCAATGCTCAGATAATTTACTTGTTGTCCCCGGCTCTGGTATTAATTTTCTGTCATATATCTTGTACGGATAGACCATTAAATAAATATCAAAAATTTCTTGGAGTGGTTTTCAGGCTTTTTCCAACATTGCTAGGATGTTAGATTATCTGTCTCCTCATAGTATACCTGTTTATGTATGTCTTGACAATGAAATTTCTTTGTAGAACATCATTCTGATTGTTTGTTTAAGACATCGAAGTTTCCTTCATCTGTGAATAACACCCTTCAACAGTACATTTTATTTTTTGTTTGTTATAATCATACATATATATATATATATATATATATATATATATATTTTTTTTTTTTTATTCATTGCCCAACAATCACCTCATAACTTTTTTTCTATTCTCCTGTAGTAACCCCAGAACGTATTTGATATATATTTTATACTTACATAAATAGAAATGTATACCAATACTTTCATTGATTTCCAGTCTAAGCTAATGTTTAGTACTTATTATTCTTATTATCTCCTAACAGGTGCTATGTTGGAAGTTCAGATCGAGAACAGTGGCGCCCCTGTAGTGATACATACTCACCATATGCCCATTCAGGAAGAAAAGCTCATTGGCCCGTCGCTTACCTTCATAGGGAAGGACCTCCGAACATCACTGTGAACCACCGACCATCAATTGTGGAATCTTTCCTTAGATCTTTAGAAAAGTCTGGATTTAGCTCTCCAAAAACAGCAGGTGATGGTAGCCCTAAACCTCGTGATGCAGGAGGTGTAACCAATGAAGATTCAGCTATGGAGAAGCTATTAAAGTGGGGTAAGACAGCATTACAAAACCTTACTTCTTCTACTATCGAACTGCAAGCCACTGCTATGACACCTTTAACAACTGCTCAGCTGCCTCTTGACTCTAGTACTACTGCTCTGCCAACAACTGAAACTAGTAGTTCAGAAACTACAGCTTCTACGACATCATGATGTGTTGTATAAATGAGTTGTACAAAAGAAAATGTGTATATGTATTTATTATTTCTAAAGTTTATTGACTTTCAAAAGTCATTCCTTTTTTTTGTTTTGTTTTTTACGAATTTACCAAATGAATAAGATATTAGTTAAGATTTGCTTCAGTTATTTTATTTTTTTCCTTGTTACAGGGCTTTTATTTCTTTCATCATTCATGGACCTTAGATTAAGGTTGTGATCATTAATATAATAACAATTACTTTTATACATTTGTAAATATCAGTACATATATGGCATATGTACTACTTTAAAAGAATTAATAACAGCTTTAAATATTTGTTATTGTTAGTTTGTCCAAACTGAGTGAAATTGATTGGTTACTTACTCTCTTTGTAAAAATGATGTAAATGTTGTGATCTCTTTGCTTTAGGTTTATCTGTAATTGTATTATTTTTATTTTTTTTGGTTTTAGATGTTACCTATAAGGTTTTACTTACATAGTATTAATACTGTGAAATTTTAAGTTCCTTTTTTTTTTTTTTTTGGTCTAATTTTTATCTATACTAGATTTCTTATACTAATAGGTATATGTATATTTAAAAAAAAATGCAAACAACTGTTTAACAAAGAGGAAAAGATTGATTTAAAAGGAATCAGTTATAGAAATGATGCAACTATTGTGATGATAGTATTATTTTGTTCATTTAATTTCATTATTATCATTACAGGTAAATGTTCATATGAAGAAAATATACAAATAAATGTAAAAATATGTACAAAATAAATTATGAATAGTTAATTTGTTATTGTCTATCCCTCAGTGTGCTTCTCCTTTCTTGCCTGTAACTCTTTTAAAATCACTCATATTAGTTGTGATTATAGGTGATCCAATGAGTTGCAAATAGTCTATCTGAGTAGTATCTGTTCCTCCTTGGTTAGACTGAACAAATATTTGAATATTTTGAACACTCTGGAACTTGACAAAGCGCAATGCTACTGGATTGCCTTCTAAATCTTCAGGAGTTAATCTAGAAAGTTTTTAAAAATATATTTGTAACACATAAATTGAAGAAGTTAGAAAAAATTAATTAAACTACAAATAATGATGCTATATTTAATAACATGCTTACCTAACTAAATTTTTAATAAAAAATAAGCCTTCTGATTAAAACAATCAACTTAAACCTTATCAATAATTATTCTTTATTTTATATTATTTATTCCTGAACAACACTCCTATCTCATTCCTTGAGATAAGCTGTACATCACCAAAATTTCCCACCCAATCTTCACAAGTGAATTGCCAGCACTATCCCCTGATAGCGCTGATCTCTGACAATGGCCGTCTGGTGTGCTTGAAGCAATCCACAAATTGCTTAACTTGACTTCTATTCTCCTTCCAATCAAACAGTTCTTTGTGACAATTCCTTCCAAACCCTAACTCCCTCCCACTACAATTATCCTGCCTACCATAATCATGCCATCAACAGTTTACATGCTACTTTATGAATAATTGTGTAAAATTATCAAAACATTTCTATACTAATAACCTAAATCATAGTGCAAGGTAAGCTTTATTACTCCCATATAAACTTAGTTTTAATATTACAGAGTAAATTCAATGGATAGAACGAAAGTTAATTGAGCATTAAATCCTGAAGTAGATAAAATGAAAGACTATTAACTCAGTAAACTCAACAATTAGAATATATTCATTAACAGATGTTTTAATACTAACTTATGAAATATTAAACATCTTGATAATACAATAATTCATTCAATAGATTAGATGTAAGTATTGATTTGAAAGATGACAAAAACAACTAGATAACTAATAATAAGCAATATATTTCACTAAATTTGAAACTTGTGGTGTTTGTATTATTCATAGTAGGTCCAGAAATTTGGATTATTAGTTACAAAAATTATATTATAAAAACACTTACTCAAGATCTTGCACAGATTGATTGGAGCTTGCTGCATCAAAATCAAGAGTGTTAGGTTGGTTGATAAATAGCTTCAATTTTTTTGGTCCTTTATCAGCCGGGCTTTTAATTTTCAAAGAATGTATTTTCACTGTTTGATTAAAGGCTATTGAAATAATCAACTGAAAATGAAAATAAATATAATAAATATTGTTAAAATAAAAAATATAGATTAAAAAGATATTGAAATAATTACTTGTTCATCACAATCAGACTCCAAATATCCACCAGCACTTGTGAGGGAATGCACAAAAGGATGTTCATCAGATTCATTCAAGGCCTCACAGTTACTTTTCAATATGAAAGAAATCAAATCCATCTGAAATATTCAAATATGCAAATATTCAATTTAGTAAAAAATAATTCCTACATACATATATCCTACCCAATACTCTCTTACTTAGTTCCAAAAATTTAAAAATAATATACTAAGTTAATTCAAGTATACTTGAAAATTAAATAATTTTTCACAATAAATATGAGGGGCAAAAAACAACTTATAAAAAAAAGTTTGAGTGTTCTAGCAAATATTTATTCATATCACACCAAAACAGTGTAAAACTCCAAATAGTCTATTAGGTAAGTACTGTAATCACAAAAATCAGTGATTTTCATGGATTTGATGAGAATAAAATCTAAAGGCCACGAAAATTAAAAAAAAAATAAAGATGCTTACATGACCTGCAACACCCACATCTTGGTCACCACTTTCTTCAGAATCATAATATTTTATTATCTTTGCTTCTAGTTTGTTGGGATCAGCACCTTGAATGCTGTCAACTTTCACCTGCATCAGAATCAATTCAATTAGATTTCAAAAAATGAGCAAACACCAAAATATAGAAACTAACGTTATTTTAACTCACTTTATTCCTGTAAAAATAAAATGTCGGCATAACAGATACTCTTTGATTAGCTGCAGTTTCTTGGCACTTATCAACATCCACTTTAATAAAGGATGCCTTAGGATATTTTATTGACATTTGTTCATAAAATGGTGCAATCCGCTGACAAGGACCACACCTAATAAATACATTAACATTATAAATAAATCTTATAACATACAAATTAGAACTGAAACAAATACAAAAAATAATAATTAATGATAAGACTATTTTTCTTACCACGTAGCTGTGAAATCCACAACAAGTAGCTTTGTTGAAGAAGAATTTAATTCTTCTTGAAACTGAGATTCATCAGCGATTTCTCTAACCATGTTTACAAGATTAATTCGGTATCTACAATTTTCAAACTGAAACTCGAATGATGACTGGCTTTAGCAAGGAAGGTTACAGTAAACTTCCAACTAAGCTTGAGCAAGTTCCGAAACTCAGCGCTGGCATCGGATTCGTCTCTACACTGGGCGCAACTATGTCATTGCTGAGCTCAACGCTGAGTATAGGAGCTTGATTTGATTTGACCCTTGATTCAGTACCAACTTCAAATGATAATTAAATGCTAAGATTCAGGTTTACATTTTCTTTTATTAAAACACCAATTAGTATATCTGATATCAGCCAATAATAAAATGAACAAGAAATAATTTTAATATTACAGATAAAAATAAAATCAGAAATAAAATTAAACTATTTGTAAAAAATCAAGATTAAGTGAAAGAAAGAAAAACGTTTGAAACAGAACTTTGTGGTATAAAGATATTGTAAGGATGTCAATATCATAATCCTGAAATAGTAACATTTAAATAGGTTTTAAAAACATAAACAAATGCCCAGTGACAGTATCAATCATTTTTATTTCTTTAGAGATGGGTATATACAATGGCCAGCAAGTTTTCATACACCGACTTGCAGACGGATCTACGGAGGACGGGGGCTATCGGGCTGAAACCCTCCTCCCCCTTCCAAAATGGTAAAATATAACCATGTCTTATGAAAAAAATATTTTCACATAAGTATTATTGTTCGTGTAATTACATTTAAACACATACATACATACATTCAAGAATCACTTAAACACCATTTTATATAGACAGTTAGTTTCTTTCTTTTTCTTCCAAAGTAATTATCTTTATATATATATATACTTTCGGTCTGAAGCCCCCCTCAAAAAATTAAATGCTGGATCCACTATTCCACAGACTGATAGGAAATAAAAAAATCAATAAAAACAATTCTTTCCTTCATTTTTTTATTTTTTTATTTAGAGGTCTAACTTCAATACTACTCTTATCAATTTTCCCTTGAATATATCTATGACAGTTAATCATTAATCTACTATCTTTAATATTAGTATAAGGCCTATATCTTATTTATCAACACAGGTTAAAAACAAATAAATACTATTTATTTTCCAACTGAAGGTGATACTGTATATAATTAGCCCTTTTGGTGCCTTCTTATTCAGGAACTGGTTTAACATTAACTTGAATACATAAATTGGTTTGTTTTAACTTTCAATTTCATATTTTACTGAATTCAACTTCCTTCAAAGTTAACTTATCAGATTAGCAATCCCTTCTTCAAAACTTTTTTACTAAGCATAAAACAACTATGGGGCCTGTATATTATGAACTAAATATATTCATATAAATTTAAATACATGATATAACAACCAAAAAAAGTTATACCATTAATTACAATTTAAAAAATAATTTCTAGTCACCAACTTCTTTATTTTAAACTTTTTTTCCAGGAATTAGGCTGTTGAAAAAAACTAGCCAATTCAAATATTGTTTAAGGATATCTTATCTGTACTTTGTTCATTTTAAGTATTTTTAATGTTGTCAATTATTATCTTTAATTACTTGTCAAACAATTAATAATCAATTAATGTTTTTACTTTAAACTATGTTTGAAATATTTCAAGCAACCCCTCCTTACTACCATATTAATTTATTATTGTTCTTACATTTAGAATTGATTTATTTTAATATTATTTATAATCTCTGTGCAATAAGAGGTTCCTGAATTATAAATGTCTGATTTGTGATTAACTATTATATTATTATTTTTGGTTACATAAACGACTTCCAATATTCTTCTATTATTTGTTTTATGTGTATTACCCAGTAATTAGGTTTTATTGAAGTTTAACTTGCGCTACAGTTTGATATGAATTGCAAGTGTTGTTGAATTTATATTTTATCTATTCATATTCTTTTACAACCTATTTTATAAATAGTATTTATTCCTGTCCAATATATCTAAAATGTCATTATTATTATCAATATATAAACATAATTTTAAATTCCAGTGGTCAGAAAATTTAAGCTGTATATATAAATAAATGTCATTATCTAGGTACAGTAACAGATTCAATTTAAATATTATGTGTTAATAAAAAAAAAACAGTAATTAGATACAGGCATAATAATGCTTTTATGGATAAAATGTATATATTTTTACAACACATGTGCATATGTTTAATGGTTAAAAAAATGTTTTAAATTATAATGCATGTAAATTCAAACAGGGGATATATTGTGATTGATTATGTGTTTGGCACACCCAAACAAAATTATGTTTCTATTTAGGGGAGAGAGCTTCATCCCAAAATCTACCCCCTGTTGAATCCATCAGTGTCTCTGTATGTAATTTTATAAATTGATTTCTCAAACTGTGCTGTATTGTTTCTGATAAATTTAATAAATTCACTTTCTGCTATCTCATTTTCATTGAAAAGTAGTCTAATAAATCCTTGCCATGTCTTTCCTATTTTACCAATTTTCTCATACAGTTTTATAAGTATTTGTAAATTTGACTATATCCAATTTGCTGAATAAATTTTATAGGTGATGAAATTTTCCATAGAAATGTTATACTTATGCTTAGGTTATACATTGTTCATAAGTTAATTGCACCACTCTAATAATAAAACTTCTTTGTGAGAATGTGATAGCTGAGATGATGCCAGCTTTAAAATTCTCGAGTCTAGCTGCACTGATTCAAATCTGATCTAGGTGGGTTGAAATTTATTTTGTGGTAGATCTACAGAATGAGTCTCGAACTTCCCACTCAGGTTAGAATAGGTTTGGTTTTACATCTAGAGCAATTCCCTGTAAGTGAGGCAGGGGGTAAACGAAAAAAACAAACAATTTTTCTTTTAAAGGAAAGAGATGGTCCGGAGTGGCGGTCCTAAATAGTGATCAAACTATTTTTTTAAAAGCCAAAGTTTCGACCCGACTTTGCAGGTCTTCTTCAGGGCTAGAACGGACATTGTTTATAATTGTTTGTCTAAATATTATGTAACTTCCACAATTCTCTATCTTTTTGTATCTTGTCCGTTCTAGTTCTGAAGAAGACCTGCAAAGTCAGGTCGAAAGGTTGGCTTTTAATAAAATAATTTTATCACTATTTAGCCTATTTATGACCGCCACCCCGGACCATCTCCTTCCTTTAGAATGCAACGGTCAACTATTAAATATTCAATTTTTCTTTTAAGATTCAATATTCTATTACTGCACTGTCATTTCCATGTTAAAATATAAATAGCTCTTTCTGTTGTGAATTAAATTTTATTTTGATTATTCAATCAATTTGATTTTATATAACAATTAAGAATAGGTTTTGTACTTTTAAATAAATAATGCCTTAATTATAATTTATCTAATAATGGTTGATAGGAATTTTTATAGAAACCACTTTACCTAATATACAATAAAAATGAGTTCATCAACATTTTTTTTTTAAATTATAAAAGAGAAATTTTTTTTTGTAATATGTTTAAATTTTTCTATGGTGTTGTTCGTTTGGCATATTTATTCTGTCACAAGATAATCATATAATTTTATGAAAAGTATAAAAGTATGCATTCCAAACAATTTTTAAAACTCATTTATTGAAATTATCTCAATGATGTTAGTATATTTTATTCCAAACCATTTGTAGACAGATTTGAATAAATTATTAAATTTTTAAATAGTTGAGATTGAAACAGGATCTATTCTATCTCATCTGGATTACTAAATAATTCTTGAATAAACCAATAGCATTTTTTTTTTTTTTTTTTTAAATTTCATTTCATAATGTTTTACTGTTTATTCAAAAACAAGAATCTATTTACTTATCTTAGCTAAAATGTTGGCTGCTTCAAGTTGTTTTCAAAACAAATATATGATAAAATCACAATATATCTTTAGGATCAGACTTTTATACCAGACAAAGATTAATTTCATTCAATTTTTAGATATTCCAAATCACAATCATTGTATGTTAGATAATTACAAGTGATTCAGAATAATTGATGAAAGTACCTAAAATATAAAAGTTTACACACACACAAAGATTGAAGAGGATTGTAAAGGTAGATAAAAAAAAAAAAGAACATTGTATTTAATTAATAAATAAAACTGGCTAGTTTACTTGAAAAAATAAACCAACAACAATCATTTATTTTAATCAACAACTATCTTTTATACATTAACAATAACATACAATCTTTAAATAAATATATACAAGAGCACATATATATATTTACTTAATTTTACTGATGTGTTTATTAATCTGTTTTTCTGGCAGAATCATTATTTTTAACTGGATTGGCATGAATCTGAAAATTAAATAAAAGTACATAAATTCTGTATTTTTTTTTTTTATAATTGAGAAGGAAAAAAAAATTTAGAACCTTACCCTTTGTTCTCTATGCTCTCTCATTTCATGTATTTTTTGTGGTATTACCATTGAGGTTGTAATGGTATTTCCAAGAAATAACATAAAGAACAGTACAGACAGAACAGGCACCTAAACATTAATCAAGGATAACATAGAAATATAATATACAGTAATCTCCCAACATTCACAGGTTTTTATTATGATACAAAAATGCTGGTGTTCCACATTTGCAAAATAAGTATTTGACTATTAGGAGATAAAAAAGTAAATAAATCAAGAATTTGAAACACTCAAAGTGCAGTATATATATATATATATATATAATATATATATATATATATATATATATATATATATATATTAAATACACAAGTTTAATTATTAAAAATTTTATGAATCTCATTCATTAAAACCACAAATAGGAGAGGACTATTCAGTGCTATCTCCCTGTCTGAACCCTCTGTCAAGAAGGAATATTTTGGATTCTTTGCCATTAATCCTTATGATTCCTTATGCATTCCTGTATGTGGATTTAATTGCCTGTATTAAATCTGATGGCATATTCATTGCAGTGAAAGCATTTCATACAGCATTCATGTTAAGGGACAGAATCGAACAAAGCTTTGAGGTTTAGAAAAGTTAGATACTTTTACCTCTGTCCCATTCCTTTTCATAAATATTTCAAACTACAAAAATCTGGTCCTGCGTCTGCCTTCTCGGATGGAAGCCTGTTCAAGTTGGTTTTCTACAATAAGTCTCAACATTTCTTTCAAGGATATATGTGTACATTTTATAAGCTACAGATAGTAAACTAAAAACTCTATAGTTCTTGCATTAGGTTGATGGACCTATATAAGAGGACTATAGCGCTGTACTCCCAATCTTTAGGAATTTTCTAGCTATTCCATACAGCTTGAAACCATCCTTGAATTACTTGGAAACATTGGAGCTCTTCGCCACCAAATTTCAGGAATTCTTGAGCAATTCCACCTATTCCTGTTGCTTTTTTTATTTTTATCTGATGATGTACAATAAAGCCTACTATCACAAAAAGTTGTGACATAGAGAATCTTACTAACAAGTATCTTAGAAAGTGGAACAAAGCTTAAAAATATGGAAGAGAAAGAAAAAGATTATTAAATCAGAATTTCATGGATATCATGGTGGGTTAAGATGAGCAGACAAGTAGACCAAACTACTGTGGCAGATTTATTATGGCTAATATAGTCATTGATAAGACAATGTAAAGGAAAAAAAAATTGAAATACTACATTGACAGAGATGCCACAGACCTTCTAGCAGAAAAATGGCACAATGTAGATAAGAAGTGAATTAGGTTGAATAATGAAGCAGTTTTCAGTCAACAAGGCTAGAAAAGTTAATAGAAATATAAACAAAATAATTGTTATTATTGTTATAATAGACTATCGACTCATATTCTTCTGTCGTCTGAACCCGATTCATATACGATTCATCCACGTTTGTTTCTTTAATTTTACTCCGGGTACATTTGTGATATTTTACTTTAATATTCTATCTTTTAAAAAATGTATTTCAACTCTAAATAGGCCAATCTGTTCTTTTCTTATCAAGTTTTGAACTTAATCATTCATTTTTGTAAAATTTAAGTTTTTAATTGGTACATAAAACATAGAATTTAGTATTTAATAATGAATATTATCAAATAATATGAAATACAAACTGAATTTATTTTTTGAATTGATTCTTGGGAGGGAGGCATGCACCATTACCCTTGAGGGAGATAGGCACCTCTGAAGAAGATACGCAACCAATTGTTGATCAAGATAACTGTTGTCCCTGAATATATTTAACTATAAGAAATAATAAAACAGCAGTGAGCAAAAAAAAAAAGAAAGAAAAGAGAGAGAATGATACAATAGTGAAGTTGTTTCTGATGGAAGTAAACAATTCCTGAACTATAAAAGAATGTAAATGAAAAAAATATAATAAATAAAAATATATGCGAGTCACGAGAAAGTTATAATTGCCAACTTCACCTCAGTGAAATATTAACAAAACATACGCACTCATCTCAGGTATATAGAGGATATTTTAAAAAGTCATAAGTGCACTTAGATTGTTAAAGGTCAAAATTCAAAGGAGAGATTATTTTGAATGATAAATCCATATTTAATTAATAATTTACCTGCCAAGGAGCATCAGAGATTTTAGATAGTTTGTATAACGTGTAAGCGTTATACAGTTGAAATAAATATCCAGCAAACAAGAAAGGCAGGAGAAAACCAAGACCTCTCCACATCCACGAATGGAAACCTTCTATTGTGATGTCCATGTTATGCCTTTCCCCAAGAGCCTTCAATCTGTAGAGGACACCTTGCTGGTACCTGAACTGTAAGTATTGTACTACACCTAGAAAGTGCAGGCATTAGAATAAATCAAAAAGTTATTTTTATACCTCAAATAAAAAAAATATTTTATATTGTGCTAAAAGATAGGCAATACTATTCACTCACTAAATCATAAAAATAGGTAATTACTTTTCTTAACAACTAAAGTAATATCTCTTAAAATAAAAAGTTTATTTATTTTCTTAAAAATTCATATAACTTTTTCATGGTCTTTAACGATTTTGTAAATGAGATTCCCAAGGATTTCCAATGGATTTCCTAAAACTTCCAACTGGGAACATCTTTACAAACTAATAAATATTGAGCAGCAGAACTCTATCATGTAGCTCATATCTTCCTCTTTATTACAGATGATTTAACTGATTTATTATTGCTTTTTTTTTTACTTTCACTTACCTATACAGGGTGTTTCAGGTTAAGTGGGCAAACTGCGAAAACGAACGAAGGACCTCAAAACAAGAAAAAAATTTCCTCTGAAGGTATGTCCACAAATGCTTTGTTTAGGAGATATTCACACCTAAAGATTTTTGTTGTTATGAATTATTTACGTTATATGAAATAAATAAAAGCTATTTATTTGTTCTAACTACTTTATTAATTAAATGTAAACATTAGCATTCATATTAAATGTCCAGTCAATGACCTTAATTCATAATAACATATATCCAGTGCCGTTCTGCCACTGTTGCTGTTGAAGAAAGATGGCGGGCCTGTCTTAATGCTCAAGGAAATCACTTTGAACAATATTTAATATGAATGTTAATGTTTAAATTTAATTAATAAAGTAGTTAGAACAAATAAGCAAGTTTTATTTATTTCATATAACATAAATAATTTATTACAACGAAAATTTTTAGGTGTGAATATCTCCTAAACAAAGTGTTTGCAGACATATCTTTAGAGGAAATTTTTTTCTTGTTTTGAGGTCCTTAGTTCATTTTCGCCACTGAACCCTGAAACACCCTGTAAATGTAATATATAAGTGGGCACAATAATTTAGCAATTTATCACCCAAAATTCCCAACTCTGCCTACTACCTGAAATATACAGTAAGGGAGAGTATTGCGATCTGAACATTTTTGTTAGTCCATTGTTGTTGCAGTTGTTTTGATGTCAGCCTAAGTAGTTTTTTAACTAAAACTGAACACTTATTCTAGTAGAAAATAGAAGAACTATGGGACACGATGGGAAAAGTAGGCATTCAAATCAAGCGCTTTTCAAAAAAAAAATTTGAAATTCTATATTTCATAATTTCTACTGTTTTTCTTTTTAATGATACTTTTAACTGACATAAAATTATAATTAAAGAAGTTGAAGGTTCTATAAACGAATAGAACCTAAAATAAGGTTCGATTCTTTTGAATTTATTATGTCAAATTATTTTTTCTGAAAACAAGTAAACTGGAGACTTGAAACATTCAGGCAGATCTAAAAAACATACTGCTGAGAAACAATAAAAATTATTTGTATTAGCACAACAGCTAAAAATCTAGCAGAAAACAGGCTGAAGAAATAACTGATGCAATTAGGACCCAAGTAAACTTTTATCATTAGACCTTAAAGATTGCGTTTCCAAAAGAAAACTATTTCTCCAGTCTCTTAACCAATGTAGGTGACTTCAGTTTGACAGGAACACAAAATTGGACGGAAGAAGAATGTAACAAATTTTTAATGAGAAATAAGTCAAAATTTTAAATGCTTGGTTCCGGAAGGAGGTAGAATGTTAGATAAGATCTGGAATGGAATTTTCGAATGAATGTTTACAACCAACAGGGAAACATGGAGGAGGCTTCTTAATGGTTTGGGTGTGTTTCTTAAACTGAAGTTGGAAACCTCTAGTGAATAGACGGAAAACAATGTAAAACAGTACTATAGCATTCTAACATACCAATACAATATCGTCTGGGATAAAGCTGTTGGGCAGAACTTTATTTTTCAGCAAGATAATGATAATAATTTGGATATTTTGTCATTACAAATTTTGCGAATCTGTTAGATGGAAAAAAAATTAAAGGAAGGAATGATTTAATAAACATTAATTTACAAAAAATATGGAAAAGGTATCATAAGTCTTTTCATTAAATAATAGCTTATTTTTTTAAAATACATTTAATTAAATAATGAAGTGCATATATTTAATGAAAAATGACTTTGCTGATATTACTTACTTATATAAACATTGAACACCATAAACTGAAACCTGAATGTTGTCCAAGACAATGAATCAGGCCACACAAGGAGAAATGCTGATGCAGCAGTTGAAATGAAGTGATGAAGTCGCCACCAACCCTTAATTTTGGAGCCATTGACTTTCAAAATGGATTCTCGTATCGTAAGGGTACAGTAGTACCATACGAGGAGAAACATGAGAGACAGTTCAAGTACCCTAAATTAAAACATGAATACAGCATACAAGATTAAAGGAATGAAATATTATAAAAACAAATGTAGCATTTAGAGGAAATTAAATCTATATATTTAGTTCATTATTTAGACATTCTTAAAATAATAAATTTAATTTAATAAATGAGCTCATTGGTCAGTTCGACTATCTTAAAAAAATTACACAATAATATCGACAAGTAAACATTGCAATGCAACATACATGGTCTACTGAATTTATGGCTGCTATTTGATTAATATAATTTTTTAAACCAGATCACTACTTGTTTGATCAAAGAGCCACTCAGTTATCTGCTAAGTCCCAAGAAAGGTTCATATTAAGAATAATGTTCTAGTCATACATGTTTATACAAATTTGGCTATTTAGAATTGAAGCAATACACTAAACTACCTAGAATAAGGCCAATCAGGATTTAGCATTCAAGATTAAATAATTTAACACACTCAGGATGAAAGGGCCTCAGGTAAGGTCATTTTGGTTTTTCCCAGAACCCGGTAGTTCTCAGCTGAGGTCCAGGATCCTGCTTTGGTTACCATGTTTATTCTATGTCACCAACGGTTGTGGTTTTTTGGTGATCGTTTGTTTTTACTATAGGTACAGACAGATAACTTCAACATTTCAAACAATGTATTTGGTTTCTAAATTGGCCAATGATTATTTTCCTAAATAATTGTTGATCTACATATTTAATTCTGCATCCTTTCAGAAGTATTCTCATGAAATCATGTCTGCACTCAGAGTGTTCAAGGCATTCAATTATATGGCCAAGATTATTCAGTCAAATTAAAAATGAAATAGAGTATCAGTCATTAAAAAATTATATATATACATATTGAAATTAAATTCATAATTTTAAATGAAAAAAAAATTATTAATATATCGCTAGATCTAGTGTTTTTCTTTTCTTAAACTTACAGTAATAAATCTTTTACATATGATAATTACTTGCCATATATGACATAATTACAGTCTTTGATTATTATGTTTTCTAAGATAATATCTTATAATAACTGTTTTAAAACAGGAGATAAAGGGCTTCAACACTTTAATTCTGCGTATAGGATTGCCACAAAGACAGTAATAGGTAGTTTAATAGCAGATTACACAGAACAAGAACTGAATAAGTGAACTATAATGAGAACTATAGTGAGATATTATCCTGTTTTGTTCCATTTGGTTTAAATGGATTTTGTAATAAATATAATATTGAAAATTGTAATTATATATCTCACAGAAATTGATTTTTACTACAGAAAAATGGAAATTGATAAAACATGAGATAAAAATGAAAAGCAGAAGTTTAGTGCCTTGCCCATAACCATATATTTAAATAATGCAATTCCAGTATTAGAATGAAAAACAAACAAAATAAAAATAATGTCAAGTAAACAAAAAATAAATAAATAAACAGAAGCACAAAATAAAGTAAAAGTTAAATAATGTGATAAAAACAGAAAAATAACAAAAACACAGAAAACAAAATGTTGATTAGTAGAAATGTCATCATTTCTTTGAAGTACACAGGTAAATGATTTAAAAACAAAAATAAAGTATAGGAAACATGAAACTGCTCACTCGAAAACATTACATAGCAAAAGAGTAGCTTTCAGAACATTTCTTCACCAGACCTATATTTTAAAATAAATTAATTATACTTAACAAAATAATAAAAGATGCAGCTAGAAAATAATCACACTGAGCTTATAAATTTTTATTTTTTAATACTGCTTGCACAGAAAAAATGAATTCTTAAAATACTTCATGCAGTTTCAAGGAATGTATTTTCAACAGATTTTATCCATCTTAGAAAAAAAAAAAATCACGGAGAGCAAACTCAACGTAGGGTAGAAGCTGCAACACTTGAATGAAAGTGTTTTATACATCAGCACATTAATATAGGATTCATGAACAATTTTCCACTAGTCAGAGTTCCTCTTTGAACATATTAATGATGATTTGAACTAGAAAATTGTATTAGGACATTAAATTAAGACTTACTCTTTTATAATTTTTTTTTTCCTTAAAAACGTTTTTCTAATGCATGAATTTATTAAAGACTGACAGTTACAACAATAAATTTCACAATGACTAGCTGCTCTTCGCTAACAAAAAAGCATTTTTCTGATAGAGGACTAAATTTCTATTTTAACAAATGAAATCAAACTATTTACTTTAAAATCATTCAGTTCGTATTGATGGTAGAAAGATAGATTTTTGAAGCTGGAAACATTATCACAAAATTCCATAGAAGGTTTAGGCACATAACATTCAATCCGATTATTTTCTAGCAATATCTAATGAAACAAATGTGGAACTTTCTTTCAAAAAGGGCACATATCCAGCTTGAAAAATTTTTCAGCAAGGCGAAATAATGAATGACGAGTACTAGTTATTATCCAATAGTTAGTAATTATCCAAACTTGCAGAAGAAAGGTATTTGTTAGACTTGTTTTGATAGAAAATGACTGGATGGATTCAATTCTGTTCATCAATACAAGATTAAAAACATTTATTTATTTAATGAAAATCTGCCCTTCTGAAAATAAGCTCCCCATCAAATGCTTTTATAATATTAATAATACTTAAGTTGGCAATATTCACAACAAAATGGGAATAATATTAGTATTACTTTATATTATATCTTATAAATTAATGACACAAAATACTGAGTATTTACTAGAACCTTTTTATGGAATTCCTATGATTTTTCAAGGTTATGCAATTTTATAAAAAATTGCAGGTTATCGAAACAGTTTAATAGGAAATGATAGATAATTATAAATAGATTTATAATTTTCAAGGTAATTGATTGACTGTCGTGGATAATGAAGAGAAGAACCACCCCAACTATTCTTCTCTTCATAATTATAAATAATCATTTTACATTATTGGAACAGCTTTTAAAGTTTTAAAACTGCAATTCACAGTACTGAAAGGCTTGTAATATAATATAGGAGAATTATAATTTTTTAAGACAAGTTATTATCTAAGTACCTATCTAGGAATCTAACAAAAATTAAACGATCTCTTTGACTTATAAATAAAAATATCGAAGTGGCCTGTTTGATAACAAAAACATTAGGAACATCGACTTTTATAATTATTTAAAAAACACAAAACACCCTTTTCTGTCATAAAAATATTTTGTATACCCAAAAATTTCCTTAATTGGCACAAAATGATTTCTTAATGAACAGTTTTAAGAATATAATAAAATAAAAAAATTAAAAATAAACAATTTTTGAATACACCTTAAAATGTTTGACAAGTCGTAAGTATATTTATGCATATATCACAATTATTAAAGCTTATTATAACCAAAAATCATTGTGATCAAAAAAACAAACTCAAACTTTTTTTATAAAATTATCCATCTTTCCCAAATATTTCAAATCTGACAGAAACTCTGAAAATAACTTAAGAAAGTGTTAAAGTTTTGAAAAACAGATTACATAAATCAGTATTGGTGCAAGGTTAATACCAACATTTTAAATAGACAATAATAAATAATAAATAGACAATAACAATGAAGATTGTAAATTTGATGCTATGCTATTATTATTAAATATCAATTAATGAACATTAAATATGAGCCAAATTGTTTAAGATAAATAATAAAAATAAAGAATTCCTTGTTCATTGTATTAAAATCATAAAAGTAATTTTAAAGGAGCTAAATACTCATACAACAACATATGTCAATAAAAATATTCATAAATGATTTATTAAGTATATTTCTAATCAACTAAGTAAAATAAAAAGTTACCTTAGATTAATACAAAGATTTGCAAGAGAGAGGAGAAAGCCAATTGCACTCAAGATTAATTTGAACTTCTCGTATTCATCTTTATATTTAAATCTGAAAATTGATAACAAAACTTAAGATAATTGCTTTTAATTTATAACATAGTTCTATATAATACTTTTTAAACATTATTTTATAATAAAATGACTATTATTGGTAAAAAAAGTTATGAATATAAAATACAATACTATATGGTTATAATGAAAAGAAAGATTTGAAAAATTATATACACATTAGGACAGCACTTAGCTAAACAAAATTTACTCCTCCCTTATCTCTTTTTAATTAACAAAAAATAAGCTGTACTAAATTTCACACAAATCACACTGATAAAATGAGAAATGTGTTAAATTTTAAATAAGATATAGGCTTCTGCAGTCTATATATATATATATATATATATATATATTTATTTATTTTTAATTAAGCCAAATGTTAAAAAATTCAGGCATAAATTCAAGTTAATTATATGTGATAACATACATCTGACATACTTAATAAAAAATAAATAGACAGAGAATACAGAGGTCTATACCTTATTTATACTTTTAATAATGTTATTTACTCCAATTATAATATTATCTTTATTGACAAATAAAATATTAAATGCAACTATTTCTATAACAAAAAAAAATCTGACTTTTTAGTCTTTTTGTAACCGTCACCCCGGACCATTACCTTTCACAAAAATATACAACGATCAACCATCAAGTATTCAATATGACAAAAAAAAAAAATGTTTATAAATGAATACAAATCATTTTTCATTCTGCACATGTTTAATAATTCTTTTTTCTTTCTCTTCTTCAGTTTTGATGTCTCAGAAAAACTGCAAAAGCATATCTGTCTTTGCCATGGGTGGAATATTGTTATCAAATACGTAAAAAACCACTGTTTCAGGAGCTAAGAACCAATGATGTTTTGGAATAATTTTTGGATCATTTTCAGATAATTTATCAGTTTTTTCATGAAAAAGATATCATAATAATTGGCTTTAATTGATTTTAATAAACATCAGAAATTAATATATACTTAAGCATGAAAAATATGTAGTATTTTTATGAGTTCTTATCACTACCAGATAAAGTGAAATTGATCTAGAAACTGGTAAATCTATAGTGCAAAAATTGTCTTTAAAATCCACTTAGCATAGTTTACAGCTCTTGGTGTACAAGATGATATCCCATTTTTCAGAATACTAGCAAGAATGATCTAAGTTAACTCCAAAAATGCTCAGTAATCATCATGATGTATCTGTGCAGAAATGTGGAGTAAGGACTACCAAAAGTTGCTTTTTGGCTTGAAAAATTACTGTCTGCCGGTCAATCAACAATTGGGTTCTTTCATTAGAGTTCATTCATCCATAGGTTTTAGTTTTTTTTAGCAAAATAATGGTTTTATTAATTCAAAGAATATACATAAAATAATTAAATAATAATATTTTTTAATAAATATGGAGGAATCGCTTTCTTACAAACAATTCAATAAATGTTTAATTAAATAAATTTCTTACTTGTCATTCTTATCAAGTATTGAAACATTAACATTTCCAAGAATAATTTTAAGGTACATTCCATTTGGCTTGGGTAAAGTTTGTTCAATGTCAAATAGAGTTCTCTCTCTCTTTTCTATTTCCTTTCGTAAACCACCTACTTTTTCAGCATCATCTTCACCTATATGTAACCTGAAAATTTAGAGAAAAAGCAAAAATTAATATAAGAGTTTAGATAAATTTCTAGTGATAGATTAAACAAACTTATAAGTAGAAGTGACAAAATAATAAAAGAACAACAGGCTGTTTTATAAAATATGTGTATCTGGTGTGTTCATTCACATGACTTCTCTAACCACTTCGGATGCCAAGCCCAATACCAATAATTTTGCAGGATCTTTGCTAATATTAGACCGATTAAGTATAATATAATTATCACAAAGATGCATTAAAACTTGTTGTTGTGGCAACTAGAATATTTCTTAAACAAATTACGATCAATCCTGTAACTTTTTGACTACTGAAAGTAACTATCCAAAAGAAAGAGTCAATGAATAACAGTTTTACAGTATAAATTTGTATTAACTAATTTTATTTGAAACCTCCTATCAGCCATTATTTTGAAACAAAATAGTGGATGGACACCAGTCCAGTTCAGAGGATCATAATGATGTGACTAATGACTTCAATACCAAATCTAAAACCTATCGCACCAGCAATCTTGGAGAAAAACTAAGAACATTGTATGTTATTTTTATTATATTATTATTAAACAAAACATACATGTTTTTTATTAGATTTTTTAAAGACTGAGTTATGAAATTTTTTTACAACATGTATGTAAAAATAAAATTTAATGGAATCCAACATAGTAAGTCTTTATCATTCTTTTCACTTTCTTCAGAACCCTTTTATATCCATTAGTTTACCTTTCCATCCACTTGTTTATCATCCATCCTTCTTATTTTATATTTATTTTAAACAGTTTTTACTTTCACTTACTTATATAAGTAATATATAGTAAGAGTATTGCGATCATGAAAATTTTGAATCTGAGTTTTCAACGGAAATACATGTTTTGAGGTCCCCTGAGTCGAAATAAACAAAATGGTCTATATCTATGTATGTGTCTATATGTTGACTACATGTTATATTGTATGTATGTACAATGAAAAGTTGTACAAAACTGAAACTGTGTAAACTCCCTGGGATGTTATAACAACACTTTTTTCAAACTTGGCAAACCAGTTGGTGGTACTTTATATCATCAATGTAACACATTTTTATGATTTTCTCAAAAACGGCTTTAAAGATTTTTATTGAACCCAATATATCAGTGTATTATTTAGCATTTTTTAATATAATGTAGGTTTTATTTTCATTGATGTTCTCTAACAGGTCTTAAATGGCTAATTTTCAATATTAGCTTGCTCTAAAGTACCTTTAATTTTTTTTTATTTGAAATTAACCATTTCACATTAATCTTTGATATAAAAAATAGATAAATATAAAATAATTTGATAATTAAATAAAGGAGAAATAAGAGATCGTAACGGATAATAGTTGAAATGGAGGAACCAAAGGAATACGAGCACGCCTGAAACATTAAAATAGGCTTCATATGTGGTTTTCATAAATGCTTTTATGTGGTTTTATAAATGCAATAAAAGGTTTTCATATTGGTTTTATTTAATATTTAATTGTATAGATTACAGTGATAAAAAAATTAAAATTTGAATATATAAGAGTAATTCAACAAATAAAAAAACCCACAATGAAATATAAATAAATATAGCATCTATAATTTTTACTTTCACCTCCTCTTTGTCTGAAAATACTTATTTCTGCTAAGAAGAGGGTGAATAAGTGAAAGTGGTGTGCGTACCAGATTTTTTATTATACATTTATTATTATAATTAATTTTTAATTAACTCTATTATAGTTTGCGGTTACTTGGTTGTATAATAGAATGTTCTGAATACTTTATTTATATTTGTTGTTCTTATGACTTTTTTTATATACTTTTTATTTTCTTTGTTAATAATTGTCTTAATTTTTTATCTAAACATCTTGTAACTCTTACAGTTCTTAAAAAGCCTTTATATCTTGCTTGTTGTAGCCCTGATGGAGAACTGCATAGCTGGGTTGAAACATTTGGCACTTTGTGTCTAGCGGGACGGATTGAAACCTCACTTCTTATCTAATGTCACCTCATATAACCTCCCTCTTCTTATCCCGCCAAACCTTTGAGTTATTGCATTGTTTAGTTTTCAGTTATTTCCGTTCACTTATTAAATTCTTTACTTTTGGCACGTTTGTGTTTATTTTTCATTATTTTTAGTTTTTGGCCCGTTTGTGTTTATTTTACTTTTCTTTTTAGTTTGTGGCTCCTTTGTGTTTATTTTTCATTTTTTTCCCGTTTATTTTGGTCATATTATGGATCTTTTTAGAATATGGGATTTGCCGCCTTCAGAAGAACAGACAATTCAATATTTTCAAAATGTTGGGGTACTTGCCGACGTGAAATTGTGTGAACGAGGTCATCGAATGAAGTTAACCAGGAAGGCCAAATGGAGATGCTTTCATAGGACTTATGACACAAAACTTTCAATAAGGGAAGGGACATTGTTGGAGGGCTCAAGGATTTCGTTTTCAACAGCTTTAAAATTGATTTATGTGTGGTCCCATAGCTTGACAACGATGAAGTGGGGCAAAGAGCAGCTGAAACTATCCTACGGAGCTATGGTAACGTGGAACAAATGTCTAAGAGAGGTTTGTGCTCATGACATGTAATACAGGCAAAGAAAAAAAATTTGAGGACCTGGCAAAGTGGTTGAAGCAGACGAAAGTCTTTTTTCTAAATGAAAAAATCATGTGGGGAGAGTTTTACCTCAGCAGTGGATGTTTGGTGGAGTTTGCCGAGAAACAGATGAATGTTTTATCTTTTTATAAAACAGATTGTATGTATTATATTTTTTCTTTTCTATGTAAATATGTTCTTTTAAATGTGTTTTTTTATTATTTCATTTTGATGTTTTATATGTACATATCTTCTTAAAGTGTTTTTTTACTATTTCATTAATACATGTGTCATCAAATAAAAGTATTTTTGTTGTTATTACATTTGTTTTTGTATCAGTTAACACTTTCCATAATACAAATTTAATACAATAATACGAAGATATGAAGTAGGAGAAGGCTTATCACTGCGTTATGGGAGTTATCAGTGTTCAGGTTATAAACATTGGCAGATAGCAGTCAGTAGCGGCCCCCTAGACATAAAGTACCAAACATATTTACTAAAATAGTGTCCACTATTTTAATTTATTTTTTTAATGAACACCACCCAGAGCCATCTCTCTACTCATAAAACTTAACATTTAAGAGGGGCTTAATTTTTTTTTTCCTTGAATGTTTACAAAAGTTCATTATTGAAAATAATAAACCAAGAAAACTGGTTGTATAACTAAACGTCACACCATTACACCTGAAAAATAACTTCTTTTTGTCTTTCAGTGTTACTTTTTTTGTTTTCTGCAAAAACTATTAGTTCTATCTGCATAATCTATTTTTTTCTCATTTATTTTAAATGTTGTTATCTAAAATGACCCCTGATGACATATTTATCCACAATTCTGGAAAAATAGATTTAATTTTATTTATTTTTCTGTTTATTTTATATATTTTAATCAGTTTTACAGTTATTTAAAGGGTTAAATAGTGTAAACAAATTTATACTTGGATTATAAGACATTGGTTTCTTTTATGACCAATACATCCGTTTTTTCCACTTGTAATAACTAAATAGTTATTGCAAGGACACAAATAGACGGATGATTTTTATAAAGAATTTAAAAAATCTGTTGTATAAAAAAAAACACATATTTTTGCATAGAGAAATATAAAATGAAAAGCTATCAAGCTATCCTGGATTTTGAAATCCCTCACCAATCAATTAAAACAATTAGTAAGTACAATGGTCACTAACATAGCACTGTAATCAGTTAAATTTAATCTCATTGCAGACCTTGTCATACATTCTTAGACAGATAAGATTAAAAAAAAAAAAAAAAATACATGTATCTGTTAAAAGAAACTAATACATTTGAATGCATAAAGTAATGATTAATAAAACAAAATAAATTATTTGTAATTAATTTTATTTTATTAGTGAATAAAGAATAAAAAAGATTAATAATCGAAGATATATTGATTTATTGTATTAAGTGTTTAATGACCTATGATTTTTAACATCCGTAGGTAGATTGGCAACTGCAAAAGGACCTTTTATTTATTTTTATCACAATATTACAGATGTACTTCAAAAGAAAAGCCAATACTTCATAAATATTATTAGAAAATTCATTGTTTAATTTAAATGAAAAAAAAATGGGGAGAGAAGAAATTTTTGATAAAAGGTTAATAAAAATGACAAAAAAAAAAAAAAATACAGAAAATAGATACTTAATGTAATATGAATAATTATCCGAGTGGCTGGAAGGAAAAGAATTTAAAGAAACATATTGAGAAAGAAACAAAAAGTATTTAGGACATTTTTTCAACTCATTTGACAAATTAATAACATATTTTTAAATTAACCACTATCAGATATATATATATATATATATATATATATATATATATATATATATATATATACACATTTTTATTTTTTCAAATTCAATGATTATTAAACTAAATCATCAATACAAATGCTAACAAAAATGAAAATAAGAAACATTTTCAATTTTGTACTCTAACTGAAATTTTAATTAAATATTTAATAATATTAATTATATTTTATTGATATTGATATTAAATATTAGTTAAAGATTAATGAATGAATACAAAATCTTCAAACATTCATAAAAGCACACATTAGTATGGAAATTAAAATATCCTTGTTGGTTGGACTGAATCGATAATCATACTACAGTGGTAATTTTCTGATTCGATAGTTAGCATTTGTATCGACAAAATAAAGTATTGTAATCATTTACTTCAAATAAAAAATATAAATTAAGAAGAAATTTTTAATGTTAATAACATTGGTCAATAAATGAAACCATAAAAAATAAGATAACAAACCTTCTCAATGAACGTTTGACAATTCCTATTCGGTACCTTTGGTGATTCAATTCTTTGACACATTTTGATTGCACTTCAATTAATTCTTCAAGTTTTGTTAGATAATCTTTGTTAACAGTCTGTGAAAAAAAAAAAATGTTCAAAACAACAATCAAAGTATTTGTCACTTAGTACTCCTCACATATTTAAAAAAAAACTAAGACAAAAATAAAAGGCAGTAAAATTATCAAGCATAATACAAATGATTTGAGAAATACTTTTACTATAATACCTCTAAGGTCTTAAAATCAGCTCCCAATTCGTTCCAATTTTCCAGACAACTATCAACTGATGGCAAATCCATTATTTGTTCACTTCAAATGACAAATTATGCAATCTCTTTTAAACTGTGCATATTCTAAAGCAAAGAAATGAGGGAGATATTATGTTAGAAGAAAATGCATATCAACATCCATATTATCACAAAACTATGTTACAAGTTCAAGGATTCAGGAATGGTATAAAATTTAAAAAAATTGTACTGCAGATCACAAAGATTAAAATTACATAAAAAGATACATTACAATAAATAATGTAAAATGAATATGTTTAAAGATAATAGAGCCAAACCTCAATTATTAGAAAAATAGCTTCTATTTAGGAATTAAGATATCACACTTTTTATATATTCCAAACAACTTGATAAAAAGGCTACTTTAAAAAATAAAAATAACTAGAATGAAAAAAAAAGCTACCACACGAATTTTCTAGCGCCTCCGTATTAAGAAAATAATTGTGAAATCACTACTAAAACATAAAAGAACCTCCACAAGATTTCAGGATATTTGTTTTCGTAATAAAAAAATAATTCTAACTGCTTAAGAACAAAGTCGTTCAATGAGTTTTTCACACAGAACTAAACACTTGAAAATTTGAAGTTTTTAAAATGCATAGCCTTATCAGTGAGGTACCTTTGGTGACGTCACAGTTGTTTATTGATCTGAAACAGCTGATGGGTTCTTGGTCGGCTACAGTTCTACTAGGATTATTGTACCATAGGTTCTAGGGATGTAATAGCGTTACCGTGCTATGAACTGTCTTTATTATTTTGTAATATTTTAAGTTTTATGGTTATATCTTGATGATGGAGGTTGTTGGAGAGTATAAATATTACGCCAAAGACCTCATAGGGCATGGAGCATTTGCTGTCGTATATAGGGGAAGAGCAATTAATGTAAGTTGTTATGTGACCCTTTCTTTGTTTTATTTTTTTAAATCGTATTAAAAATTTCATGCGTTTATTATTGGATAAGGCATATGGTTGTTATTTGTGACACCATTTTTGTAAACAGACTAAGGTTGGACATGGCATGTAAACAATGTCCATGCTTTATCTGAAATTACATGGTTTATTGCCCATGTGTTACAGTTTTGATTATTTGAGAACTTAATTAATATATTAGATATATAATGCATTTAAATTTTGGAGGTAATTAATATGAGATTGATTAATAGTCTAATGGAATGTCTTTGGCAGTTTTGTTTATAAACTAATAAGAGAATAAATTCTTCTCTATTGTTATTACATGTGCATGTAAACAGAATAAGGTTGAACATGGCATTAAACACTGTCCATACTTTGAAATGTTCAATGTTAATTGTTCAAGCATTTTAGCTTTGAATTCTTAGGTATTTTCATAACTGTATTACATTATAATGCATTTAAATTTTGGAGTTATATAATATGGATTTATTTATAGTCCGTGTATAAATTTGTGCTTAGTTGCTTTATATAAAGAATTTATTGAATTGTATAATTTGTTCTAGATACTAGATGAAAGATTAATTGATCATATTTTTACATTGATTCTTATAAATTTTATATAAGACCTACTTTTAGGAGGGTAAACAAATCTAATAATTGTTAGCTGGGTTATATGCACATTCTATAAGTATTTTTATTTTAATGTAGACTACTGATATAATTGTTCTACATTTAATGTTGTTGTATATTGGCTAATATGCCCATTAATAAAGCCACAAAAAATTTTTTTACCTGATTTTAAGGTGAAAACAGAAGTTTGTCGATCTAATAATTTTTTTCTAATTTTGATTGAGTGCAGTAATCTTCCAGTTGTAACAACTGCTTTTAGATTTCTTTTAACTTTTAGTTAATAGTATTATCTTGAATAAAGACTGAGGATTTTATTTGTATTGTTGTTTATGAAAACAACCAACGAAATGAAAACATTTTATTGAATCCTTGTTCTCTTACTGTTGTTTTTTACTTTCCTACCTATACTAGGTAAGGAAAGTATTGCAGTCGGGTCAAATTTCCGATAAGCGGTTTTCGATTAATCTATACGTTTCTGAGCCCCCCCGAGTCCAATAAACTCATTTTAAGCCATTGGTCTGTCTGTCTGTCTGCGCCAAGATTTTCTCGGGGACTACTGAACCAATTTTTTTGCTTCTTTTTTTATTTTGTAGAGTTTTAACTAATGATGCCTGTGACAGAAATTCGGTGCTGCATGCGCAATAGCTTGTGCGCATTAAATGAAAAACATGTTTTTCTATAGACTAGCGCGAAAACGGCTCTAACGATTTTGATGAAACTTTCCTGTAATGTTCTAATCATTGCCCTTTCAATTTTCATGTATAGACTAAATTCCAAAAAAATTCAGGAAAAAAAGTTATAAAGAAAAGAAAAATGTTATGGGGTCTAACTCCCTAAGCATATATTATACGGTAAAATTTATAATAAAACTTTTGAAAAGTAATTAAATTACCAACAAAACAAAATAAAAATCATCGGAATCAAACCAGTATTAGCAATGATACAGCTTGTTCTATTTTTTACACATTTTTTAACTTATTACTTTCCTACCTATACTAGGTAAGGAAAGTATTGCAATCGGGTCAAATTTCCGATATGCGGTTTTCGGCGGATCTATACGTTTCAGAGCCCCCTGAGTATGTAAAGGTATAAAAACTTTTCTGAAATAGGTAGGAAAGTCGTGTGAGTGGACACACCAGATATATCTTTCTTTTTTGCTTCTCCATGTGTTGTGTATTCAAAAGAGCTTTTCAGAGTTTAAAATAGGATTCCTTTAAATATATAACTAATCATCTGTTGTCTTTCATGAGACTATTTAAACATAACTTACACCATTTACTAGAAAAAAACCCTTGCCTTTTAAGTTTTAAATTTATTTGGCGTGTTACTGGGCTTTGGTGTTTTTACCTTATTTTATTATTATGGAAAAGGTAATGTTTGAACCTTTCAGTTTGTTGTTGAATATCTTAAATTCCTTATTGTACTAAAAATAAATTATTTTATAGTTTTAATATTAATAAAGTTTTCACAATTCATAATTTGGGTATCACTTAAGAAAGCAAGTTCAACAAAAAGAAGCTTCCAGAGCTCTACTTTCAGCTAGCAGATTTATGAAGGAAGCAAATTATTATACTCTCATTGTAGAGTTTAGTATAATCATTGTTTAATGCTTAGAAATTTAAATGTCGAAAGTGTTTATTCTGGATAATAACAAATACTTTTCAAGACCTGGCAATAAATTTTGTTATATATTGACAAATTTTATTATTAATATAGTCTGTGGGCCAGACTCCCCTACCATGCACCCCTCCCCACATCCCTATAAATTGCATATCGTTCTGTTCCTTGTAACTATTTATTTTAAAAAAGCCGATGTTCGCACAAAAAAAGTGAACAAACTGCCCCAAAATGGCGTCCAAACATGGCTGACTGATGACTGACTTTTGTTAGTTTTTTGGTCACTGAGAATCAGCATTTGACTTATTTTTTTCATAGTTGGTCTTTTATTAAAGCTGGATAGTCAGAGAATAATAAAACATGAAAAAATATTAAAAAATAATTGGCTTAGGCAATAAAAAACACCAATAAAATCAATTTTTTTAACAAAAAAATTTTCAAGTTGAAAATCAAGGTCGTTTTTAATTAAACAACCAACAACAACGCAAAACATCTGGAGAAAACATTTTTATTTCTTAAACACTGATTACTTTTTAAAACATTTGAAGCAGTTCCATAGAAAATGCACTTAAGCTGCAGAAAAGCAGTACTGGCGTGGGTGCCTACATGCCCCTCTACCACACCATTCAGCACTCATAAATGGCTTAGTTATAGTGCTATAATAACTTTTTTTGTATATTATGTTGATTTATTATTGTTTTTTTTTATTTTATTTTTTAAATTCAATTTCCTTTATTCTATACGGAGGTTGTTTAAGAAGGCCTCGATTATAATAATGATATAATTATAATAATAAAACTTAATTCAAAAATACTTATATCTTGAATTTTTTATTTAACGTTTGCAATTTAATACTTTGTTTTGTATATTTAACGATTCTTAGGGGTAATTTAAATTTTATATACTTCGTCAGATATGAATCATATTAATACCTCTTAATCATATTAAACTATGTTAACTAAAATAATATATACCTAATCTGAACTACATATAATGAATAGTTGATGGGTTTGTTAATAAAACTCATATATCACTAATAAAAAATATTATTTTTATTTCCTTTATTTTGTTCGGAAGTTGGACCATATCATAAAAAAAAAAATAGGAAATTTTAATATTGAATGCATAAAAAAATTGACTTTACTGGTGTTTTTTATTGCCTAAGCCTATTATTTTTTAATATTTTTTCATGTTTTATTATTCTCTGACTGTCCGTCTTTAATAAAAGACCAACTATGACAAATATAAGCCAAATGCTGATTCTCAGTCGCCCATGTTTGGACGCCGTTTGGGGCAGTTCGTTCACTTTTTTTGTGGGAACATCGACTTTTTTTAAATAAATAGTCACAAAGAACACAACAATATGGAATTTATAGAGACGTGGGGGAGGGAGATGCACGGTAGAGGGGTCTGACTCCCCGTGTAATACATCTTGATATAAAAATGTTATTTTTCAAAAGTCATAATGAAAAAAATGTTTGTGTTGTTATTTAAGAAAGCCTGAATGACAAATATTAGGCCCTGAGCGATTGAACATGTGATATATTTTAAACCTTTGTATCATTAAATCAGAAAATATCAATAAAAAAATTAAGTTATACTGATACTCATATGCATTCAACTATTAATTGATAAGTATCTAGCCAGCTAAAAAAATTGTTGTGGGTTGTTTTATATTTTACATTCTGTTATATTAATTCATTTTGTTTGTTTTTAGAATCCAAGGAAGGTAGTTGCAATTAAAAATATTACTAAGAAAAATTTAGCAAAGTCAAAAGATCTTCTAGACAAAGAAATCGATATTTTACAGGTATGTATGAAACTTTTAACCTTTCATAACAGTTTATTAAGTTCAATATTATATTACATTTAAGAATCATGCACACAGAATCTGATCTGTCATGCTGGTCTAAGATATTTTTGTATGGTTCCCTGTGATAGATCGTGTTCTGTATGACTAATAATGCAGTAAGTAGGAATACGACATGATAGCCAGCCCTTCATGGGCAGAGATCAAATATCGCTGCCACTTCTCAGGTTCTGTATACATGATCCTTAACTCCTTGAATGTTCTGATCCAGGATTTCGGTTGCTCGCTTAACACAGGTCTAATAAGAGTGTATTGTTTCTAGTAATCGTTCAATCACCAACCCATTAGCTTTGTTGCTGGAGGTACCATCTTTTTCAATCTCTGCAGGCTTAAATCATTTTGCAAAAAATCCAGTATTGGCTTTTCATTAAAATAGATCCACAATATTTATTTTCTATGATTTTTAAATTCTATAATTCTTCTTAATGTTTCCTAACTGTACTACTGACAAACATTACTGTTCAAGCTCTCTCAATTCTACTTTCTAAACAGTTTGGATTGTATGCTTTTGATTTTTTTTTTTATAAGTAATTTTCATATAGTCTATTTGCTCATAAGCTGCTATTTAATAGAACAAATTATTTTTTATTGGTTTGTAGAAACTGTTTCTTTCTTAAATCGGTTAAAAAATTTGAACATCTATAAAAGGCAGAAGAACCTCTGTTTATTAAATTTCCATATATGGATGATCTTAATATATTTAACTTTTTTTAGAAAGCTTCAATTTTTGTTAGGAAGAAATATTCTATAAATTGAATAAAAGTTCTGTGTAGAATAAAATCATTAAAAAAATATATAATGTTATTTTCATCCAAAAGCACCCTTAATTTAAGTTTGTATTATTAACAGTAATAATTAAAAAATGAAAATAAATTGTTACATAAAGGAATGGAAATTTGGGAAAAACATTGTTTAAGAAGAAGTTCCCCATGGCAATGAGATTCTCAGAATCTCATTCATGATATAGAATGAAAATATCACTTTTAATTAAGTTTAATTGCTTAAAGTTTAGCAGAAGATTGGAAAAGCTTAATACTTAAGATTGATAAAATAGTTCAAGCAATGTTGAAACATAATTCATGTAATATTCTAGAAAATTACCGACACCACTTCTTTAACCCCCAAAAAAATTATATTGTTTTAACATTACTAGGATAAAAAAGTAGACTATATTTCAATTATTTCAAGAAACTTACGTGTTGTGAGTATGACAATACAAAAAGATCTCTTTAAACTGGTCTTATATTTTAATTGGTATTGCTGGGTTACTAAAATGGCTAAGCTAGTAGAGGTACATTTATAAACATTGTAAAAACCAACGAAAACTATTTACAATATTTTATTGAAATAAATATTGATCATTTTTAATGAAGAAGTTAATATCAATCACTTTTACAATATACAGAAAATATTTGAAACAATATATTGTTATATCTCTCTTATATTTTACAAATAGTAATATAACTTCGGATGATTACTTTATACCATTGGGATACTTGAAAAAGAAATAAGTGGTTGTTAAATAATAAATAAAATTATAAGATCATTAATATATTAAATTGAAATTTATAATTATTTTATCTCAGATATGGGTTACTGACAATTAGACAAACTAATATTAACTACACTTAACACTGTTTGAAGAGGATGGTTAGGATGATCAGTCAAATTAAAATGGTAAAAAATAAATAATTTAATTTATTTTTACATTCGCCGACATTTAGGCCCAAAGTTCAGGCCTTCATCAGGGCTGGGAATAAGAACCAGATAACAATAGATATAATAACATTGAATAATACAGAATTAAGATTAAAAAAGATTTTAGGTATAGACTAATAATTTTAAGTAGAAACACTTAACGTAAAATGAATTAGATAGAATGAACATTAAAGTAAAAAAAATGTAGGTAGGGTGATAACAGTAACAGATAATTAAGAAATAAATAATAATAACAGTGACAAAACACGGACCAATGAAATAAGTATAATAAAGTATAAGGTAACATAAGAAATGAAAATGGTAATCTAGAATAAAGTGTAAAATAGAGAAAAGAAATATGAAGTTATGTAAGGAAATAAAATATACAAATAGAACATTAAGATATTGTAAAATTTATCAAAAAATATAATGTATGAGGAAATGTATCATATATAGAAAATGGAGATGGAGATACGGAAAATAGAGTGACGGGAAGGACGAAGACAACTCAGATTGTAAAAATAAACAAATCTGCTGTACAATAAGTAAAGTCAGACAGACGCAATTATATGACTGAAAAATAATATATACTTACTCTTTTATCCACGGGTATTTAACTAAGTAAGGAATCTCTAAAAAAAATATACTATATAAAATTTGAGCAAAGTAAAATTATATTTACTCATACCCTTTTTCTTTATAAAAAAAATTGACCATAAATAAAAATATCTTTTTCAATGCGTTGTATATTTTCATATAAGGTGTTTACTTTTTTTTTTTTTTTTTAAGGAGTTAACTAAACTTCAACATGAAAATGTTGTGGCCCTTTATGCAGTTGAGGTAAATATCTTTAAGTATATGCACATATATATAGTATTAATTCTTTGTGTTTCATATTTTATTTCATTGATTTTTAAATTATTTTTAGGATCGAAACCATGTTGTGTTTCTTATTATGGAAGTAAGTATAAATATGTTTATAAGCATGTTAAGATAAGTAATAATTAAAGATTTTTAAAGTATTAATTTCATTAAGTATAGCTTAATTTATGCCAGTTATAACTTTTTTGTTTAGTCAATGTTGGTTACTTAATAAGTTAGTTATTTTTTATCTTCGTATTTTTTTTCAGTACTGTAATGGTGGTGATCTTGCTGATTATCTGCAGAGTAAGTTTATATTTATGTACTGTAGTCTTCATAGATGTATTTTTAACCAATGAATTATTTATATTATTAGTAACTTTAGTGATATGGTTTGAAAATTGACAATTTTTTATACAATTTTATCAGGTGAAAAAGACAAACATTCTATATCAAAGCCTTCGTACAGGGGCCCCAGGGAAGGAACGACTAAAAGTTTGTATTAAACCTAATATCAATAGATAGGAGGTTAATTTTTAATTGTCACACATTAAATCAATAAATAAAAATTTATATATGGCACATACAATCATATTAAAGATAAGAATAGCGGAATGATTTTTCATATAAATGAGAAGACATTAAAAATTAGTATTAAAAAAACTAATTTAAGGAGAAGTTTGTCAGGGTGCGATCAATAGACACACACTATATGTTTTGGAAATGTTTTATTTCATTTACCAATGTTTCGACGTATTTTGTAGGTTTTCATCAGAGTATTTCATCCTGTACTGCAAATATTGCTAGAAAACTGATGTAATCAGTTTTTCCAATTTCCAATCAGTGATCAGTGATTGGCATTAGTTTCCTTGCTACCTCCGGTAGTGCTAGATGAAATGCCCTGATGAAGACTTACAACATAGGTCGAAACGTTGGCAAATGAAATAAAACACTACTGCAACATACAGTATGTGTCTATTGACTGCATCACTGACAAACTTCTCCTTAAATTAGAATTACGGTCAACTATTCCATTATACCATTAAAAAAAACTAATGTTTTAAGTATGCTTAGGATTATAATAATAACAAAATTTCAATTGAAAATTATTAGTTTTATAAAAATTTAATAATATTATGTTATATTATTGTGAAAACAGGAATCATAGAGAAGGGTTTCCTATGTAGTGTAGTGGAGAATATTGATAAGATAAGAAATTGTAGTCTAGTTTATTAAAATGGAGATGTGGTTGCCTTGTTGATTTTTAAATTACCATCAGGTGTTTTTTATATAAAAAAACCTATGCATACTTTTAATATGATAATTTTTTAATTTGCATTGTCACAGTGCATTTATCTCCCAATAGCTATCCATAATTTCCAGTGTTGCCCGAAACATTTTCTGTTATGTATATCCTTTAGTGTTTTGGATTTCAAACTACCTGACTATCAATAAAATGGTCTTTAATGTTATATTTGTATATATTGTGAAAACTTTATTTTTGCTTTAGTGAAATAGAAGACCATTAGAAAAAACATAAGGCATAAATCTATAGCTATGTTAAAAATTCTTGTATAATCTGATATGTTACAAATGAAAAAATTAAATTATTGGTATCTTAACTAATTATACATAAAAGATAAAACCACTAGAAAAATAAATGTTAGTAATATTTACATTTTTGAGGATGGCAAATAATGAGAATTTGCAGTCTTTATACGCTTTATCAGGCTTGAAATCGTTTGATTCTAGCCAGCATGTGGGTCGTTATAAGGTCATTGGCTACTGACTAGAACAAGAACTGCTTGTTGCTTTGAACTATTTACCCTTCTTTAAATGGTTTAGACTTGTATATTTATAACCATAAATATGGTTTAATATGTGAACAAACCATAAAGATATTCTGTAACAGTTAAATATATCTGCCGGCTAGACCTAGTTGTTGCTGTGAGACTAGCTAACCCAATAACAAGATGGATAATTAATGAAGGAAAAGATGATCTTTGAAATGATGACATGATCATTGGATTGAATGGTTGAGCCCACCCGGGCGAGATGTTTCAGAGGGTATAGATGGAAACGAGGGATGGCACACCTCAGCCGCTGGGATAGTACAGGAGCCCACACCTCCTAACCAGGAAGAAGTGAGTGGCTGCTCCATCTCTCGTGCCAGTGGCTCCACTTCTACCTGGTTAGGAGGTGTGGGCTCCTGTACTATCCCAGCGGCCGTGGTGTGCCATCCCTTGTTTCCATCTGTACCCTCTGAAACATCTCGCCCGGGTGGGCTCAACCATTCAGGCAGAAAATTAGCATAGGGCGACAGGAGTGACCTTTGTGAGTTATGTTCTGTTATTGGGTGCGATGATGAGCAGTGTTCCTTCAGTTGCTAACCTGGACATGCGCGCACCTTGCCTGGCACTGGATTCAGGTGAGGAAGAAATCCTCTTTAGCAGCCTGACCTGCTTCCCTTCCAGGGCAGCTTCATAGGAAAGGTGATCCTATGGTGTGTACTGTAGATGTCCTTTGTGTTTGTGTGCTGAGGTAGTGTACTATGTAGGTGTCTGTGTAATTGTTCCCCCAACATGGAGGGCCAGTGGCTGATTGCGGCCGCATGACCGGGCGATGGGACCGCCAACTCCTTACGCCTTGAAGACAGTAGATTTTAAGGCTTTTAAATACAGTATCCATCTCATTCTGAAGGCATCTTGTTTGCGTTCAAAGCTTTTTCAATAACTAATTTGTCCCATCTCGATCCATCGAGTTATCACTGTCCCACTTTTGAGGCCTAGTGAATGTTTTGATCTGCTTTATTGTTTTTTTAAAGAAAAACAAAAAAAAGAGTTTGATTCACTAACCCACCATGAAATTCTGAACCTAAAAATACACATTGATGTTATTTGAGCATGACAAGACCTTATATTTGGTATCAAACAGATTTTAAGATCAAGTGAAATAATATATGAGGGATGGTGTTATAATTTTTAACACAATTATTGTACTGATTTATCATTAAAAATGTATCTTTTTTTTTTTTTTTATGATAGCCAGGTCATTGGCATGTTTATCATTATAAATCAGTTAAAAATGATTTTATATTCCTAATTTCGTCGTGAACCTATGACTTTCTGTCCTTCAGTATCCTTTAACAATACCCCACTTATCCCTGTTGACCAAATCCGATACCTAGGACTCCACCTTGACAAACGACTCACTTGGAACCTTCATACCAGACTGAAACGACTAGAAACCACCCGACGTTTCCGGCTACTCCAGCACTTACTAGACAAACCCTCTAAACTGCCAACTATTTACAAAAGAGTCATATATATTACTATAATTAGGCCTATTTGGACTTACGGGATCGAGCTTTGGGACTCTACTACACCATCAAATTCCTCTCGTATCCAATCCCTACAATCCAAAATCTTTCTTAAAATCCTTAATGCTCCCTACTTTGTCACAAATAAAATCATCCATAATGACCTTAATGTACCATATGTTTCCGATTTAGCTCAATCCAGATACCTGTCCTTTCATAATAAACTTCTGAACCATCCGAACCCTCTCGTTTCCAACCTTGCTTCCTCTTCTATTCCTAATAACCCTCCGAGGCGTCTGAAAAGAAGGTGGCCTCGGGACCTTCTAATATAGAAATATAATTGGAGTGCTACCAATGGGTAGTTTCTCTTCATGTTGTACATTTCATATTACTTGTTCATATTTACTTGTTGTATATATTATTAATTACAGTTGTAAATTTTGTTAAAAAAAAATAAAATAATTCTAATTAAAAAAAAGAAATGCCTTATCCATCAAACATAGTTTTCTTAGCATATGTAAACTTTTCATGCTCTGTTTAGGTAAAGGCACACTGAGCGAAGACACAATAAGAATGTTTTTGAAACAAATAGGTAATTATATATTGTAATAATCTCCATTTGGTTAAGATTTTTTTTAAAAAATTAATCCTGGTTTGATTTAACTCAATTTTTTAGCTGCGGCAATGAAGGCCCTCCATGCCATGGGTGTGATCCACCGTGATCTGAAGCCACAGAATATTCTTCTATCATATAACGTCCCTAGAGAAAATCTTACTCCCTCTATGATTACACTAAAAATAGGTAATTCATTTATTAAATACTTTTTTCTTTTGAAATATTTCATTACATTTTGGCTCTTCTTTCTCATTGATACTAATTGTGAATAAATGCTGACTACAAATTATCAGTATATTCATTTTATTTCTGAGTTTCACAAAATAAAGATATTGGTTTATATTTAAAGATAATACAATAATATCACCAGATTTTTATTCCCATAAAGTACCTGCTACGGTGCATAATGCATGTACATGTTTCTGGATTTGTTATGTGTTTACATGATGGACATTTTTTTGACATTAATAATTTTAACTGTTAACCAAATGGATACATTGTTTTGATATCAATATTATTATTTTTTTTTAGTTTATATTTTTAAATTTGATTTAGTTTATATTCGAAAAATGTTCAAAAAACATCATAAGTTATTATTTGTTATCATTATCAAGGGTTATTATTATTTTTTTTTCTTTCTAAATTATAATCTAGTGACATCATATTAAGTAGAATTTCAAATTTTATGAAAGAACATACATTTTTAGTTAAACATAATTTTTGTCTTATTTTATTTATCTCCTCATTCTTAACGATTAGAGTTTTATAATAATTATTTTTTGTTTTGGTGTTTCCAGCTGATTTTGGGTTCGCAAGGTTTCTTGAGGATGGTGTGATGGCAGCAACATTGTGTGGTTCTCCTATGTACATGGTAAAGATATTTTTTATCTATTTAAAATAATCGATTAGCTTATATAAATTATTTATTTATTACTTGGTTTTATAAGTTATTTACTACTTGATATTTTGTTTTCAGGCTCCAGAAGTAATAATGTCGCTTCAATATGATGCTAAAGTTGATCTTTGGAGTATTGGAACAATAATATTTCAATGTCTTACTGGATCGGCTCCTTTCAATGCTCAGAACCCTCAGGCTCTTAAGAGGATTTATGAAAAAAATCTTGTCCTCAAACCAGAGTAAGTATATTTTCACAGAGTGTTGGATAAGTGTGTTCCAAAATTCTTTTAAAATTGTATCATCTAAGATTTTAAGAAATCTAAGATAGCAGGAAAACTGCTTTAGACAAAATTTGTGGTTTTCTACTTCATATAGATTATTCTTCTTCAAGTCTGCACCAAAACCAAACAGTACTAAGTTAAAATTAATGAAATAATAGTATGGTATTAACATAAACGTTGAAAATAACAGTTACTGGCCACAAGGTCAACTGACCTCCACTGTCAACTTCTGAATCAACTCAGTTCCAAGTTTCATTGTTTATGAGTGTTTTTTTTTTTTTCTCCTTCGGTTATTTATTTTTAAATTCATTTCCATTTATTGTGTTATTGGTTTGTGTATTGAATTTATGTTTTGAACTGTTTTGCTGGTGCCTCACTGATGGCTTAATCCCAATCTCAATAAAAAAAATATGTCCAATGCTTATACCAATGTTTAACAATAGCATACCCCACCACAAGTTTTTAAGTGTGAGAAGTGTTGCTCAGGCAGTTCTCTTGGTTCACATTACCATCCAAGTAAAAATCTGCTTCTTCCGATGGGACAATCAATGCAAATTCTTCCTGAAGAATATCCAACATGCTCTCACTGAATTGTAGACGTTGAATGTTGTCAGTTGAACAGAGCGTCTGAAAGACAATTACCTTGAAGAGATGGCATTTTAAATGTTTTTCACAATGGTTTGAAGGCTCTGATCTGCACAAGAGCAACATTTCATTAGGAAGGAAAGATAGATCTCTATAAAATATTTGTTTTCTTATTGTAGTCTACAGCTAGGGACATTTGGCTTCTGACGTCTGAATAAGAATGAGATGTCTTCTTATTAGTTTCAAATTTCAAGAATAAGATATCATACTGAAAAGAAAGCATAGTTTGTGAAGAACTTCAATTTATTTTGGCAACAATCATTATCATTAAAGATGGAGAAGTCCTCAACACTAAATGTCAATACTTAGAAAGGCAATATGCCTACTTCTTCATTTGTTAATCAACTGTCAGACCTCTTTTAATTACATTTTCTTTCCACTTATCATGTATAGATCTGTATATTTAAAGTAAGCATTTAATTTAGTTAAATAGATTTTTGGAAGGAAAGTTTTATTTTCTTATACTAAGCTATATCTTAGACTTATTAGACACATTTCTTTTTAGCATCCCATCTGGTACATCTTCAGAGATGGCTGATCTTTTGACCGGACTGCTCAAACGGAATGCTTCTGAGAGGATGAGCTTTGAACAATTTTTTTCTCATCCATTCTTGCACCCACCAAGAACTCCACAGCCTATCGAGCAAGTTCCAAGCCCCCTTTCCTGCAGTCCTGCTCCTGATCCAGGTATCATTGCTTTAACACCATTACATCATAAGAGCATGAATGTTCAAAACGGTTGAAATAAATGAGGGTTGATAATAGTCAAGGTTTTAACGAGGTCTTTAATATAAAGGATTACTTAACTGATTTAGCAGGGTGGCCATATTGTTGAACATCCATAGCAAGCTATGTTATAAATGTAAAACTTTCGATTCTGACTGTTATTGCCTTTTTATATTAACTACTTTCTTTTTTGTTAAATATAAGTGTAAAATATTACAAAAATTCCTTACATGGAACTCCTACAGCTCTCATAGTCTGTGAAAATGGATTTTTTTCTTAGTTTTTGAGGGCTTCTCTACATAATGTGTCTTATTTCCTTACGAATACACTGACAGGCAAAAAATTCCATCCACTTGATTTTTTCATGTTTTCATCTAAAAATATTTCTGCTTTGGATTGGTTTATTGTTTTTAATGAATAAATAGGTAATCTTTTTGTTTGTTTTCAATTAGGAATGTTAATATAGAGGACAATAACCCTTAATCCTTAATTCAATGAAATGATTCTAGATTCTAATGTTTACTTTCTATGGAATCAAAATGTTTATTCAGTATCATTAGTTCAGTGCTGTTTCTTGCAGCACATTTCTTAGTCTCCGACTTTTAATTTTTTCAATATTAAGTTTAAAAATGCCTCTTAGTGCTGAGGATATTGCGCGTGGTGTGGCACTTATTGATGATGGACGTTCCATTAGATATGCAGCTAATGCTATCGGAGTTCCATATGAAACTTTACGAGACACCGTCAGGCGTTTTCGGGAAACTGATTCTTACAATAGAAGGCCCGGTTCTGGACGGCCTAGGGTATCAGAACCACGGGATGACCGGTTTTTTACTTAGAGAATTTTACGAAAACGGCACCTTGGTGTTATTCAAGCGATTCATCAGCTTGAAGAAGTTCGAGGTGTGCAAATTTCTGAACGTACCACTCGGAGAAGATAAAATGAGTGTGGATTAATGGCTTTTCATCCAGTAAGAGGACCAGAGTTGACCAGAACTCACAGAGTAACACGGCTGGCTTTTGCTCGAAAACACAGCCATTGGACTATGGACGAATGGAGTGCTGTACTTTTTACAGATGAGTCAAGATTTGCTCTTCGATCTCCAAACGGGTGTGAAAGGGTGTGGAGAAGAAGAAACGAAAGATATACAGCCTGTAATTTTTCCCAGAGCCAACGTTTCCAACGTGGTTCCTTCTGGAGCAAAAGCCAGCCGTGTTACTCTGTGAGTTCTGGTCAACTCTGGTCCACTCACTGGACGAAAAACCATTAATCCATACTCATTTAATCTTCTCTGAGTGGTACATTCAGAAATTTGCACACCTCGAACTTCTTCAAGCTGATGAATCGCTTGAACTACAGCAAGGTACCTGTTTCGTAAAATTCTCAAAGTCAAAAACCGGTCATCCCGTGGTTCTGTTACCCTAGGCCATCCAGAACCGGGCCTTCTATTGTATGAACCAGTTTCCCGAAAACGCCTGATGGCGTCTCGTAAAGTTTCATAGTAAAGTTTCTTATGGAACTCCGATGGCATTAGCTGCATATCTAATGGAACGTCCATCATCAATAAGTGCCACACCACACGCAACATCCTCAGCACTAAGAGGCATTTTTAAACTTGATATTGAAAAAATTAAAAGCCGGAGACCAAGAAATGTGCTGCAAGAAACGGTACTGAACTAATGATACTGAATAAACATTTTGATTCCATAGAAAGTAAATATTGGAATCTAGAATCATTTCATTGAATTAAAGATTAAGGGTTATTGTCCTCTATATTAACATTCCTAATTGAAAACAAAGAAAAAGATTACCTATTTCTTCATTAAACACAATAGACCAATCCAAAGCAGAAATATTTTCAGATGAAAAAATCAAGTGGATGGAATTTTTTGCCTGTCAGTGTCTAATTTTAATTCTTTTACCACAAAGATATAAGAAAATTTATATATCTTTGGTTTATTAAAAAATTCATTAAGTACGTAACATTTTTGAAAATTAAATCACTAAGTGTTTTGATAAATTCACCTTCTCTGAAATAAAACATGATATAACTATTTTTTACTTATAAATGGTTAGTTTTATTTGAGCACTTCAGAGTTTTTTGTTATCAATAAATGTAATCTAGGTTCATAAATAGGTACCTTAAAGTTTAGCTCAATCATAGGTGTACTTAGTGACTTTTTCCATTAAGCCGATAATGTATTTTATTCAAAATAAATAAAAAGAACAACAAAAAAATATATATCAGTTATACGTGAATCCTATATTTACATAATTTAATAATATCACATATCATTATATAAATAGTCAAACACAAAACTGCTCAGCCTCTTTTTCTTCTCTGTTATTCAACCGATTTTTTTCCTTCTTTTTTTGTTTAATAGCTATTGATGAGCTTTAGTGTTATCAATAAATATAAATATAAATGGTAGTTCGTTCGAAACAGGTAATTTCCGAAAGTTCTTCACCAATTTCTTTGAAATTTTGACACAACGTCGCTATAGTATTTAGGAGTATTTTTGTATATGTTTCATTATCATCAGTCCTTTCCTTTTGAAATGGCGGCTGAAAAACGTGATTCGCTTTACATTGTTGCAGAGATATATCATTTTAAACAATTAGTACTTTTTCTTTTGCAAATACGATTTCCATTATTTGGTTTTTGATAAATTTAAAACTTAACATTTAATGAAGTACTCGGGACTATTATTTGAAGAGATGATATCATTGAATGTTACCTCATAAATTAAATTTTAAAGTAAATTCCATAGTTATACTCATTCTTAAATTAAATACTGCACAAGCATTAGTTAATGGAACATGAATGAGAGTGAAGTACTAACAGGAGCTACTTTAAGTAAAAGAATTTAAATTCCAAGAATTAATTTAATATTTTCTGACACAATAATTACATTCAAATTTCAAAGAACAAGGTTCTAATTAATAGCTGCATTTGCTATGACCATAATCAAATCGCAGGATCAAAGTTTTGGAAAAATTTGTGTATTATTACGAGGTCCAGTAATTTCGCATGGTCAATTATATGTGGCAGCAAGTAGAGCACGTTCGTTCAAAAATTTGAAATTTATATTTGCAATGGCTGGCAATGAGCAAGGCTATGTACTAAACAATAACAAAATATTAAAAAAAAAAATATTGTTTACCGAGAAGTTCTACATAAAAATTGATCTAAACTGAATTGAAATTGCTAATTTAAATTTATTTTCTACTTGCTTAATCATAAAATTAATTTATTGTGATAATAACACACGTAATTAAAATGGAAATTAAATATTTTTGAATGAATCTGTTTTTTATTACTTATAAATAATTTGAAGTAGTTAAAGTTTGATTTTTAATTGAAATTAAAATTTTATTTATATTAATAAATGAAGATTTTTGAATCATTATTTACTCATTTATTGAATTTATTTTTTATTTAACTATATGTTTTCCTCAAATTTTTAATGGTTATGGTCGAATTGTGACCACTGGGCGAACACTAGTATATTAAATTACACATAAAAAAATAATATGTAATAGGGTCAGCATTATTTATCACTAAAGATATTTTCATAAAACAATAAAATAAATTGATTAATTATCATTCCAATATTCAATTTAAAATCATGATAAGAGCTATGGATCAACAAATCAAGTGTTTCATTTTATTAGTATGAGTAGTAACTTAAAAACTAAATTATATTTCAAAGGATAATTATAGCTGAATTTTTCATTCATTCTATTAAAGTTATCTCTGTCAATAGAATTGGTGACTTCTCTTATTCTGTTTTAAGCTTATCTCAACCCTAAGATAGAGGGAAATTAAAACACAAAAAATGTTTCTCCTCTAGTCAAATCAGCAATAAGGAGATTATTCCAAGTGAAACTTTACCAACCTCAATAAAATAAAGCCAAAAAACCGATAATCAGTCTTTAGAATTTCAGTATCAGCTCATATTAATATACCGTTCAATCCCTAAATGATTGATTAACACGTTTATTCAGCAGTGAAGAAATATTCCAAGTGAAGTATCGATAGAATAAGGATGAAAGGCCAATATATCGGTGTTATTGATAATGCTTTTGGTTACAATATCTATCTTGGTTGACATATTCATTCAAGAATAAAGACATTTATCTAATCAACACCTTACTGAGCATGAACGAAAGATCAATATATTGGTTTATCACTCATTTATTGGCTAAAATTTGTATATATGTCAATCTCTAGATGATTGATTGATATTTTATTTGATAATTAGGAGGATATGCCAAGTGAAACTGGACAAACCTTGATGGAAAGGAAAATAAGGCAAATATTGGTCGATCTCCAAAAACTTATTTACTGACTCAAAGTGTGTTTTATTTTATTAATTCTTTACTATGTGTGTTATTTCTCCCCTCCCCTTCGAACCTATCATCCTAATTAAATCAAAGGTTAATTTTTCAATCAATTTTTCATTGATTATTCTGAGATGCCGTTTAGTGACTTAATGGCATAAAGATAAAATCTATCAAAAGAGATGAATTAAATCCTTGCTCAAGCAATATACTTATTTCTATTATAGTAATTTACTTTTTTTATTATTGCAATCCAGTATATTATTTCTGATTCAGTTATTAGTTCTAATTCAATTGAAATTCTTGTCTAAAATATCTTTGTTTACCAGCTTTGCTGGATAACAATTCGATAATTTTTGCTGTTATTAAAAACCTAATATACCTAATGAAATGTAAGTTTTTTATTGCAAATAATACTTGAAGGTGTCTTATGTTAATATTTAATACATATAAGTGTATTGTTTCAGGTTTTCCAGCTAGTACGTCTCCTGATGATTTTGATGATTTTGTTATGGTCCCGTCCAATCTTCCAACAGATAAACAGTAAATCAGTTTTAATTTTTTTTTTTTACTCTTATGAAAGAAATATTCTACTCATTCACTTAGTGATCACTTTATCTCAAAAACGTCATTGTCATGAAGTTGAAATTTTAAATGGTAGTTCTCTCTAAGCTGTGGAAATTCAATAAGGTAGGTTTTGAAAAAAAAAAATTATATCTAAAATCTAAAAATAAATATATATATATATATACACTGACAGCCAAAAAATTCCACCCACTTGATTTTTTCATGTTTTCATCTGAAAATATTTCTGCTTTGGATTGGTCTATTGTTTTTAATGAATAAATAGGTAATCTTTTTGTTTGTTTTCAATTAGGAATGTTAATATAGAGGACAATAACCCTTAATCCTTAATTCAATGAAATGATTCTAGATTCCATTGTTTACTTTCTATGGAATCAAAATCTTTATTCAGTATCATTAGTTCATTGCCATTTCTTGCAGCACATTTCTTAGTCTCCGGCTTTTAATTTTTTTAATATTAAGTTTAAAAATGCCTCTTAGTGCTGAGGATATTGTGCGTGGTGTGGCACTTATTGATGATGGACGTTCCATTAGATATGCTGCTAATGCCATCGGAGTTTCATATGAAACTTTACGAGACGCCGTCAGGTGTTTTCAAAATTGGTTCTTACAATAGAAGGCCCGGTTCTGGACGGCCTACGGTAACAGAACCACGGGATGACCGGTTTTTTACTTTGAGAATTTTACGAAACCGTCACCTTTACCGTTGTTCAAGCGATTCATCAGCTCGAAGAAGTTCGAGGTGTGCAAATTTCTGAACGTACTGCTCGGAGAAAATTAAATGAATATGGATGAATGGCTTTTCCTCCAGTAAGAGGACCAGAATCCACAGAATAACATGGCTGGCTTTTGCTCAAGAACACAGCCATTGGACGATGGACGAATGGAGTGCTTTACTTTTTACAGATGAGTCAAGATTCGCTCTTCGATCTTCGGGCGTGAAAGGGTGTGGAGAAGAAAAAACGAAAGATATGCAGCCTGTAATTTTTCCCAGAGCCAACCTTTCCAACGTGGTTCCTTAATGGTGTGGGCTGGGATTTCAATGGAGCGCCGCACAGAATTGGTTGTTGTTCGTGGAGGGTCTTTGACAGCCATTCGCTATGTAGATGAGATTTTGGAACCTCATGTGTTGCCTGTCCTCAATGAAATCGGCGATTGTTCTATTCTAATGCACCCCCACATGTCGCCCGCATAGTGCAGACGTTCCTTCAACGGAACAATATTGAGGTTTTAGCCTGGCCATCACGTTCTCCAGATTTGAACCCCATTGAGCATTGATCATTTATGAGATAACCTCGGAAGACGAATAAAAGCTTGTGCAACATTTACTGATACACTGCAGGACCTTGAAAGGGCTCTTCGGGGGGAATGGGCTATACTCCAGCAAAGGGACATTTCTCGACTGGTGGAACTTATGCCGAGGCGTGTTCAAGAAGTAGTGAAGGCAAGAGGAGGAAACACGCGCTACTAAACGATGATGTAATTAATTTCTTTTAGAATAATAATGGTTCGTTTTTCAATTTTTTTTTATCTAATCTTTCTTACCCAATCACATTTTGATTATTAAAGGTATAAAAGATTATAAAATTCCATAGTATTATCTACAAATACCATGTATTGTATACAAATACAACTTTTTTTACAAGTGGGTGGAATTTGTTGCTTATCAGTGATCTTACCAAATATTTTTAACCGTGCGTGCGTGCGTGCGTGTGTGTGTGTGTATAAATTATAGCTACTTTTACACACATTATAGCTAATTTTATGCCTGTTAAGCTTCATGAATTTCTATTACAGTTTGTCACCATGGATCTAATTTAAAAATTAATCAAGCCATTCATTCAATAAGTTGTTATCTACCTTATAATGGACAGATTAAATACATTGCATACAATAATTTCTCAGTGTTTTAAACCCAAATTTTTTCAGAACTCAGAACAGGAATCTCACTGAATAATTAAAGCTATCAAACTTAAAAATTGGTCCAGCTGTTTTTAAAAAAAAAATTGTTACATATAATTTAGTGGCCAGATTAAAAGACATAACATACAATTAATTGTCAGTGTTTTGAGTCCAAATTGTTTCAAAATACTCTCGGGATCTCACCAAATATTTTTAACCATCAAACTTATAAATTGGTTTATCCGATTGCTCAAAAAATTGTTACATGCCTTTTAATGGATTGATTAAATCATGTTTTACAATAATTTCTGCGTCTTTGAGCCGAAATTGTTTCAAAACACTCACTGGATAATTCAAACCATGAAAAATTGCCGTGCACTCAAAAAATTGTTATATATATTTCATAGGATAAAACTAAAAGACATTTTATACAATAATTTATCATGTTTTGAGCCTGAATTGTTTCAAAACATTCACCGGATCTTAATTAATAATTTGAACCATCAAACTTAAAAATCAGTCCAGCTGTTCGCTCAAAAAATTGTTATTTACCTTTTAGCAGACAACCCAAACCCTTGGTGTGGCTTCGTCATAGTCAGGTAAAAATATTCATACTTTAAATTTTACACAGAATTTCAATGAAAGTTTCCCTAAAGAATAGAAGAAATAGAATAGAATAGAAACATTTTATTGGCTTAATATACATCCTAGCCATGGAGTCTGGCCCATTTAGAGTTAGTAGGGATTAGTTTTATAAGTAGAAGAAAGAAGTAAATAAGTACAGTATAAGAAGACAAAAACAAAAATATTTTTATATAACAAACATCATAAATATTTTTATACTCCAAATATTTTTATTATTTATATATATAAATATATTTATATAATAAATATCATATGAGAAGGAGTTGATCGGGGGGTGCGGTCAAATTAATACTAAATTACACAAGTACAATTATTTAATTTAGTATTAATTTTACCGCACCTCGCGATCAACTCGCTTCTCATATTATATCAACGGTCAACCATCTCTACATCATAATAAATATCATAAATGAATAAAAATACATATATACCAAAGAAAATTTACTATGCAGAACACAACAAAGCAAAACAAATAGTAGAGGACTTAGGATTACAACGCACATGTTCAATTGTACAATTAATAATAATATTTAAAAGGCACCCAAATTTTGAATAAATACACGTATGCCCACTGACATATGAACACATGGCTGACTGCTGAAGGTTTGTACTTGTATTCGTAGAGTCACAAACACTTACAATAAAATAAAATATTTTGTTTAACTGGTCAAGATTTTTTATATCCAACACACACTCCAGTGATAAATCATATGTGGCAGCCTGTATATGTGTATGTAGGTATTTCCTTCTATGTGTCTCCAATAACAAGCACTCCTGCATCAAGTGCTTTAAACCGTTATTAATAAGTTGGCCGCACCACTTGCAGACTTCGTTTGTATTTATAACGTATGTAATGTTCCCATGGAGCAATTTTAGATTGTCGCTACCCGATACTCTTAAACGACTTATCGTCCGTAACTTTCTTAGAGGTATCATAAATTTTAAATAATTTTCCGGTTCTGAGCAATTGTAACCACAAATGTGTCGATACATAGGGCTGTAATTTGAATTGTAGGCACATTCAATGTCTTTGGAGTATAAATTGTTGGATACAGTTGTTAAAATAGCATTTTTGTTTCTAACAAGTATTCCTAGATCAGAAAAATGATTAAAATATTCTTCAACGAAATTAGAAGCGGCTATATTTTTAAGTTGTGAGAACCAATTAAAATCCAGATTTGGCTCCTTAGCATCAAGAGCCACCAGTTTCTCCAATCATTTTCGAGTATGCCGGTGGTCTAGCAGTGATGATAGTCTTATACAGAAATTTATAGCTTTCTTTAAATCAGCTAACAAGAGCGGTGAGCGACCAGTGTCGAATCTAACTATGTAATTAGGAGTTGATTTTGGCCAGAGATATGAGAGTTTGATAAATTTCAAGTGTGCCAATTCGATTGATTCCGAATATCTCAAGCCCCTGATTTCTGCTGCATACAGTTAACAAGACCGTTGAATCAAAAATTGTCATTTTGGTTTCCCATGGATCGCTCTTACCTGTCATTAAGATCTCTCGTACCTTCGCTCCTGCGACATTTGACTTTTGAACGAAGTGTTCAGCAGCCTTGGAAAATTTTGCCGATGTTGAAAATGGCACTCCTAGATAGTTATAGATTTTCGTAAATTCCAGAGGTTTGTTTTGCCAATATAGATACTTCATTTTTTTCATACGTGGTGATTTGTGGCATACCAGGATTTTTGATTTTTGAGGATTTAGGACTAATGAGTTTCGGGCACAGTACCCCGGTTAAAATTAGCGGATGGGGAGCTAATTGAAATAACGCTAGCTGAATGATCTGAGCAATCAGAGAAAACAGAAACTTCCATGTCTTTTACTATTTGCAGAGTGCTTTCATTAATCCAAACAAGATCAATAGTGTTATTACCATTTTTTGAAATGTAGTGTATTTTTCCAGTCTGTCTGAAGGGCATCTTCTATTACATACTAATAGCCCCATCGATTCCATTGTTTCGACCAACAGCTTACTCCTTTGGTTTATTTTTGCATGATTTACCATTTTGTTTTCATATAGGTTGGTATTCTGGAACAAATCAGATTCCAAATTATTTAAATATCCAATGTGCCCATTAAAATCTCCATATAAAATTATGTTGGTATCAGGTCGGCTAGATATGAAGTTAGATATGGTCCTACTGATTTTCTGCAGAAACTCTTCAAATTCACATTCCTAGGGTAAGTTTTTTTTTTTTTTTTTTTTCTTTTTTTTCTTTTTCTTTAAATTAATACATTCTGCCACATTGGAGGGCATTAATATCTGGGGTAAGTAAACATTTCCCAGCAATACAGTTCTATTATTAAAGTTAAAAGATGCTATGATTATATACTGTTTAATTTCTAGTACGGTAATAGCTTCTTTATTGTTAATTATTGAGTTATTTATGAAAGTAATGATACCTCCACTTGCTCTACCCCGTTGATTAGTTTTAACGGCGTTGCTACTAAAGTGGGTGAAATTATTTAACCAAGGTGGTATGATAAACCTATTGTCCATCCACCACGTTTCAGCTATACATATTACTAGTATGTTGGTACATGAAAATGAACTGATATTAAATAAATTCTGATAACCTTTAATGTTGTTAAATATGATCTTATATATTGTGTTAGTTGAAAGTTTATGATAATTACTATAGTATTTAGACTCCAGGAGAACTTGCGGCAGGTGAAGGTTGTCTGGTCAGGAGTCTTTTCCAGAAGGGTGGCCGCTTAGAGAGCTGGATCTCTGTCGGAACTCGAACTCTTTTAACCTTTCTCCCGTCTTTCTCCTTTTCTCAGCTTGAATTGATTTTTCGTCATCTTGATCAATCATCAGTGAAGTTTCTAGCATATTTTCTATCTCTTTCAGGTGATATAGACTAGCTCTAACTTTGAAAAACCCTTTACTGTAGTCCGCATTTTTGTATATATTTTTTAATTTACTTAAACAAGAAAAAAATTTTCTGCTCTCCTCCCTATCTTCTGGTGACCTGTCATGGCTTATCCTATAGCTATTTTTTGCTAAGGCATCTCTTTTTTTCATTACTGCCTGCTTGACAATATTATTGTTAAGAGAAACTAATATTGGTCTTGGTTCCCAACCTTTCCCAATACGGAAAACGTTATTTATGGTATGGGTTGGTAATTCTACGTCAACTTCCTGACACATATTTATTATTTTTGTGGGAACATCCTCGTTTTCTGTATGAGGGAGGTTAAAAATTAAAAAATTGTTTTTCCTTCTTTCTCTATTTAAGAATTTGATTTCATTTTCTAGTAAACTAATTTTTTTTTTCTTGTTCCGTATGTTTATTTCTGAGGTCAGAAATTTCGGCCATCAGAGAGTCAAGTATAACCGTAATCTTGTTTAGCGAGCTTTTTGACTCTACGTCGTTTCGGTTTATAACCGCCATTAAATCTTCATTTGTGACAGTCATAATAAGTGAAGATTCGTTTTACTGTTAATTTGAAAATTTTATTTTGGGGATAACAAAAACAGCTGGTTGACGGTGATGTAAGTAGTGGGGGGCAACGAGGTATTGCCTGCTGGTATTAAGAGATAAGGATAGTTAATTCACTGTTAGGTGCTTTTTCTTTACCTCCTCTTAACTCCTTGTATTCTTCTCTTACCTTTATCAAACTTTGTACACTTGTTCTTTAATGTAACATAAACTATTTCGTAAAAAATCAATTGAATTGGTCAACTTTAACTTCCTAAACCCAAGACAGATGTAGAGCTGATGTTACTCTATACACGGCCACGGCCAGACTTGAGTTCAATATAAATCATAAAATATCAAACAATAATTTTCATTGCTGTTTGTTTTATTTCTGAATGTACCTCATACCATCATCTCAAACTTTTTTTTGTTTAATATAAGAAAGAATTTTTTAGTTTTTTGACCATCGAGATCCTAACAGTGTATCTCATTTTAAATTTTACCTTTGTCTTTATTTTATTGTATCTGTCGTTGCTTTTTATTGAGTTCCTGATTTTATGTTTACAATGTTTTAGTGCACCTAATTACATGGGAATTAGCCCGCCAAGACCAAGCTCTCTTCCTATCTCAGTGCCGACGCGTTCAGGTCCTGTTGTGCAAGCACATCATTCACCTGTTCAAAAGGTAAATTAATTAATATTTATGTACAATATAAATAATAACTATAATACAAAGTAGGTGTTGCAGAATTACATAGAGCATTTTTATAATCAATTTTGTGTTCTAATTGAATGATGCTACCTATCAAGTGAAAGTTGTGTGATGCATGCACCAGATTGTTTTTGTTTTTAACCAAACACATGATACAATGGCCTGTTTGATAATTATTTTATACATTCAAATAAAACTCATTTATTTATTGTTCTATATTACACTGTTCAATTTCTTATTAGTTTTTAAAATTATTTTTACAATGCAACTGAGATGTGTATTTTTTCCTTTTTAATACATTAAACTACTTCAAAACATTTTTAAGAAACAGTGTAGTTATAAAGTTGGTTTAAAAGAATTTAAGAATGTAAGTTTCAATCAAAGGTGATTCTGAACATTGAATCATTGATTAATAGGTGGATTCAACTTTCCTTTGTTTTGTAATATTAGGCTAATAGATATGTATTTTAGCTATCAATCATTTTTTCAATAGAAAGGTATAAAATGCACACACATTGTTTACACCCTTTAGTTGGATTCTTTTTTGTACTTAGTTTCTGGTAAAGTTTAACATACTTCATAAATTTGCATAATTGGACTTAAACCTAATTCCAGTTTAATTAATAAAGTCGATTTTTTCTGTAAAATCCGGATGTTTGTTAAGGATTTTAATTATGATTTTACAGAAAGAACCTGATGAGAAAAAGGAAAACAGTGGTGTAAGTAATGAATCATAAATATTATTGGTATAGCACTTTGTGCACATCTTCAAAATTTGGGACTGTTAAATCAAGTTTTTATTCAATTTATTATTTATTTTAGTTTGGCATCAGTACATTCTAATGAATAATAAAATCAGAGCCTTAAATTTGCATTTTCATACTATGTAATTGATTTTGTGGTCTCAATGAAACATATTACGACACAGAGCACAGCTTTAATCAGATTTTCTGTCATCCTTTTCTATCTTGTGTGTATTGTAACATTTCTCTTATACTTTTTAACAATGCAAACTGAGATGTGTATTTTTCCCTTTTTAATCCATTAAACAACTTCCAAAAATATTTTTAATAAACAGTGTAGTTATAAAGTTGGTTTAAAAAAATTTAAGAATGTGAGTAAGTTTCAATCAAAGGTGATTCTGAACATTGAAGGTGATAACCTCGTGGAAGATCACTTTATATGGGATACTTTCTAAATAAATAAGAGATTATTAAATAATAAACAAAATTATAATAGTATTAATATATTAAATTGAAATTTATAATTATTTTATCTCAAGGTATGAGTTACTGACAATCACATCAAAAGACTCAGACAGACTTAACATTAGCTACACCGAACATTGTTTGATTTTAAAAGAAAGTCAAGTATGGGTTGGCAAGCTAACCTTTTTTCTATATATACCGTTTCTTCCTTTGTTGCACTAAATTCATTTGTCTTCTAACATTTTCCTATGTTTTGCCAAATATAACTTCCAAAATGGCGATACTGCAACTAGTGACTCTGCCAAAGAACAACTTCCAAGATGGTAATATTATTACTGGGTTTTATCCACTGGTGCCAGGATACCTTCTCCCATCCTATTTTCACCCCAGCCAAACACCAACTGCTTGCCAAAACAAAATCCTTTGCTTCCTCTCTTTTGGGATTTTCCTTTCTGGAGAAACTATACAGAGCAGTTATTTCATTTTCCCCGATCTAGTGAAACTAGATTAGCTTGCTATTTAATTAATTTATTAAATCATTTTTAACAACTTTCAATTAAGGTATATATTACAATATATTTATTTTTATCGCTATTTATTACAGTATTCCACATATTTTTTGTAGAAAAAATTTAATCTATTTGATTACTACCTGGTATTCAATAATACACTAAATCATGATCTCAAGCAAGCTGAAGTCGATGGCTATGAATGTTCTTAAAAACAGGAAATACCCAAAACAGTATTTGTATTTTAATATAACGTTAGGCAGATGTAGACCCCAGAATATCTTTTTTATCTCACAAACTACACCTTTGTGTAGGTCTCTCTGCCGAATTTTAAAATTTTTACTTTTTTTAGCCTTTAATGTTAGTAAATGGCTTGTTAACGAAAAGTTTGATGGAAAGTTTTCAGCCAATGGCGCTTGTACTCTTTAAGATTTTAATTACTTTTGATTTATTCTCCTTCATTCGAAATCCTTTCAAAACTGCACATAAATAATAGTCATAGGAGAAAAAGTTAGAATTATGAGGATGTTTTTTCAGGGTTTCTCAGCAGTGTTGAGTTTTAAATAGTATAATTTCAAACAAATTCAATCATCATATTTCATGTTTGCTGTTTTAGAGCTCAGTTCCTAGATCTCAGCCGATCAACATGGAAAGGACCGCAAATAGAGTTTCACCACCAGATATCAGTTCTTTGTCACCACCTTCTGTAAGTTCTTTGGGTTTTTTGACTATATTTCTGTGATAAATATTGTTGTAGTTACAAAATAATATTCTTTTTCCAGATCCAGTATGCTCTTGGCACTCCTCCAGGAATGAAAGGGTTTGCTGAGACGCCACCGCCAGTAAACACTTGGACAGTTTCACCCTCCAATTCTCCTCTCAGAAAATCAAGTAAGCTTAATTTTATTACATTCTGCAAGCTTTATTTTATTGTATTTTAATTGTTTATCAAGAACGATGACTTTATCTTTGTATTTTAATGTGTACATTTTAATTCCTTGCATTCTTCTGATTGTAATAAATAGATATTTCTCTATGTATCACCATAAGTTTTGCTTTTTTATTATTATCAATTACTTTACTTCATTTTATATTGATATTTTGTAGAATTAGGCATCGTTCATTGGGGGATATTAAAATAGATATAACAAAAAATAAGGATCATAAAAAATTCATTTTAAAAGGAAAGAAAATGAGATGTACGTGGTAAGAAAATAATTAGAAAAAAAATGTTTTTATAAATTGTAACAACTCCTAATCCACATGACACTAAATCTCAAACTAACTAAATTATAAACTGATATGTGTTCTAGATTGATATGCAAGATAGCAAGATATTTCGATTTGTTTATTTTATAAACTTGCCTATTCTTCTCCATTTAGTCATCATTTTTCCTCAGTATTTCATGAAATCTGTAGTATTTAGTATCTAACATCTTTACTCCATCATGTTATTCATATTGCATTCAAATACCTCATTTACACATTCTCTTGAACGGCAAGGTGAATGGTGAGTCGAATGTAAAAATGGGTTTCTCTGACCACTCGACTGACTTACACATTTGCCTCGCCATTTTTACAAATATGTAAATGCGAAATAAGAGTTATTTTATAATAATAATAATAATAATATTTTTGATTTATTTATTTCCTTTATGCCTATGATTTATTATTATTGGCACTGTAAACTATTATCTGTCTGCTGCAGATTTGTGTTGGTCCAACCATCATAAAGACCTTGTACATTCTTTAAGATTTCATTGTTGTCAAGCAAAAGTTGACATTCTTAGTTTAAGTATAACTACAATAAAAGTGAAGATTAAAGATATTTGCGTGATTTACTAAGCACAATGAAAGCAAACATTTTGGGATTTTTCATTATCTTGATAAGAAATTGTTGAATTTATTAAAAAAATTTATCTAAAGATTGTTTTCGGTTTTTCAGTGATGAATTCCCCATTATTGTGTGGAGCATTTGCATCCCTTAACACAAACAAGCTACCATTAGTTCCATTTAGTAAACCCATTACTGAAAATAATCTAGGTGAGTTACGTGTTCAAGTTTGTTACTTAAAACTATTCCTTTAATTTTTGTAAATATTTACTAATTTAATTTTTGTAAATATTGCTTACAGATTTCACAGAACTTGAATCTCCTGTGACTTTTGTTTTACCAGAATTACCTCAAGAAACATTATTGGAGGTAGATTTTCTCCTATTTTTTATTAATTTAGTTTGTTTGAAATCATGTATTATGGACTGTTTTCATGTAAAATGACACCGATCTATGCGTAAAGTTATCCACAATTAAACATGGGGTGGATGAAGCAGAAAAACAAAGTCATTTTGAAAAATGCCAACAATCGAATTTTTCTACATATGCAAGCTTATGTGCGGTTGAAACATTATCACCCTATTTGAGTGATTGTTTTGCTATTGAAGCGATACAGTTCATATTGAGGTGTAGAATGGAATTGCTTAACTTAAGCGTTATGCCGTGGATACATGAGGACAGCGGAGGACAACTGCTCGGTATGTTACTCGGGAAAAAAAGAGATCACCATACATTTCTTGGGGGTTCGTCATAGCTATAGGGAGGTCACGAAAAAATGTTTTGGCCAACAAACCTGTTCTCCTGAAGAAATATTTGGTTTACTTAAAGGTACCAACTGGCAAGCCCTAAGTAATTATATAAAGCTTGCCCCATTGCGATAAGTGGCATACCTTGTTTACTTGTTATATATATATATATATATATATATATAATATATATATATATATATATATATATATATATAATATTTATTTGTTGTCGTCATATTATTTATTATAGATTTTAGTTTTAATGGTTATTTTTAAAAGCTTGGTTTAAAGAATTGAGACAGTGAAAAAAAAATTGAAAAATATAATTTGTAAAAATTGTATTTCACAGTTACTGCATTTAGGATATAAAATGAAATATGTTTTGTGAGAATGACACAGACCGCGACAGACGGAATTTTCCATTGCCTATGTGTTCTAAAAAAGTAATGTCAATTATATATTCTGTAACTTTATTTATATCAATAAACACATTTTCATTAATGAATCTTCCATTCACGTTGGTATGGTCCTCAAAATAACAATATTTTTTCTTAAACAGTTTTCATATGATAGTAAACTTTATTTGTGGTCCCTAATAATATTGAATAAATTATTTTAATGATTTCAGAGAGAACACAATGAGACTTTAGCTAAACTTAACTTTGTGCTTGCGTTAAGCGAGTGCATTACGGATGTAGCCTCCTCGAGGGGCCGAGTGGAGCGGCTCGTGCTGCTGGTGCGGGCTTTACAGCTGCTCAGCTCAGCATTAACCCTTGGCACACAGCAACTTAGAAATGGCAGGCTCCAACCGTCCTCATCTGTTAAGACAGGTTTGTAGGGAAATATTTCAGTTCTAGATTTTTTCCTAATGCTCAAAGATTACTGAACTAATTATATTTACAAAGTAAAGTAAAAAATACAATAAACGAATGTGTAACAGTAGGAATAAAAAAATTTAGCAAATATACTAACTCATATGTTTTCCTCAAATTTACAATAATGGTTATTGTTGGATTTCAACCACTTGGCGAACACTAGTAATAATAAAAAAGAGAGTTTAGCTTCATCCAAAATATATTTAACTACTTTTTACTTTAAACATATATTAACTTACTTTCAATTGTTTTACAGTTATTTTTTTCTTTAAGTTTCATTAATTAAACATTTATATTATAACAAATAAAAAAAAATACTTAAATTTAATGATTTAATTAGAAAGTATCTATTTAAAACATAAACATATTCTAACAAGATTACTTCTTCGTAGAAGTAGTTTTGTAGCATGCCAAATGTTAAACAAAACTAATCTGGATCTTTTACTAATCAGATTTCACGAGAATTCTACATATTTAAATTTTTTATATAAATCAATATGATAAATCAATATATGATTTCTCATCACCAAAGGTTTGATGGCTTTGTTGTGATGCAGGGTTTAGAAAAGAATCACTTGATAGAAAATTTGTACCCATGTTTTACTTAAGATTTCAAGAAACAAATTTGATTCCTTGTTTGTCTTACTGTAGTGTCATATACATGCGATGGATAGGAAACCTGCTAACATCAATCCAATTTTGATTAAATTTAAAACTAGATTTGTAGCTAGATAATCGTATGTCTATTTTATTGTATTCCATCCACTACTTTCAACTATACATGTGCAGATGTATTTACCTTGGCACTCCTATATTTCTCAAATTCCAACTAGGGGGCAATGTTGTAATATTGTTAGATCTCTCTTTTAACTATTTAAGAGTTAAGCGACCATAACTTTTACCACTATCTGTAGACTTCAGTTAATCTTGTGCCATTTTTCTATTAGCTAATAATTCTTATGGTTTTCAGTTCAATGTTTTATTCAATTTATGATAGTTGTATAATTATTTGATCTAAAATATTTGTTGTGTATTTTTTAGTTGTAGGTTTATTGAACTCCAAATTTAGGCAATGTCTGTCTGAATGCAAGCAACTCAATTCTCCTGGCCTGCTGCAAAGTGCTTCAGCTTCTGCTGATCAGATTTTGTACAACCATGCTATCCATATGGTAAGTAATAGAAACACATTGGTAACAAATTAAAAATATGCCTTTTTTATCTAAATTGAAATAAATCTGTTATTATGATTAGAATACCTCCATTTAGAATTAAACAATGCAATTAAAGAAACAATGAGAGTAAAGTAATTTCTGAGAATATTGAAAGAAGTCCTGTAGGTTTCTGACCAATGGAAATAACCCAAATATTGTTTTAAACTTAGCGGGTATCTAAATTAGTCTGTTGATAATTCGCAAGCTAAATAATGTGACCTTATTAAATTTAGTTAAAGTAAATTTATTATTTGTGAAGTATTACAAAAAATATGTTATTTAAATAAAATGATCAATGGTTAACAAGTTTTTTCATCATAAAAGTGGTTTATTGAATAATTTTATTTATAAAAGCTTTAAACCTCTAAGGGTGAAATTCCCTTAAGATATTTTTATTAAAATAATTCTAATTAAACTCAACTTATATGTTTTAAGCATATACTCATCAGTATCGTTATTTTGTCTTGGTAGCTGTACTTACCTGTTCCCGTTTATGAATATTTTTGTTCTAATATTTTCACCAACTAAACTAAAATGCATCAGCACAATTATAGACAAATTAAAACTATGATATTAAGTTAAAATTATTACTTAACATTGAAAGAAATAAAAATTAAATTTAAAAATATATTTGAAATACTAATACATAAATTAAAATGATGAATTACATAATAAATAATAAATGCAGTAAATAATTAATAAAATTACTATTTAATATTATAACACATATAACTATACAATAAAAGAAATAACTAATATATGCAATAAATAATATTTAAACTTAAAAAAATTATAATTATGATTTCTATATTATTCTATACAAATAATCAATTATAAAAAAGGAACAAGTCCAACATTTTCTCTTTTTTGACCATCCTGACGTCTTTCTGAGTCATCTAGGTAACATAACTGCAAGAGCTACTTCTAGTTTTTTAGGTTTTGATGAACTAAACTTATCATTGAAGTGGATTTTACTTTTATTAAAACATTTTAATTTATAGAAAATTTATCAAGTATTATAAAATTTTATAACCGTTTATGCTCCCCTAAAGTTTCATTATAAGCACTTCTTTAGTCTTGAGAAATAAATTCTTTTCCAAAGATAAACACTTTCTACAACTCAGAACTGTTTAAAACAGTGAAATATGAGAGGCCTTATGAAATTTGTTGCCCAGTTAAAACTTCTTCTAGAATCTCCTCCGGAAGTTAATCTAGTTTATATTTTATCACCAACTTAGTTGATTTTGATCTCAAAAACTGTCTATTTATTAATTATTTAAGTTGTATTTATTAAAAATAATTTTAATTTCTCAGTGCCAGTCAGCTGCCTTGGATGAACTGTTTGGGAACCCAGCCGAGTGCTTCCAAAGGTACCAAACTGCTCAGATCCTTCTTCATGCTCTTGCCCAGCAGACCCCCAACACCCAGGACAAAATGCTCCTTAACAAATGTAAGTAATAGCTGCTAATAAAGTGAAATGATTTATGCTAATATATCATGTTTAAATTATCAAAGGCTTATCAGTCTTTTATTAATAATTGTAGTTACATCACCTTTGCCTCACTTTGTAATTGTCCTTGATTCACTATAGACTTAAGTTAAGTCTTGTATATTACAAAAACTTGGCTTAGTATTTGGAAATTGTCTCGTTTTTCAATATTTTTCTATTCCTTTAATACATTTGTTTTAGATAAAGATGCAGTTGAAAAGAGACTTAATGTACTACAAGAACAGGGATACATATATTCAAATACTACTAATAACATTTAGTTATCCTTTACAATTTTCACATTTAGTGAAAATTTTTTTGGATGAAGTTGTTTACTTCTGCGGCTCAAAAACACTATATATTGAAAAGAAAAGAAGAAAAGGTGATTTGGCATTTTATATGAAGTGCTGAGGGAAGGGGAAGGCGAGAGAGAGAGGGATTTCAGCAATGATTTTATATGAAACTAAAGGATTCGAAATTGCTGGATATCACTCGAAAATGTCTGATTCAACATTTGATTCCTTTGTGCTCTCACTCGGGTCTCTTGGTTATAACTTAAGGATCTCACCGTGTTATTTGTAGTTTTACAGATAAAATGTGAAAGTATACGGAGGTTATTTCTTTTTCCAACATGGTTACATTCTATTTGATTTAGTTTGTTTGTTGTTTGAAACTTGGTGGTAAGTGTGGTCTTCCGAAACTTATATTCTAACTTTTCTTACTGAAAATTGAAATTTATGTAAATATGTTAATTTTAATTACTATCTTTGATGCTCATGTAATTTTTTAAGATTGATTACTTATGATATAAAGAATGGAATTTGGAATTAGAATAATCTAGATTTTTTTTATTATTATGAAATCTGGGCTATTTTATTCATTTCACTACTACAAATCGTTTATACTGAAAAAAAAATTATATTTATAGCCTGTACTTTTGTTCCTTATTATTGTAGATATTACTTTAACCAAGTATAGCTACATAGTTTTATTTTTTTTGACTGATTGAGTTACAAATTGATGATCCAAGAAGCAGACAGTTGGAAATGGATTTCACTGTTATGGTTAATCAGTATATTAACAAAAACATTTCTATGTAACATGATGAATATCCATTGTTCTATTTTTTCATATATATAATATTTTATATGAGTTAAATAATTATAAATAATTATGATATGAAGAAAAGAATTTGTTAAAGAAATATTGTGAATTGTATTATTCTTTTTTTTTATACATTCATTTGGAAGTTTGCATGTTTGTTATTGGATAATGATGTTTATGGTTTGTTAACCAAAATTATAAATTAATTTTTTTAAGTAATAACTTGTATTCTCAATGATTTCTTTTTATTGAAAGTATATACGCAAACAAATATTATTGATTGTAGAGGTATTATCATTTCATATTTCTGTTCCTTATAGATATAGGGCAATAAGTCCATTTTTCGCTAACTTAGCATTATTACATATTTTTATTTAACTGCTTTGGCTTTTGTTCTATTAAAAATACTAGTAATATTTTCAATGCAATAATATCTCCAAAGAAATTATGATATATAAAAATAATTGAAAGTGTCTCAATGTTTTATGATAAAAACAATTATAATTTTATTATTTACATGTTTAGTGCAACTCTTTTTAAAAAGTTCCTTAATATGTGCAAACGTCAAGATTTGCGTATAAACTTTTTATGTTATTTTTATTAAATTAAGAATATAAGGTATCATCAAAATAATGGACAATAATACTTTTTTTCCCCCCCCCCCCCACCTTTATGTTAAGAATTTCATTTATGATGTGGTAATATACAGATTTTTACTTTTGTTAATTTTGAACTTAAAGGAAATTTGATCAAGAGATATGTAAAACTGGCATATTTTATTTTCAATCCCAAAGATTGAAAAACTGTATCATGATATTTTTGAACATATTTTAGTGCTTGTAAACAAGTTTATGGCAGCTTTTTAGTGGCAGTTTTCAAGGCTTAATATTTGTTAAGAAATATTTTCTAAGCAGAAAAAGTTAAGATACGGTAAGTTATGAACCGAACTCAATATGCGTTCAACGACCAAATTATTATCCAAATGGTATGACGGTTTTATGAAAATATCAAAAGCATACTTCTGTAAAAGTTAATATGTATAGGTATATACATATATAATTAATAACAGTTTTGATTATTAATTATTTTAACTAGATAAGTATTTATAAAAATCTGATTGGTTTTCAATTAATTAATTATACTTTAATTACTTCACTTGACTATATATTAATTAAATTGATTAATTAATATATATTTAGTGACTAAGACATTTGATGATGAATAAAATCTACATAGTGCTTTTTCAGCAGAACTACTATTTTATCTGCGATTAGTTCTGAAAGTAATAAATTAATGAATAAAACTAATAAGTGGTTACTAAATTTACCCAAAATTGTTATTTGGGTGGTGTGAGACTGAGATTTAAATTTTTACTTATACTTGCATCTGCTGTATAGTTTTATATCAAGTTTCAAGAACATAGAAATAGTGCAATATGACAACTGCATTAATTTCTAACCTATTTTTATTTAATTTAAATGCCATTAATCTTTTACATAAATGTTGGAATAATGATATTGACTTAATTGTAATAAATTTCAACCTAATAGAGCTTGGTGATATAACATTTTCAATGGAATCTGATTTAATAATTATTATTAAATGATAAGTTGTTTTCTGGATCAATAATTATCCAAAGAATATCTTTAAAATAATTTTGTTTTTGTGGCTTAAAATGTACATATTTGTAATATATATTTTTACTAATTTGAGTATAAAAACTGTTTTAAAAAATCATTTAATTAAGTGAGGGATTTACCTAGTTGAAAATCTAAGAATAAGTGCTGAGTTTTATATAAGTCAATCGATGAGGCTTGTAATCTAATGTGCATTTGGAAGTGTATAAGTTTTGTTGATATATTTCAATTCACTAACGATGGTACAATTGTTAGTTTCTATTTTCGTAAATATTAAATTGATGCATAATAAACAAAGCTTAACTGTAGGGGAAGGTTATCGTGAAGTTCAGTTCATAAAAATGCATTTGTTTTCAAAATACTGTTCTTGTTATAAAAATTGATTTTTTCTTTGTTTCTCTACCGACTTCTCACCTCTTAATTTTGGAATTCATTATTTATCTGTATATCTATGCCCTTAGATAATTTTTTTTATTTTTATTTTCAACATTCTGTTACCTCAGATATGAACTGTGAAAGTATATTGGAAAAAATGTATTTTTTTTTTTTAAACGACAGTTTATATAACAAAAGTCTTCTTTGTGTTAAATTAAAGACTTTTACACTAATTTGGTTAATATTTACTTTTTATATGAGTGACTTTAAAAAAAGAAATCTACTCCTAAAAAAATTGTTCAGTTGGGAAAGGCATCTACTTTCACTTGAATATTTTTTTATCATATAGTATCTGCAATAAATATTACAAATGCAATCAATTTAATAAAAATAATGCTTAATTATTTTAGTATTGCTGTAATAAATTTAATTTTTTTTTTTTTATAATTTACTATTTCTTTTTTTACAAATATCTTAAATAAATTACAGGTTTACAAATATCTTATGTTACTTCATAATTAATTAAATGCTTTGTATAATTGTATATTTGTAACAATGTCTTTAAAATCTTAATTTAAAGTATGACAGTTACCAAAAATGAGTAAAATATTATTAAACTTCATACTTTGTATCAGTTATTTACTATAGCCATTACAAGTAGTACCCTCATTGTTTAGTTTATTTAATTTATTTTAAAAATATGTTTATTAATATTTCTTTTATGAGTAACATTTTTTAATAATACATAGTATTAAAAATCAATAATTCTTATGTACCTTAGTAAATGTACAAATGAAATCAGCAAATGATCAATAATAGGACTTGCTGATCTGTCTATTTTGTAAGAGTTGTAAATAAGTTGTCGAGGTTTAAGTGAATAAAATTACTGGATACTTTGTTATAGTTAAATCATTGTGAGGACATTTTCACACAAATCGTCATTCACTTGTGTTTTGTTATTTTATATTTGTATTGTTATATTTTGCGACTATATTTTTATAAATAACCTCTGTTCAATCATAGTATAATAGTATATATTAATGTACATATCCATTGATGTAACTACAGTATCATTTGATGAATAAATATTTGTTATCTTCCTTGCTTTTTTCTAGTTACAAAGAATTTATGTTTTTTAGGAATTAAAAAAATGTAATAAAAGAAACTATCTGAGTTTAATTTAAAAAATAATTTGATAAAAAATGAAAAAAAAAAAATATTACTCCACTATTTAGGGACAGTAACTCAAAACATAGAATCCAAGAGTAAACCAAATCAGTGATAATTAAGCTGTAATGCCTTTGGAAAGATTCATTAGAAATTATCAATTTTCTCAGGTATTACTCTACCAGTAAAATCATTTTTACGGTACCTTTTCTTTTTAGAAATATCTACCATTTATTTGATAATTTACTTCTCAGCACGTGAAATTGAAGTCAATTTTTTAATGTTTTTTCAGTGAAGTAATCACTTATTAAGCATAATAGAGAATAGAAATTTCGTCCCTTCACCTTTCATAAACTAAGAATTTGCCAAAAAGAGAATTTATTTCATTTAAAATTTTCTTATATATATATATATTTTTTTTTCTCAGTTGGCACTACAGACCATGAAGATCTTTGACCGAGAGTGTGGTGTCCTAGAACACATCCGGATTCCCGATTTAAAGTGCAGAGTAGGGTCTATCAATCCTAGACCCGGCCAGTGTGAGTTGCCTCCAGTAGACTGAAGGGTCTCACATACCTAGAGGGGGGGAATCTTGGGCAGTGTGGCTTTCCTTGGTGGGCAAGGAGATATTGACTAACCAGTTTCTTTTAGCAATTCTTTATTGTACCTTTTCTTCCAAGGTTCTCATCCCACATAGGTCCTGTTATTGTTCGAAGGACTTTTCTTTTGAATTTCTCAATTATGCCTTTTGGGGTATCAGTTAAAGCCCAGGTTTCACAGCTATACTGCAGAACTGTAGTTGTACACCATCAGTCTGAGATTTCTGAAAAATTTTCTGTATTTCAGTATTCTTGAAAGAGAGAAGAAAGATGTATTTGTACTTGTTAACAGGTCTATCTCTGTTAGTTGATTATTTATTGAGATTATTGTGGAGCAAAGGTATTTTAATCTGTGCTATTTCGTGAATGACTTAAGAGTCCAAGCAGATTCTGCAATTAGAGTGGATATTTTGTTTTATCTTCATTGTAGTACGATTTGTTCAGCTTCTCTTATCAGAGTTCCAGTGAGTCATAATATACTCTTGCTTGCTTCTGAGAACATCTATATCATTCGTTTCGTGCTAGGATTTAATTTTTCGTTCCGACGTGCACTGCACCATTTTTGCATTGATGTTCCTATTACTTTTTCCAGGGCTAAGTTGAACTGCAACGGCGAGAGTCAATATCCCCACCTCAAACCTGTTCGGCTTTCGAAGACTCTAGATACTTCTCCCTGTATTAGTACTCTGCATTTAGGATCATTTGTACACACCTTAAGACAAAAAGAACACTGGCTATGGGAAAATGAATCATCGCGGAGTGAACGAGACGTTACAGGCATTGAAAAGAAGATATTTTTGGTGGGGATAAAAAAGAAGTGGCAAGATCTTGTGAAGTGTGTCAAACCACAAAGTACGATCGATATCCGCCAAAAGGGATACAGGAAGAGACACCTACGCCGAATGTAGCATTAAGCAAATTACAGATGGAAACATTTACCTGGAAAGTGTTCGAATGAATCACTACGATCGACCTATTCAGTAAAATTGCGGTGACTTCTCCAATACAGGAACGGTCAGCAGAAGTGATGATTGCAGCCCTCAGAACATGATTTCATAGAATATCATCGGATGGAGGAAAGGATTAGGAAGGCGATAAAAACAATTGACATAACATGACAAATCAATACGCTAGGACACTCCAAGGGTAAGGGAGTATCGAAAGACCACACAGCACGCTGGGGAATCATCTGTTAATATTACACACAGATAATAGCCAGGAACCAGATTTAGCCATGACCAAAGAAATAACAAAACAACCATTCGATCCACACAGACGAAGGGATAACAGGAGTACGGTGGTGGAAGAAGAGTTTTCCGGTATAGTTAAAATCGCATAGCACTCGAAAACTATGGGAGAAAGCTCGCGGGAAAATAGATGGTGGAAAAAAGTAGGTGGGTGCGAATATATGAGAGTCGAGGACATAATGGGCAAGTACAGTAGACACTTTAGCGTGCCGAAAAGTGGAACCTAATAAAAATAAAAAGTTGATAAGGTAAGAGGGTCCATTTAGGGCAATTGTGATTAGGAAGCACAATGTAGAAACGATCTAAAGCGCATGAGAATCCAGAAAGCGTCGAACTGTCCACATCGAGCAATTGACTCTTCCAGTGGGGGACTCGGAGCAACCATTGTAAGCCGGAGCATCCTTGTCTCTAGACACGAGGAAAAATGAACAGAAACCCTCGATGCGTTATTATGTTTTACTATAGATCAGTCTTCATACAGAAGTCGTATATCCTTTCGCCTCTTGATCTCTTTTTTTAAAAATTCTGTCATACATTAAAATTGTCAATATATTTCCTACAATAAATCCCTCAGACGGTAAATATATTGATGAAATTTGGTATTAACGACGGACGGGCACCTTAAGGCCGGTACTGGAACTACCATAAGAAATGTTACTCCTATAAAATATTATTTCTCAACCTATCCTCTTTACTGCATGGCCATTTTTTTAACCTGATTCATTTTTACTAATTTTTTTTATCTTTAAATATTAATCTGCACCTGTCGACGATTGTTAACAACTAGCAGATGGTCTGACTAAAGTAATGAAACTGACATGTCAGGTATGGGGAAGGATATCATCCAGCAGTACCTCTTTCCTGGCTTGAATCATATTGATTTCAAATTAATGAATTCTGAAAATCAACTTTATTGGTGGTCTTATACACTTTTAGCACTCAGATACGACACTGCTTGGGTCAGGCATTCTTTGAGTAGTGGTCGACTTTTATTTATTGGAGCAACAATGAAATATGATAAACTTCTTTCCAGTCTTTGTCAAAATACTAAAAGACGCTAAAGGAAAATAAACTATTCAGTAATAGTTACTAATTAATGAAGCACACAGAAGTACATAGAGCTAAATGTCAAAACAAATAGTGAGGTTTCAATATAGGTTACCAAACAGCCGATACTGTAAACAATTTTATTGTCTTATATTTTACCAGTAGTTGATATGTTCAACGAAATTCTATCCTTAGCATCCTCGAATGGAAAATTTATTATCATTGATAATTTACATCAAGAATTGATTTAAAGAGACATGTCAAGTTTGATCGAGGAGATTAACATTTACTAATTGATGTTTCAGTTAATAATTATTATCAATTTATAATGCCACCGCGGAAATCAATTAAAAGTTTATATAGTGTCTGCATTGATCATGTTTTAGAAGTAATTCATATGTATGTTGTCAAACATCAAAAGAATTTTGTACCATTGAGAAAATATTTAATAGGGCTTCTTCATGGTGGTATTAGGGAGCATTTGATTGACAGAGCTGTGACAAATTACAGGTCTCATTATATTAATTATTACTTTATTTCAAAATTTTCCAATTATTTTTGTTTGTGATTCTATTCAGCGTAACTGTCATGATTTTGTTTAGTTCCAAGGTGTTTGATTTATTGGATATACTTGAATTACTTGCTGACTCTACAACTAAAAAATTGCAATTGAAAAAAAAGGGAGAATTTCTAACTGGTTTTCAAAGTGCTCAACTCTATTCCAGAATTGAGGGTTCAAATATTATTGGTTTGCATGAACTTCATGTCAAGGTATTTAATAACAGCTTATCTATTTATAAATTGATCATTTATTTTTTTTATTCAGTTTTTCGTTTGTACTTACTTACTCTGCAGCTATACAGTCCGGGGTGGACCTCGAAAATTTGAAGTATTGTTTATGGTCTAATGCTATTTGGCCATCACCAATGTCTTAAAAATTTAATGTTTTTGTAAATGAACATGATAATACTGGATCCACAATTTATCCTGTTATAATTATTATTGTTGAATATTTATTTTATGTGAACCAAATCCACAAGATGGGTTACTAGGTAATTAAAAAAATAAATGCCTTTCCTTTTTTAATCTGTTATAGGTTCAGATTGAGCACTCTCTTCCCTCTCAAGTTGAATCCTTACCAAGCAACCATCTGCATTCAGCATTAAGAAGAGGATTAGCCAGCAATCTTCGCATTCTTACTCTACAAAATGCTGCTGATAATCAGTCGTTAAAGATTATTGGGCAATATGCTCAACATTTGACTAATTTGGACATCACATCATCCTGGCTTGTTGATGATTTTGGAATTGGTGAACTCCTTTTAAAAGTAAAAGACAACATTTTGTTAAATTGTCAGTTTAATATATCTAAAATATCTTATTGTGAATATTTATTTCTTAAAAAATACAATAAACTTTTCCATTGTATTTTATTTTTATGAGGAACTCAATAGTTTTATTGATAAAGCATCTTTAGATAATGACTGTTACTACTTTACAAGTGTCATTCCATTGTGATAGGTGGGCACTAAATCCTTGATAATACTGTAGATGGAATTCGGAATACAGCTAAGGGGATCTCAATTGAAAAGTTCCTCTTAGGTGTTTGTTTACCTTTACAGAGAGCAGAAATGGAAAGCAGGAAGTATGGCCCAATTTAAAATAAAGTATCATTGTGATGATTTTGAGGTAGAAGAGTATTCACACAGGTAACCATATATTTACATAGGGATATTAGCAATGACAAGTAAGTATATTCAGATCAGAGAAATTATTATTCTCTTTGCTTCAGTTGAAATAGAACTACTCATTACAATAATTAGTGCAAGAGGCTATGGTGGCCAAGCATGTTGAGATTACCTGCTTTAACATTCTTGAGTTGGGCGGTGCTGGTTAGAATTTGGTCTGAGTGGGTAGACATTTATTTTGTATTGGACCCATGGCTCCCTAAACTGAAAAATTAGCTTCTTTGAAAAAAAAAACTAGAACTTCCTGTGCGAGTAATTTGCTAAATTTCATATTTAAAAAAAAAATTAAAATTTTATCACATAATCAAAGAATGCAGCCCACGGGTCATAGTTTGGAGACCCCTGTTCTAGATGCAATGAGACCATTCGAACTGATAAGAACCAAATTATTTTTGTGTGAGATTTCATGACTGATGTAGGATTTAACAATTTTATAGTATGTTAAAAATGGATGAATTAATATGAGAAGGAGTTAATTGGGGGATGCGGTCAAATAAATACTAAATTAAAATATAGTATTTATTTAATTTTTGCCGACATTTCAACCCGCTTTGCTGGTCGTCTTCAGGGCTACAAAAGATACAAAACATGTTAAAAATAAAAAATAAATATAAATAGATATAAAATAAGAAGAAGTTGTCAGATACAGAAATAAAAAGATGATATCAGAGATATAGTGGGTTACAGTGTAGTTAAAATATTAAGTATTATATATGTAGAAGATACAAACAAATTGAAAATAAGTATGAATAAAAATAAAAATAAAGGAGAATATATTATATTATTATATCAACATATTATATGTTATATGTATGTATGTATGTTATATGTATATATATTATATATATATTTCTTTACATATATTATATTATATTATATATTATCATATTATATCAACGGTCAACCATCTCTACATCATCATGATGAATTAATATGTTTTAATTTAGAAGTCTTACTGATTTTTCTTTTGAGTTAGCTTCATTTTCACCCAACATTGTTGTTTCAGGATGCTGTAAATGTAATAAACGCTCATCTTGTAGAACTTGAAAGTTGTGAACCTGTCGCTATTGAAGCAATGGCCGCTCTCCAGAGATCTCAACTTAACAAGACATGTGAGACCTTACAAGAAGTAAAAATACAAGATACAAATACAACTTCTGTTTCAGTAATGTTACTTTTAATGTTCTGTTCTAATTTAAAAAGCCATGGAGGTTTTTTGTATTACAGGTATTTATATCATCAATTTTTATAAATTATATATACTTGATCTATGTGCTAAGATATTATTTTTGGAAAAATAAAATTTTAAACATTAATTTATTTGGACGTTTTTCTTTAGGAACATTGGTGATGCAGTGTTGAGTGTTCAAAATCGGGACAGCGCTCCAGCACACCTTCAATTAACTGAACTATGGGACACACAACTCCCTCCGGATAAGCTTGCAAAAATTTGCAAGTTTCTTCCCAAGCTCAACTCACTTTACACCCGAGCTTCTTGGCTTCCTCAAACCCCTGGAATTTTACCTCCACTAACCAATCTAACTGCTGATTTTGATTTTGGATTTTATGCCCCAGTGCTATTTCCATACCTTCATCACTCTGGACATTCTTTGCGTCGACTTATTCTTATTGATCAGGTAAGTTTTTATGACAGGCTTATCACATTTCTTTTAGTTGTCAAAAAAACATCCATTATTGAAGGTATAAATTGAGAGTGTTACCATAAAAATTCTTCGAAAATGCTTTTTGTTATCCTCAATAAGATTTGGTTGAGATTTAAGTTAAAAAATCAGCAGTCACAATCAATAAATTCTCATTATACTGTCAATAAGAATAAATTATTGTGTACAAGTGATGAGGTGAAATTTTACAGACTAAAAAACAATCAGGAGTTGAATTTACTCATTAACTATATAAAGTACCAGCATCTAACAATTATTCATAGTGTAAATCGTATAGAACACAACAGTAGTATCTAAATCTGAAAGATTGAAAAAATGTGATATAAAGTAATGTATAGTGTTCCAATAATGTAGACAAATAGGAATTACTCTAGAAAAAGCAAGGTAAAGAAAGGAGCATTGCCTTATTGTATCTTAAGATACAACACATCTAACATGATTACTATTATCAAGTTTTGTTGTATTGCTGATACTATTAAATTTTGATGTATTGCAACTAATATGAAGTTTTAACTTATTGTGAGTTCCTTTGATTGATTAATTGATCTTTTATTGTCTTAGGGCCTAGGGCCTTTTCGACTGACGAGAATAAAATGACATTTTAGATTTAACGTTTTTCATTACAATACACAATGTTGTTTTTGTAATTTTTTTTTACAATTTAATTTTAATGTTAATAAATTGTTTATAAAAATAAAGTAAAGTTAGTATTAGTATAATTGTATAATGAAATATGATAAAAGAAGAAAGAAAGAAAAAAAAATGAGGGATTATAGGTGAGACTAAAGTCAAGTACCATAAAAAATTAAAATGACATTAAAAGTGCTGGGAAAGGGAGGGGAGAGAGGAGAGAGTAATTGCAAGAACTTTGAATCTTCATGGTGCTCTCGACCGATCAAGACAAGCCTTGCCGAAGAAGGACGCTGATCTTACTTCTACCCTACCGGAAACTTGTTTGGTTAAACCATTGCTGCTTGGAAAGCGTTCCTCAAAATCTCAGTTCTGCAAGCCGGCAGCTGGAATGCTCCCTGCAACCAGCAACCAGTCAGAAGCAGTCTTATAAATTAGTAATCTTACTTAGACTACTTCCAACTATACTAGAAGTTATTTTAACTTGGCCTAATTAGATCTGTCCTTCCTGCACATCCAGCTTCGAAACGCTTAGGGATATGAGGGTCTAGCAATCCCAAAGCATATGAATACAAGATTAATCCTGCTGGATCTGTATAATTCAATTATTTGAAAGCAGTTGCACTTTCTAATACAATTTCAGAAAATTGTTCCAGGGTATTTAGCTTCAACTTTTTTTAATGGGTTTGAAATTAAAAATCTTAACAAGATAATTGGACGCTTGTAGCTGTTTATTATCATATCACTTACAAAGACTTTCATATAACCCTTAGCTAAAATAGCTATTGCAGATATTAATTGTGCTGCTTGACCCTTTAATGAGGATTTCAAATTATGAAATTTTTAAATTTTTGTTGTCATTATTTTCATGAATTAATGAACTGAATATATCCCAGTAGGAAACCCATTCAGCTACATCAAGAAGAGCGCTGACACTTATAAAAGTTACTCAAAAGTTCTATTTCCTTTCAAAATCACCATTAGATGACTTAAATTTACAACCTTTAACAGCATTTCTTGACCCAAGTGGAATTCTCAACTTGCTAACAGTCCTTTATCTTATAATTCTAAACACCCCATAATATTGTCACCGGAGGATCATGTTACTTCACTGATTATCAATGATATGCATCGAAATTATCTTCATACTGGATTATAGATCTTATCCTTGTTGAGAAGATGCTATTAAGTAATCTGGGAAAAAAAATTATATTTGTTTAAATTTTTCGCAGTGTTACAGAAAATTGGCTTTTTCTCAACTTTTTAAAAATGACAGATGTCTGTTTTATGAAGCCAATCATATGATTGCAGAAGAATGACATATTAATGGTGAAAAAGTGCAAAATTATTTTATAAAAATCATATTTTGATTTATGATAATATTCTTTAGTCATATGCTGGTTAATTTGTATTTAACAGGTTTACAGTATCGATATATCTCAAATCGCTGCCCTTTGTCCCAACCTGGAAGAACTTACAGCAAAATTGAGTATACAGGATGAAAAAGATAATACTGCTGAGCTGAAGAATCTACGTTGTGCTAAAGTAAGAATCACTACTCCATCCACATTCACTTGGATCATGAAACATTCTCCTAATATTCTTCAACTCGAGGTGATTACTTTTTATTTATCGAGATGGAAATTTTATGCCAGAATTATTATACTTTTTTAATATCTTTATGATATCAAATGTATTTACCATAGTTTTTAACTAAAATTATTACATTTACTTATATATTTTTTTTGTTTTTCTTATAGATTCTTCTGGAAAGAGATGACACTTTTGATATGTTTGAAAATGATGTAATCATGGATGTAATTGAGCAAAACCCTAAATCGTTACATTCTATTAGGCATCTTAGCATACATATGTTCCATAATTCTGGTCATCATGGTTATGTGATATCTCTTGGAACGGTAAAAACTTTTTATATTCTTTAAATTTAAGTTTTGATTTCCACTAATATTTATTACTTAATTAGTACTTGTTACTTTTATCTGAAGGGTGTATAAATTTATGTGAGTAATCTCATTTGCACAAACAAAAATTCATTCAAGACTAGTCCAAATATTCCATAAATTATTCTCTTGCTGAATGAATTTATTATTAATTTAATTGTTTGTATATTGTATAATAAAATGTATGTAACCACTACTGATTCAGTTTTTAGGTAGTATCAACTTTACATTAAAAGTAAAACAAGCTGTTCCCAATTTAACTCACACTGCTGCATGGATAATATATACAATAAATGAATAAAAATTAAAAACTTTTAGAGATGGATATATAGTTAAATGTTGAATTTGTAAGGATGAAAAATGGTCAGGATGTTCAGTAAAAAAGTTATGTTTATTGAGTTTGCCGATGTTTTGACACTAACATGTGGGCCATCATCAGGAATTAAAAATTTAATAATACAAAATTACATCAGAAAAATAATAAATTTAAAAGTATGTAAGTCAATGAATACAAATAGTTTTCTAGTTTAGTTCATTTTTCATCCTCAACAAATTTTTTAACTACACCAGGAGTATGTTCAAATTCTGTATTACAAAGGATCCGGAAATCTATTAGATGATCTATTAGCTGGGAAATCTATTAGAAATAACCGTAAAAGAAACAATTCTATAAGTGAGGAGAAAAAGTTGATGAGAGATGTCTCTTTCTCAACTCACACATGGGGCGGGTTAGCACCATCCCTCCTAATTCAGCCTGCCCCACCAATCTCCTCATGTGCCATCAGCATTCATAGAGTTGACCGCTAAGGAAAAATTAACCATAATTAATTATAGAAAATATTTCTTAAAAACATCCACCAGGTAAGCAGGGCCAGACCATGTGGGACCGTAAGCAGTAAAACATGGATTCCCCCAAGAAAATGTCCATCAAAATTCAGATGAACAGATAGCTTAGAGGCCATTAATATAAAATTGTATTTTTACATATATAAGTTTTTTCTTATTGTGTTCATTAATTTCCAAAATCTTAAAGAGAACATATTGTAATAGACTGAAGAGAAAGTAAAATAAGTCTCACATTTCAGAAGATTTGAATGTAAATTGCAACAATCTACAGTGATAGAAAAAAGTATTTGCACAACACGTTTTTATGAATAAAGTAGTTCAAGGAAACAAAAAATTTCGCTTGCCTTTGCAAAAATGAAAAGTAAATTTATTAAAAACTGAAAAAACCTTTTTACAAAAAAATTAAAACACTTCATAATCAAACAAAATAATTAAAACAATAAAAGTGCTTGGAAAAAGTATTTGCACACTTCCACATTTACAAGTTTATTTTAAATTTTAATATCTTGTAAATAGGCCATTTGCGTCAATAATTGCTTGTAGAAGTCTGGGCATTGCACTAGGTTTTTAATTAAATCTACGTTTATTTGTTCCCATTCTTGAACAAGAAGTTGTTTAAGGTGATGTCCACTAGTGATATGGTGTTTTCTTACATTTTGGTCAAGGGTGTGCCATAAATTTTCAATGATATTTATATCTGGTGACTGAGGAGGAGTGTGGAGCTGTCTTGGAACATTAAATATTAACCACTCCTTTGATCTCCTCGCAGTATGTTTTGATCGTTGTCCTGCTGGAAATAGTACTGATGCTGGATTCCCATTTTTTCGGCACTAACACGCAAATTATGTCGCAAAATGTTCACATAGTCTTCTGCATTTAAAATGCCTTCGATACTCCCAAGATTTCCTACGCCATGTTAGGAAAAAAAAACCCAAACCATAACATGTCCTCCACCATGCTTTACAGTTGTTAAAACATTTTGCTTCTTTAGGGCTTCATTATGATGTCGCCATATCGTCCTTCGACCACCTGAACCAAACAAATTAAATTTGCTTTCATCAGAAAAGAGGACATTTTCCCAAAAGCTTAAGGGTTTCTGTACATACTCCCTAGCAAAAGCAAGGCGCTTTTTGCAATTCGTTTCACTGATGTATGGCTTCTTACTTGGAACTCTACCATGGAGCCCTTCCGAATTCAGGGCATATCTAATTGTTCTCCTAGTAATCTGAACTCCAGGTGTTGATTGGACCATGGTAGCCAGCTCCCGAGAACTTATCAGAGGATTTTTAAGAGCTTCTTTTCTAATTTTCCTCTTCAGCCTAGGAGTTAACTTTTTTGGACGCCCTTTACCCTCACTGTTTTCAGTTGAACCACGTTCTTCATACCTTTTTATGACCTATCTCACTGTAGAAAAATTCAACCCTAAGAAATCGGCAATTTGGCGATATGTTTTTTGCTGACTCCTCAGTAAAACAATTTTTTCGCGAATTGTGGCACACAGTTCACTTGTCTTTGGCATGATAATTGTCTATTGACTAAAGGAAACTGATTGAAAGACTAAAGAATACTGGTAATAAACGATTAGAGATAAATTAGTAAAGAAACCTATGACCTATGGACACAGGAGGATTAATGCCAAAGTAAACAGAGCTTGTGAGTCATAGTGTGCAAATACTTTTTACCAAGGACTTTTATTGTTTTAATTTTTTTGTTTCATTATGGAGTGTTGTCATTTTTTTCCAAAAGGTTTTTAAACTGAGTTTTTAACTAATGTACTTTTAATTTTTGCAGAGGAAAGCGAAGTTTTTTGGTTCCTAGAACTCATGTATTCATAAAAACATGATGTACAAATACTTTTTTCCATCACTGTATACCTTTCCAAGTAAAATATCTTAATCTGTTATTCAGAAACTGCTGATTTTAGATAGCGGCCATTTTTAATAAGAACACATCCAAAATTTGTGAAAATGACTATGATTTGTATAATCTATTAGAAAGTCTTTTCTATAAGGTATTTAGGATAGTGCTGCTTCCTGGCTACTATAGCAGATTAAATTCCAAAAATTGCATTTTAGGCTGACAGATTCACAAGTATTAGAAGGCTTGAAATTGTATTGATTAAAGTATGTTGCAACTATGAGTATGTAGGTACACGGTAATATTGTTGTTTTGGGTAACTTTAATTTATAATTTTAAAGCATTAAGACCCAACAATAAGTTATGTTTTTCAATTAGTAAGATAGAACTAAGACCGTCATTTTTTAATTTGGGTTGATGGTTGACTGTAGTGAATAATTGATAATATTTTTGCATTTGCCAACGTTTCGACCCGAAGTTCAGGGCTGAGAAAAGAACCAGATATAAACAATGTAGTTAGAAAAACTTAAAGTTAAATGAAGTAGATAAGTGAACATTAAAGTAAAATAAAGTAGGTAGAATAACAAGAACTAAGAAATAAATAATAATAACGGCTGAAAAGGGCGTACTAATGAAGTAAACATAATCAAAGTAAGGTATCATAAGAACTAAAAATGGTAATCTTAGAATAAAATGTAAAACAGAGAAAAGGAATATGAAGTTATATAAGGAAATAATAGATATAAATAGAAAATTGAGATATTGTAAAATCTATCAAAATATACTGACTACGTATAAGAGAATAAAAAGTAAGTAAAAACATAAATGAGCAAATGTATCAATATATACAAAGTAGAGATGGAGATATGGAAAATAGAGTGAGGGAGGAAATAAGAAGATAAGATAGATAAACAACCTGATCGTAGCAAAGGCTTGGGGAGATATCGTATCAAGAGGTATCGTAGCAAGAGAGAGGAGAGCTGTATTGTTGCGCCATCTCTAACGGTTGACTGAAAAATTTTGAACTAAGGTACAGGAAGCGTATATAATGGATGAAAGATATATTATAGATTAATACTATACTATGAATTATTATTCTATCTACTTTATTTTACTTTAATGTTCACTTATCTACTTCATTTTACTTTAAATTTTTCTACCTATTTTGTTCATGTTTCTCTTACGTATTGTTATCTGGTTCTTTTCTCAGCCCTGATGAAGGCCTCAACTTCGGGTCGAAAGGTTGGCAAATATAAAAATAAATATTATTATTTATTTTTTTTAATTTTTGACCGATCACCATCAATCATCCTTCTCTTAATCATTTTTAAATATTTTTTTCTCTCTAAGTTAAAGTTTCTTTTAAACTAATCATTTATGTTTCAGCTGACAATCGAGGCTGCATATGCATTGTGTAATGCTTGCGATAATATTCGTCTTATTGGTGAGTTAAATACCTGGTTCAAGGTAAGCGTGGAAGAAGTACTGCAGATGGCTGAATATATCAAGGAACATAATTGGGATTTGAAAATCAGTTATAAAGATGTTCTCTATCCTACATGATATGCGGTAGTCTTCCTGTTGACCATTGCCTTGTTTTATTGTGCCTCATTTTGTTACTGATCTCCAGTAATTTTTTTTAATGCTTATTGTTTAAAAAGTATTTTATATAAAATTTAATTTTTAAATATTCTATTTTTTTTTTCTAGACGATAAAATTTATGTTAATGAAAATTAAGATTAAGATTGATTTGTTTGAAAACATTTTTGCTATTTTATCTAATTATAGTTTCCAATTTTGATCTATTTTTTGACATTGAAACACAAAATTATCTTGTATATTTTAATATTTGAAACTATTCGTGCCTTAAATGTTTATAAATTTCAATGGGGCTCTTTACGGACTTCTGTATTATAAAAGTTCCTGTATCATATTTTACTCCTTATGATTTGATTGTATAATTTAACTGTAAATAATGTAATAAATGCTATTGGATCTCTTTTTATTAGAGAGATTAATTTATTTTCATTAATTAAAATATGTCTTTCAGTGTTTTATTTTATTTATCTTACTTTACACTATTTACATTCTATTTAACATCGATTAATATTAATCGATTGATTCTATTTCTCGAATTGTAAACTTATCATCCTTTCTTGAAATGATTAACAGTATTGATTCTAAACTTTATATTCAAAAGATTCAGGATCTGTAACAAACAACTGTTATTCTAAAGATGCTTTGATACATTTCACAAACTATCGAAAGCACAATTATCTAACTTAAATAATATTGACATCAGCGCTAAGCTCAACTATTTTTTTTATTTCTGCCAGCATGTTTTTCATACCTATTATCTTTAACTAATATTTCAGGCTTCAAACCTTCTATCCAAGGAATATCTTTCCGTTTTTTCTCCCACTCTGCTGTCTCTGAATATACGTATTGAGTTTTTTTAGAATGTATTTTATCAACTTTTTAAATGAATGTTTATAAATTAGAACTGAGAGGTACTGTTAAATGGAAGCCATCATGTTTCGTGGCCTTAAACATCATACTACCTTGAACCACACTCCCATTCCCTACCACACCTCTAAGGCACTGTTATTTCAAGTTTTTAACTAAATGTGAACTTTTTTTATTATTTAAAAAGTACACTCTTAATCTTATATATGTTCTTTATCCTTGATTTCTGTTGTAGCTCAAATTAATAAATTCTTTTTTTTTCATGTAAGTATCCTAATCCTATTGACTAGTTAAATCTTCAAAAAAAATAAATAAAACTTTCTTCATTACTCTTCTTTTTGAACAGTGTGCAACAATCCTGTAATAAATAATTTTAAAGATTTATTTCTAAATCATTAAATCATTGTACATGTCATAACATAATACTGAAAACTGAAGTTTTGAGCTAAAGGGAAAATACCTGTGTGTACCTTGGGCCACCCTAAGAATAAGAAATTTTATTGGGGAGAAATTCAGGATTTGTGGCAACATTGAGTAGGTTTTCACTACCAGAATACTTTTCAGCTGATTTTGGTGCCTCTGATCTGCTCAATTTTTGTTATAATAATTATAAGAGTGTTTTAGAGTTAAAAAAGTAATTTTACTTTACTTTATATAATAATTTTTCATCAAAAAGTATTAGTCGATTGATTTATAGTAATCTGTCAAGCTTCTTATGAACACATGCTCTAAGCAAAGTACATAAAATGTTTTATTTTATTTTCAACCATTTAGGAATGAATACATTGTTTTTTAAGTACAATTTTGATATAGTTTAATACTGTTAATATATTTTATTAAATAAAATATTAGGAAATGTACCGTTCCTAATTTGCTGAACATCCTCATACAACTTTTTTTTGTCTGTGCAACCATTTTACATTTTTTATTAAAACTTTAAAAGAATTATAGTATGATTAGTTCTTTGCTTATATATATGAATGCTCTCAAGGGGCAATCTTGAACAAAAATAAAATTATATATCTTATTTAATTTAAAATAAGTAAAAACTTCTTAGATGTGACTAATGTTTTAAACAGTTTTTTTTAATAAAATTGTAACATAGTTCATGAAGTCATTTCAAATAAGTGGATCAATTTTTTTTTTAATCTTACCGAGATACATTGAAAATGTAAAACATAAGTTACATGAAACATTAAAATTTGAAATTTCCAATTGACACTGTTTACCAAACATTAGTAGAATTGATTGGTGTTTTTCAAATTTTAAATAAATATGTTTATACATAACTTAAATATATATATATATATATATATATATATATATATATTATATAGAAAGGATAGAATGAATCATTATAGCCATTAAAAAATATTTAAGCAAAAACCTTATATATAACTTTTTTTTCTTGAACTCATCTAAGTTTGTGGTGGCATGATATATTAGAATAGAATAGGAAATGAGTTAAGGTTTGTAATATGAGTTTTTACTGACAATAGATTAGTACCAGGATCACTGATATTATTGAGAAAGACCCGAATTTTTATGCAACTGCATATTTTGTTAGCGTGATTTTTTTTTAACTGCTGATCAAAAATCTCTATGAATTAGTACACTGTGATGCAATTAGCCAAATTTTACACCTTGTTAATGAGATAATACACACAAAAATTCAAAGCAGTACTTAGTGGAATCAAATTTATTCAACAAATTATTCATAACATTTTTCTTCTTTTTAAGTTTAAGTTTAAAAAAAAATACTACTAAAATAAATAAACAGAATGACATAACATAAATAATATAAATAAATATTATCCGATACATAAACATATAGCAATAAGAATGCAACACATCCACACACTCAAACACAGAATAAATATGCCAAATTAATACTAATTTCATATATACATAATACAACACACTTAAATGCTATTAGGAACGGAATCATAAGACTTAACAATAATCGATATAATATGAAGTCATCGATATAATCAATTGAGATTAAGTCAAAATAATTAAATAAATTCATAAAACATATGAAATAAAATATTATACATAGGAAATCTTTCATTTTATACCATGTAATCAAATAACGATAAATACTAATGAGTCTTTAAAGAGAAAGGGAATAGAAATTTTTAAAAAAAAGTTATAAACTTTACCATAGATTTGAGCTTAAAATGGTAACCCTGTCAGTTATATGTTTTAGAAATGTAATATAGAATATCTTAAGAAACTACCAAGTATGTTTACAGCTAATGAATAATAAATGTATATAAACTTTTAACAATCAAGACAAAATAAACAATTTTAAATGAACAGTATTACAGAACATTTAACACTTAACAGATTAATTTGACAACATTACTATTTACAAAAATACATCTTAAATGCAATTATTTCTTTTCTTTCTAATCAAGGAGAAATGCATTTAGAAGATGTGATTTACAGAATGTAATATATGATAATTTAATAAAATAAATTAGTTTAAGATCGCTCGTGATATCACATAACAGGAGCAATAGGAAGGCTGGAATCGACCTTGTGAAGATAGAGGTTGGCACAGGGAGCATGAAAATTATTAATGCCATACTTGACATAAGCTGGCCCTCTTTCACTTAAGCAGATACCACATTTTGGACCACTCTCTTCTTCCATCTATATTAAAATAATAGAAAAAAAAAACCTTTAAATCTCAAATTGATTCCAAATTATAAACCACAGAGCAGTGTTGGGCGTTGTTCGAATTTTTATGTAGATAACGAATAATGGATAAATATTATCCGATATTATATTATTTTTATTCATTATTTTTATTGAATGACCTCTGGACAGGTAATTATTTGTTATTCATTATTTAAAGATAACTTGAATTATCTATTATTCGTTATTTAGAATAAAAATAAGATTCAAATAATTTTTTTTGTAACTGAGATTTTTTCGATATAGTGGTTCACAATTATGTTTTGGGGGTGCTTTTTATGAAAATACTGTCGGATTTAAGATTGAGCATAAGTTTCTGATATTTTTCAGATCCCCTAATATATTCTCGGGACCACTCTATATGAAAATACTGTCAGATTTATAATTATACCATTAAATTTCCAAATTTTCATTCGCTTTTTCTCTTTTATCTCGTGAATGTATGCTTGATTTTTTACCGCTCGAACAATTTCATAACTATTTAGAGGCAGTCAAATACAAAAAGGAGTGGTAAAAATTTTCTGAATTTTCATTCGCCATTCCTCTTTTACCTAGTGAATGGATGCTCAATTTTCACCATTTCTACAGTTTTCTGGCTATGTAGAGGTAGAAAAAATGGGGAAATGATGTAGAAAATTTACTGAATTTTCATATGCTTTTCCTCAATCATCTCGTAAATGGATGCTCTGTTTTTCACTGTTCCAACAACTGTTTAAAGGCAAGCCAATGTAAACAGGAGTTGTACAAATTTTCATTCGATTTTCCTCTTTTAACTTAGAAATGAAGGATCAATTTTTCACCGCTTCAACACTATTCCGGCTATGTAGAGGTAGGGGAAAATGGAGAAATGAGATTGATAATTTTCTTTCGCTTTTCCTATTTAATCTCTGAAACAATGGTTTTTCATTGATCCAACAATTTTCTGGCAATGTAAATGCAGGCGAAAACGGAGATATTGGTGAAGACATTTTTCCGAATTTTCTTTCGGTTTTTCACTGTTCCAATAATTTTCCAGCTATGTAGAGGTAGGCAAAAATAAAAATGTAATAAGCTTGGTGAAAATCTGAGCATCTATTCACAAGATGAATGGGTTAAAGTGAATGAAAATTTGTACCTCTCCTGTTTCTATTTACCTACCTCTTAAACAGTTGTAAAATTGTTGGAACAGTGAAAAACTAATCCTTTATCTCTGAGATAAAAGGGGAAAAGAGAAAGAAAATTCAGAAAACTTTCTACACTATTTCGCCTGCTTCTACATAGTCGGGAAAACAGTTAGAAAGGTGAAAAATTGATCCTTCATTCCCGAGATTAAATAGGAAAAGAGAAAGAAAATTTTCTCCACTTTCGCCTACCTCTACATAGCTGAAAAACTGTTGGAATGATGAAAAACCGAGCATTTACTAACGAGATGAAAGAGAATAAAGCATATGAAAAATTTTAACACTCCTGTTTCTATTGGTCTACCTCTAAACAGTTGTAAATTTGTCTGAACAGTGAAAAATCCATCATTCGTTCCCGAAATAAAACAGGAAAATCAAAAGAAAATTCAGAAAAATTTCTACACCAATTTCTCCATTTTCACCTACATTTACATAAATGGAAAATTGTTGGATCAATAAAAAACTCAAATAACAAATAAAAAGAAAATAGAGAACTTGAATATATTAATTATTCAGATAAATGATTAACAGAAATATTTGTTATTTGTTGTTGAAAATATGAATAAATTATTTTTATCTATTCTCTATTATTTAAGATAAATTTTGTCTAACACTGCCACAGAGTAAGTTTGATAGATGTTGATTCATAATTTATCATGCAAAGGATAAAATGCGCTGACTTTATTAAATTTGTTATTTAACATTAAAACTTTTAGATTATTGAGTAATATTAATTGCTTATGAAGAATTAAAATCCTGGAAGAAAATATTGGATAAAAATACCATTTAAAAATAACTGACTTACGTAAGAATGTTTATGAGGTTCCAAATATCTAAACAATGCTTTTGAAAGTTCTTCTAACTTAATGGAAAACACATCTTTGTTTAAAGCAACTTGTAACCTCTGTGCAATCCTTTCAACTTCTATCAATTCTATAATAAGAAAGACACGATCTTCATTAATTTTGAAGAATATTTTACAATATCTTAAAATTGAGACAGTTATATATAATCACCTTCCAAATACTGAATACCCCTTCTATCAGATATCACCTCATTCAGAACTTCTACTTCTTCAATAGATGAAAAAATTTTTTTTGCTTCCTCTAAAATGTCAAAGCAAGCTTCCATAGCTCTTTCCTGGAAAGAAATATAACACAAACATCAATATTACATTAGCTTATACTATTAACATAAATGATTCAAACAAAATTAAAGAGAAAACAAAGTTAGATGCAGGACATCTTTGTTCTTTTTAAGGCAACAAAACTATTCATTTTGCACTTAATATCCAATAATTCATAAAGTAAAATTTACAAAATATCATGGTACTTTCATGTAGAGAGAACAAACCTTTAATGTTTTTGTAAATAATGTTGATAAAGGATGAGGGAACTAGCGAATTTTCAAGGCTATACATCTATACATAAGTGGCAGTGTCATATAAGTGGTCGGTGAAAGTGGTAGTGTCATTTTGGGAGTTGATTTCCGAACCGAAATAGATGAAGCTGCTTACCTTCTGAAAGCAGTAACTCTCCTGCATCAAAATATCCAATTACTGGTTAGGATCTTCCAATCTGCATGTATTCCGTCTTGGCCTCATTAAAAACCAGACCAAGATCCCTAGAAGCATTTTCCAGAGCCAGGAATGATTCCCGTAGGGCCCGTTCCGATCTGGCAGCAATATCGAAATCATCAGCTTATCCCAGAAGCTAAACTATGCTGTTAAACAGTGTTGATCAGGGTTGGATTCCAGAATTTCTTAACGCTTTCTCCCCAGCAAAATTAAAAAGGAGGCAAGCCAAAGGTCTCCTTGCCTAACACCACAATTTGTGAGAAAGGGGTCAGAAAGATCTACGTCCACACGCACCATACACTTTAAACTTATCTTAACCAGTCTTACTAATTTAATCGGGACGATAATTTCTTTTAGGGCCTGGTAAAGTTCCAGTCGAGCAACGCTGTCATATGCGGATTTGAAATCGACAAAGAGATGATGAGTTATGATTTTATACTCTTTGCATTTTTCTAACATCAATTTCAATGTAAATATTTGGTCCTCGGTGGATTTTCCTCTTTTAAATTCTTGCCTGATACTTCCTGATCTCTCTATCTGCGTGGGGAACCAATCTCTCAAAGATATTTTAGAGTACCTTATAAGAAGATGAGAGAATAACAATACCCCAGTAGTTGCTGCACTCCACCTGATCTCCCTTCTTTCTTCTTGCCAAATAGAAAAGATAAGATTGTAAAGATGTAAAGAGATCCTTGTTGAAATCAGGTCAATCATATCGCAGTAGCTCTGCTTGAACGTCGTCCTGTTCTGGTGCCTTATTAATTTTCAATTTTGCAATGGCTTCCTCGACCTCGTCTTCATCAGGTGGCTCTGCGTCATCCTGTGTGTTCTCTTCTCTGCCTGTTTCAGCAACTTCCTCCACATCTTCTTTTCGGAGTATTCTTGAAGTGAGAAGCCCATCACTCCAAGATATTCTGTTTATCTGTTAGAAGACATCCTTCTTTGTCCATGAATGATGTCACTCTTAGTTTGAATGCGTTTCGTCCCTCATTCACCCATTGAAAAAAGAATCGACTCTTTTCGGAAATTCGGAGGGATTCGATGTCTTCCATCTTACTGTTCTCCCACATTCTCTTTTTCTTCCAATGAATTCCCTTCTGCTTTCTCCTTCTATCACGTTAACATTCCTGTGTACCCTCTGTATGCCGCTGCACCATCTTTCTATATGCCGCATTTTTCTTGACCGTGGCGTTTAAGCATTCAGCATCAAACCAGAAGAACCTGGTGCTGCATGTTTGGTGGCCTAGTGTTTCTTTAGTTGCTGTCTTCAGAGCTCAGAACATTCCCGTTCACTGTTAATCAGGAGTATTATTTCTGCTCCTCAGTTCTTCTACAAGCTGTATTCTGATATTTTCCTGATAGGCTCCACACACATTTACATCCTTTAGCTAGGAGACATTGAATTTTTTCCCAACCTAGTTCCTCGTAGCTGAGATCCTTGAATGTATACCGGGAATGGTAATGTAATGGTCCTTATCTGCATTGGCTCCTCAGTAAGTTCTGACTCTAATGAGGTTTGACTTGAGTTGAGAACTTATAAGAATATGGTCAATCCGAATAGAGACGGCTCTATTTGGTGACCTCCACATAACTTGGTGTATTTTCTTTCCTAGGAACATGGTACTTCATAAATATAGGCTTTGAGAATTTGCAAAGTCAATCAGCCTTTGACCATTATTGTTTGTAACCTCGTGTAGGCTGAAAGCTGCTATAGTCGGCCAGTGTACGTATTTCTGGCTCACTTGCATATTTAAATCTCCTAGAATTATCTTAACGTCGTTAGCGGGGCATGCCGCTAAAGCTCTCACGAGATCTTCGTAGAAGTCATCTTCATCTTCCTCGGGTGATACCTCAGTAGGTGCATGGCAGTAGATGAAAGGGATGTTAAAGAATTTCTCTTTAAGACGGATATAGCATTGACAGGAAAAGATCGGTATACATTTTAAGAACAGTCGGCGGGCTCTTCCTCCAACAATAAATCCACTACTGAAGGTGTGGTAGGTTTCGTGGCAGCTGTAGTGTAGGGTGTGACATTTCTTTTCAAGTGTACCACTTCCAAGGCAGCAGATTTCCTGGATTGCTGATATGTCAATGTCGTAGCCGTCAATAATGTTAAGAAGCGCCCGAAGGGCTCCTACTCCGTGTGGAGACAAAATATTCTAGTAGGCTATACGTAGGTCAGTTTGGCGGTTCCTGGTCTTACTCATTTGAGACAATTCGGCTTTATTACTTTTAGTTGTTTCAATTTTAAGAGGAGTAGGTTATCAGCTTATTGCTCTTGAGTTAGGTGGAGGGACTGCCTCCTCACAGCGTCCATCCTGACACACCCTCCCTCTAGAGTTGGTTACCTATGGGAGGTGATCCGAGGGTGTATACTATAGATAACCTTTGTCTGTAGTGTGCTGTATATATACCGTGTAAAATGTAGTGTGTGTTTCCCCTTCCAGGAAGACTATTGGATATACACATAATTGTAAAAACTCATTGAATGAATGATGTCATGACATGACAGTGTTCATATGAAATAAATAGAAGTATAAAGTTACAGAACTAAAATGGAAAAAAGTCCTTATAAAATTAATGATCAGCACTGAAGCAGGGTAAAGAAGGGAAAGAGAGATATAAAATGGATTTTCTACTTCTTTGTTCTATCAACTAAATGTTCATATCCTGTGATAAAATAAGGAAATCAGTGGTTTTTCTGAGGTCCTCGAGTGTCCCATAGAGTTTGATTTCAAGCAATTTTGGCTCAGGCCAAATCTTTATTCTAGCTTCATCAAGAAGAACATACTCAGCTGTTTGTTCTCACCTACAAAAGGGACCAATTCCAATTCTGAATTTTTAGTAAAGGTGAGCATTTGATTTACGAGAATGGAAAGAGATTTATCAACTTTGCCTTCTCAAAAGATTTGACTATAGGGAGTACCTTATTACTAGGAAAAAGGATTCACAAAACCACATGGAGGTCTCCAGATAGTAATTTAAACAAATTGACCATCAACCCATATCAGCTCACCACAAATCCAACCTCATCAGCAGCAGAATATTTTGTGGCGTTAACATGGATTTGGATCATTAATTGGTAATATCCAGAATACAAGCTAGAATCCTGCCAAACAGTAAGGAGGAGGACTAGTAAAACAATAGACACAAGCAAGTAGAAGAACCCCGAAAATCGTTAAAGATCTGAGGAACAGAACAGCCATCACATGAAGAATGTAATGAAAGAACTGAGCAATGATTCAGGATTGGAAGATGAATGGAGGATTCTGAAAGAAGCTATAACAAGGGCTGCAGAAGAAGAGTTAGGAAAAGAATGGGGATATACTAGAGATGAGTGGTTTGATCAAGAATGCCAGGCAGCAACAGATGCGAAAAACTGAGCTTACAAATTGATAGGCTAGTGTCGGAAGATTATAGAACTTTGCGGCAAGCAGAGTGGAAACATCGTCGAAAAAAGAAGCAAATCTGGAAAAAGAAAAAAAATTGCAAAAATCAAGAAACTAAGAAAAGTAAATGATAGCAGAACTCTTTTATCATAGGGTCAATCAAGAAAGAGCAGATTTCAAACCAACTTCTATTCCCTACAAGAGCGAGGACATTTCGCTGTTTTCTCTAAAGATGGATGTGTCACTTTGTAGCTCAATTACATGATTCTACAGAGGAACGTCCAGAAGAAGTTGCCAGGCAGGAAAATCGAAACAACTCAGAAGAAGAGAATGAACCCCCTCCAGATTTCAAAGAAGCTATGGAAGTGATCCATAGAATGAAAAACAACATAAGTCTTGGTTTGGATGGCCTTACAGTAAAGGTTCTTAAACATGGACGTGAAGACTTGCATAAGACCCTTCATAATTTGATGGTGCAGATATGGATTGATGAAACGATGCTAACAGAGTGGAAAAAAGGAATAATTTGCCCAATATACAAAAAAGGTGATAGGTTTGATTGCAAGAATAGAGGAATACAGCATATCAAACTCTTTGCAGAATTCTCTTCAATCTTGTGTCCCTATGACAAACAAATAATTGGAAAGTATCAGACTGGCTTTAGAAATGGAAAATCCACAGAAGACCAAAGCTTTTATCCGAGGGCTATCATGGAGTGGGGAATTGAATATAACACAACAGCCTACCACCTTTTAGTAGATTTCAAGAATGCGTACAATAGGATTGGAAAAAAAGGAGTGGGGTACCTCAGTGGTAGGGCACTGAGCTTCCAATGCGAAGGTCCCAGGTTCGAACCCCGGCTCATGACAGAAAATTTATTTATCAGTTTCATTGGCTGTGGGGCGATCCTGCGTCGGGAGACCTTACTGGGGCACACCCAGCCTCTATAAAGTGGGTACCTTTAATTAAATAATTAATTAAGGGGAAAAACCTGGCGGTTAAGCGTGATCTCGGTCAAATCACCTCCTTGCACAACCGTTGACCTAGAAACAGTGCTTTCCCTAAATAGTACTGAACCCCAGACCCTTCATGGGTTGTAGTGGTACAGGTTTTCTTTTTTTACAATAGGATTAATTGCTCCAAAATTTACAAAGCACTTTAAGAATTTGTCATTCCCAGAAAGCTTATCTGTCTTGCTAAAATGACCATGCATTATGTGAAGAATGTCATCAGAATACAAGGAGAGTGCTCGAGTAAGTTTCAGACCAATAAAAGTCTGCGACAGAGGGATGGGGTAGCATGTCTGCTATTCATTTTATGGCTTGAAAAGGCATTAAGGGATTCGGGGAGCAGAACTATTTTCAACAAAAGTGTCCAGATCTTGGCCTTTCCTGAAGATATTGACATAGTTACAAGATTAAAATCTCAGCTGATTAACAATTTTCTGGCAATGTAATAGGCAGCTGCGCTATTGGGACTTGAGATAAATGAGGTCAAAACTAAATATATGGTGGTAAAAGCTGACGGATATCAGCAAGGTGAAAGTTTAACCGAAATAGATCCATACAAATTTCAAAGAGTACAGGAGTTTACCTACCTCGAATCTCCTGGTGACATCGACCAATGACATGATGGCAGCCAACCGTTGCTAATTTGGCTTAAGGAGGCAGATTAGGAGCCAACTACTCACAAGACAAACTAAGGCAAGATTATATAAAACTTTGATTCGGCCAGTGTTGACCTATGCCTCACAAACATGGACGATGACAAAGGCTGATGAAAATAGCCTCTTTATATTCGACCAGATAATTTTGGGACATAAAGAAGGAGAACTTAGGCTGTCAAAGAACTCTTGGACAGCAATTTCAACTTCCGCAATATTATTAAATTTTTTCCCTTGAAGAATATGGGCAATGGATCTAAATAAGTAGTAATCTGATGGTGAGAGGTCTGGACTGTATGGTGGAGACAGGAGTTGAAACCGATGAAGTTCTTTAAACTTTTCTTTGGTTTGAAGAGCAGTATGAGCATTGTCTTGTTGGAATAAATTTCCTTTTCAGTTGATCAAAGCAGGATAACTCTCTGACAACTTTACGTACAATAGTTCGCAGTAGAGTTCAGAATTCATAAAGGATCCATCAGAAACAAATTCATGATGAATAACACCTTCAAAATTCCAAAAACTGCAAAGCATGGATTTTTTTTTTCAAATTGCCCCATTGGAGCAAATGAAAAAGCAGTTTGTCCGCGATCTAGCCATTGCTCATTGGTATTCGGATCTCGCCAATAAACTCAATTTTCATCACAGGTGGTCTGGTAAAATCTCATATTAGAAGGGTTTTCAATAAATTTTTACAAATTTCTAACCTCTTAGCTGATTGCTGAGGAGTAAGTTCGTGTGAGACCAGTCTACTGCTCTTCTCCACCCTCCCCATGGAGATGGTGAATAACAGTATCTTTCGACACACCACACTCCCTGGCAAGTACACGAGTACTCCCGCAGAACAGCTCCCAGAAGAATGACATCAATATGTATTAATGGTAGCCCGAAGCCCTTCTTTCTTGTCAATGCTCACTGCTAAATTTTTAAAATTAAAGCCGCGCAGTGCGCTGGTTAAGGACACCTTCCCCTTCATACTTAATAATTTCATGAGTTGCATCAGCGGCTGTGAAATTTTCTTCCAGTAATGCCTTAAAATTACGAGAATTCTGTAGGACTCATGTTTCTTCTTTGAAACAAATAATTAAACTGAGGCTTTTTTGAAGAAGTTAAATGGGATTAAACAAGCTTAAAAAGAATGCTCTAAAGGGATTATTAAGTATTAAATAGAATTAAAATAGTTACAGTCCTTTGAAATCTTAAATTTGATAAAATGGTAATTTTTTTTTATATTCCCTATTAACTATAATAAAATCAAACAAGTGTTATGTTATGTTTAGATGGTTGACAGAAGGATAAATAAAAAAGAGGTCCCAGAGCTGATCTAAAAAAAACATGGAATAGCGGTAACTATTCACTGTTGTTTCTAACTTCTGGACAGTTTCACTTTTTATAAATAATAATTTATAAAGTACTAATGATTGACAATGCACTAATGGAATGACAATAGTTTTTGATTTCTAAATATGCATGCAGTAAATGAAGATATTATGGATGGTTACTTTACTAAAGCAAAAAAAGTGATTTGAGAAAAGATAAATCAAAAATAATATAATATTAAACAGATTTATAATTGTCCTAACCTGTATGTTAGCCTGGTATTCCACCAGTGGAGCAAGACGATTGGAAGGCTCAACAGGAGCTGCAGTTAGAAAGTCTCCAAATTCATCAAACTCATCACCAGAAGTTAAACCTCTTAATGCAGAATACCTGTCCTCTTCTTCAACCAATAAGTCTATGCCATCTTCTTTTGGCTTGACTACACATTTGGGAAAGAGATCTTCTATACCAGCAGTTTTCTCTTGAATATAAGGGTCAGGGATACTTGTTCGTGCTACAAAAATAAAGTATTTGTGTTTCTCAACTAACCGGGGTCCCGAACTTAACAATCAAATTAACAGATAAAAAATTAATTAGATGTAATAATGACAGGATATATATGCTAGTGAGAATTGTATTTCAACCATTTAGGTATTTTTCAAGAATTCAAATAATTAAACATAAGTAAACAGAAATTAAAACAGCGATTGATTTAAATATTAAATTAATCTTCATGGAAAAAATTTAACTGCAATGAAAATTCGGTACTTTTAGTCTAGCAGGTACCTCACCTCTTATCTATCTTATCAAACGTCATGTCACATAACCTCCCTCTTCTTATCCCCTTTCAGTTATTGCATTGTTTAGTTTTCAGTTATTCCCTTATTACGTTCACTTATTAAATTGTTTACTTTTGGTCCGTTTGTGTTTATTTTTCATTATTTTTAGTTTTTGGCCCGTTTGTGTTTATTTTACTTTTTTTTTAGTTTGTGGCCCCTCTGTGTTTCTTTTCGTCATATTATGGATCTTCTTAGAATATGGAATTTGACGCCTTCAGAAGAACAGGCACTTCAATATTTTTAAAATGTTGGGGTACTTGCCGACTTGAATCGACGTGTGATCGAGGTCATCGAATGAAGTCAACCAGGAAGGCCAAATGGAGATGCTTTCGTAGGACTTATGACACAAAACTTTCAATAAGGAAAGGAACATGGTTGGAGGGCTCGAGGATTTCGTTTTTAACAGCTTTAAAATTGATTTATGGATGGTCCCATAGCTTGACAACGATGAAGTGGGCCAAAGAGCAGCTGAAACTATTCAACAGAGCTATGGTAACGTGGAACAAATGTCTAAGAGAGGTTTGTGCCCATGACATGTTATACAGGCCAAGAAAAAAAATTGGAGGACCTGGCAAAGTGGTTGAAGTAAAAGAAAGTCTTTTTTCTAAACGAAAAAATCATGTGGGGAGAGTTTTATCTCAGCAGTGGATGTTTGGTGGAGTTTGTCGAGAAACAGATGAATGTTTTATCTGTTTATAAAACCGACTTCGTTTTATATTTTTTCTTTTCTATGTAAATATGTTCTTTTAAATGTGTTTTTTATTATTTCATTTTGATGTTTTATATGTACATATCTTCTTAAAGTGTTTTTTTTATTATTTCATTAATACATGTGTCGTCAAATAAAAGTATTTTTTTTGTTATTAAATTTGTTTTTGTATCTGTTTACACTTTCAATAATACGAATTTAATACAATAATACGAAGATATGAAGTAAAAGAAGGCTTATCAGTGCTTTATGGGAGTTATCAGTGTTGATAGACGAAAAGTACCGAAAATTCAAAGTAATAATTTACAATATTGAGTCAAATGATACAGAGAAACAAGTTTTTATTCAATAACATAAAATTTAAAAAGATGTTATTTAATCTAATCTACATCCATTTCAATAAGTTTAGCTAAATTATCAAAATTTATTTATCTAGGGACTTGAAAAAAGCAGTATCTGGTTTATGATAGATTGTAGTTTCAATTGTTCCTTAATACAAACTAACACCAAAAACTTGACTGTGAAGATAAAGCAAATCTGCCCATATGATGACATGGTACAATTTTATTTTTTAAAAAATATATAATCTCATATTTTAATTTTGCTGTTGTTCAGATAAATGATAAAAAAAAAATTATAAAAGAAAAGAAAAATAACTCAATAAATTAAATAACAGAAGTAGTTTAATAGCAAAAGAACACAGTAAATATAGCACGTCTCTTCAGCAGTGCCTTAATAGTCTTCTGGGCAGATTGCACTAGTTTCTGTCAATGAAGAGTGCTTAAGTGAGTATATTGAAATTTAAAGTCAGTCTGTAATGGGTATTATTCGAACAATCTATGGCAGTTCAGTTGATGAAAAGAATGTTAAGGTCAATTCGGAATAACTCATTAGATACATAAAACCTACAATTTTCCAAATCTTGTATAAAAATGGGTTTATACTCATGATTCTACCTGGATCAAATATGGCAAAATTATATGGCTTTGGTATCTCCTTTAAATTAAAAAAAAAATTAAACTAATTGCTTCCAAATATAAACTCTGATCAGTATATCATAGTCAAGGAATACAATGAAAGGAAAAAGAGAACAAAATTATAAACAAATATAAAAATAAAACAACATACTTGGTTTTGTTTCTGGCGGTTTTTCCTTCACTTCAAGAAGATTAAGTGTAGTGAAGTCAGCACTTTTAAAATCATCAAATTCAATGTCATCTTTAACTTCACTGTTTCCCAGGGAAAAATCTACAGATTGAAAATCGCCAAATAGATCATCGGATAGAGGTGTAACTGGAATTTCTTCAACATCTTTGTTTTTCGAAATATCTAGATGATCATTGGAGATATTAAATGATTTAGATTGAACTAAATTATTACCGAGCTCATATGACGCAGTAGCATTGTGAGATCTATTATCAACTGTGGAGTTTTTATCAGATATAAATGACTTGTTCTCATTTAAAATTAAACTTGGATTAGATTTTGATGGTAAATATGTTTTTGGAATAGCAACAGTAGAAGGCATATCTAAGTCAAGGAGGCTCATATTATCCACTAAGGAATTAATTGCCAGATTAGGTACAGTAGGTAATAGATTTGGGTGAGGAGCAATAGGTGTTGTTGACTTAGAGGCAAACTCTGCTGTAACAGTAGACACTACAGGATTTAGAAGATTTGAAGATTGAGGAAGATTCAAGGGAGGACAAACTGTTGAGACAGTAGGAGGTAATGAACACATTGTAGCAGAAGTGGAAACATCTGTAACTGCCATTGTCACTGTAGGCTTCATTATTGGTAATTCATTAAAATCTAGTTTAGGTATGGGAGCCTCCTTTAAGTTGTTTAGAACAGCAGAGCTAGTAAAACCAAAACCACTCTGCAAGGAAAATGACACATACAAATAATAACTGTAGAAATAATGTTAAAGTTGCTTAAAATTTAAGTCAAAAGCATTGATAATACCTGGGCCAAAGCAACAAGTGCAAGTGCAGTATATGTATCATGTTGTAACAAAGCTGGACCTAAATTTGAATTAGATAGGGACCAAATATATCCCAGGACATCAGTTGTCAAGTGGCTTGTAAGAAGTATGTTTGTTAATTTAGGAGTATCTGCATAGCCTGTTGGTGTTCCTACGATGTCCCAAACATGTTTGTAAATTGGAGGTTCGTGGCCAGGAATCAGAAAGAAAGGACCTGTGGTCTAGCCAAAAAAATAAATATTGCTTATATCATTGTATTAAAAATTACTAAGACATGGTTGAATAAGCATGAAAATGAAAATAAAAGAATTACCTGGTTAGTTTTATTTTTTGATGAGTTTGATATTTCCTTTTTCATTTTAAATATTTCTTTCTTTGATAATAAACTTTCAATCATATCATCAGCACTTAAAACCTTTAATAATATAAATATTTAATTACCAATTAAAGAATCAATACAGTTACAAACTTCAAAATTAATTATTAGAAAATAAAACATTACATTTGTTGTTTTCGTCATGGTTCTCAATTGATGTTGTTGCTTAAGATATTCACGTTTCTTTAAATGGTCTGAATTTGAGTTATCTTTATAAGCACACATAATGATTATTTGAGTTTATCTGATAAGCGGTGTAGGGATTATAACCTACTTGCTTAACCTCCTTGAGGTTATCTACCTGTTGACACAGAACCCTACTAAAATTTCTTTCTGTTTTAATTGATACTATGATCAGAAATTGATTTTAGTTAGGTCAAGATTAACAATAAACGTTTATTAAATTAAAAAACAGATTTTTAAATTTTCTACTTTGAAATTTTTCCTGAAAACTATTTAAATATTTTTAAAACCTAGTTAATTCTTAAGGAAAGAGTTATGTTGTATTTGGTCAATCTGCTTTAGCTGGTTCTCAAATTTGTTAATTTATAAATAGTCTAATAATTAATTAGTTTGTTTGGGAGACAGTTTACTTAAAATAAATAAGTGTTTTTTTTTTTTAATTTAATAAATATGCTTGACAGATTTTATAAAAATAAATCTGTATTCTATTGTATAAATTTGTATGCCACAGTAAAATAAAAAATAGGCAGCCCTTGGAAGATGCTTCTTTATAAAATAATATCGCATCTTCCAACTGCATTCTGCAGTGCCTGATACTATACCCTGATGACGACCTACAAAATGGGTCGAAACGCCGGTGTAAACAATAAAATACTAATTTAATATATAGTATTCATTTGACTGCACCCCCCGACCAACTCCTCATATTATCATCATGGTCAACCATCCCTACACTATTATAAAATAACATCATCAATCAAATTTAGACTTATTTTACATTTAAGTACACCTGTTTATAAGACAACTTTTAAGCTACCTAAACACATGGGTGTGCAATAAGTAATATTAAGTACTAATTTCAGGATTGAGTACCTTTTTTTTTTTTTTTTAAATCTCCACTGCTGTGGTTTTTCTTGTACTAAAATATTTTTCCATTCCTCTATCCAAGGCTTGATTTTCCTAAAGCCATGTTTCACCAGGATATCTGCCTAGTATTTTCATTTTACTTTTTCTTTCCGCTTTGAATTCCATAGTTATCTGAAGTAACATTTATGAAGAAATTCTTTATAATTAAATTTGTTGTAATTATAATAAAGAATTACCTGTCTATTTAGGAATAGACAGGTATTATACTATATTTTAAAATAAAATCGGAAAAGTAATCAGTATGAAACAAAATCACTGAAAATTTCTAACAATTACCATACAAATTACTAAGTCAATCTTACAATTTCGGATGTATATATTTTACAAAGGAAGGAAATGGACTCAGTTCCAAGTGAAACTCCTAGCTGAACACACCTCCCTGAAGAAGACCTGCAAAGTGGGTCGAAACGACGGCTTTTAATAACAGTTTTACCACTATTTAGCCTATTTATGACCGCCACCCTGGACCATCTCCTTCCTTTATAATGCAACGGTCAACTATTAAATGTTCAGTATATATTTTTCAAATTAATTTGGATATTTTTAATTATATTTCATACATGATATATGATTGTCATCAGATTTAGCCTTGATTCCAATAGTTGAAAACAGAAAAAAATTATTTCAGACATATGCAGTAGAGTCTGATAGAACACTAAACCAGTGTAATTTAATTTACCTTGTTCTAGTGCAAGTGTGCCTATCCTTTTTATAATAATTGCCACAACTGTGTCCTGTTTCTTCACAATAATTATTTCTACTTAGTATATATTTTTGTTTTATAAAATAAATCCTGGTTTTGTAAACTTTTAGAATATAACTACATGATGAAAACAGTTAATAACTATTATTTATACTATTAAAGTGCTGGGATGATAATTTTACCAACTATTTCAATGACATGGTTTAATCAATTCTAAAAAGGAAAGCTGTAATTTAAAAAAAAAAAAAAATAGAATAAAAATCTAAATCCAAAGGTTAGGTTGGGCACCATAGCACTAGTGGATATTAACTTCAATCATCTATCCATAATAAGGTTATTTTGTAATGTATGTCTGTTGAATATCCATTAAGAATTTGAGTTCTTTTTTTAGTAATTGTTACACTGTTGAAGCTGGATATAGGTAAATGAATGAAGGATAATAAAATCTCTGCACAAAATGAAATTTTAATATTACAGCAACTTGACATATTTATTCCTATATGATTAATCATTATTAGAAGTGATGAATGTTTTATCACGATGTCCATTCCAAACAATAATCATTCACTTGTTAGCCCAATTAATTTTGTATATTTTACCTGATACACAATCAGGTAATAATCACCCATATCATATTATGAACTACTTTAATATTAAAATATAACCAATTTATAACACAGCAAATTATTATTACATACATCTTTAGATGACCATTGAAACATAACTTCCAAGGTAGCACTCCCATTTATTAATTTCTAGTTAGGCAAACCCAGTCCTTGTGAATGTTACAGAACTCACAAACCCAAAAGATATGAGTAATATTGTGATCCTCAGACATTTACCTAACCAAATGATTACCGCAGTCTTGTTTCAACTTCAAATACCTGATTTAAGACTAACCTGCAAAGTCACTTAAGACGCACTATATGATTGTCTAAGGAACAGATCCTATAGCGGTTTCTGAGATGTACTAGAAGTTCCTAATTACTCTGTCAATTTTGTTTTGGTTTACTATAAATTTATTCATGCTTTTATAAAGGATTACATCAGCTGGTCCTCAGTTATGGATTTTAGTCTAAATTCATATTAGGCCAAAATCAGGACTTCATTTTATGAACTGAATAGTTAGAAACACGGGAATATAAAGAGAGAGCTACTCAGCTTATCGTCCTGGTACATGAGAAGGGCCAGTAATAACTGATCCAGTAAGATCTGTCCTATTAATAGTTTTACTAATATTTAGAACCTTGAGCTAGAATATTTTTTCTCATCATCAGAAAGACTTAATTTTTAAAAACTTATGTTACTGCTTTCATTTGTATAAAAAATATTATTTCATATACCAATTCTGTTAATAAAACCATAAAAGAGGCATGCTACAATATATATAGTTTTACTGATAAAACACACACACATATATATATATATATATATATATATATATATATATATATATATATATATATATATATATATTAAATATATTAAATTGCCCTATATTGCCCTATATTGCCCCGGGCAATTTAATAACTTTAGTTTGATAAATTACAATTTAAAATGCCAAGGGGACTGGAATCAATATACACATCAATGATTAACCTGAGAATTATCTTTAATTGGACAGAACCATCATTGAAATAAAAAACAAGACATGATTTTCCATTGAGCAAGTTTTTAAGGTAACCTCAATGTGAAGAGGTAAACAGAATTTAACGTAAATGTAGTTTTGCATAAATATAACATGTATTTGATATAAATATGAAATACACAATGATTTAATCAGTATATACAGATTTGTTTGAAAATAAAACAACGATTACATCTTAATAAAAATAAATATATAAATACTAATAACATCTATTAAAATTTTAAATCATCAATAAGTGGTAACATTAATATATTTGAACAATTAACTCATCTTCTCTTTTTAGAACCCATAAGTTTTTAGATACTCTTACAGTGTAACCTGATAAAGCAGTCTTATATAATAATGTTTTGTTATTTAAATCAAAAACAAAAGCGTTATGGAAGTTTGGAGTATAAGTTTCTTTGTACAAATCAATAATTAAAAACTTATCACAAACTTGATACATATCATCAATTTCTGACAATCTACATTTTTTCATTTCAGAACTCCATACACAAGCACCAGTTTGGAGACATATTGCAGATAATTTACAATTTTCTTCACCATTTCTAGTACACTCATACAAACAATTTCTAACTGGATCAAGTTCAAAGAACACTGGTCCAGGTATAACATGTAATCTTTTACCTTTAATAGTCCAAATGGTTAATGGTTTCCCTTGTTCTGGAGATGTTACAATGAATTCATCAGTTGCTTTAAACCTACCTTGAATATTTAATTTCAACAGTAATTCTCCTTTATGAGTGAATAAGAGTATCTCATCATTGGTTGAAACTACAACATATTTTCTAGTGACACGTATAAAACGTGACGTGATCTTAAGGTCTAATAACTGAAGGGTTTTTAAGTTAACAATATACAAGAAATGGAAGGAAGTATTCAAACATGACAACCATAAATATTCATTTAACAAGGCCTCCATGCGTACATAGGGTTTTGTATGCAATTTTAACAAAGCAAATTCAGGTACACCTTCAGTGGCTAAATATAATTTAGAATCATCACCAAAGGCTAAGCCTAAGTACAGTTTATAATCTTTACCTTTCTTATAAATAATCACTATATTACCACTTGAGATTATAACATAATTATTGTTAATTGTCACAGCATGAGGTTTTGGGTATGATAGAGTAATTTCATCCACAGAATATGATTTCTTATCAAAGGAGTGAATTTGAAGAATATAATCATCAGAGTTATCATTAGTAGATTTGGATGATATTAAAGCCATCATTTTTTTGTAAGTGAAAATTCCCCGACAAGTTAGTTCTTCAGAATTTTTGTAAGGGATTAAGTGCTCCTTAAAACCATTTGTACGCCACTTGGCAACTGTCAAAGAATTCAGCTTCCATGAAACAGCATACTTACACAATGTTAAGAAATTGTCTTCTTCTAAACAAAAAAGATATCTTTGATATAATATAGCTAAAAAAAAAAAAATAATAAAATAACTTTTTTAGTCTTCTTACCTTCATCGAGAAAATACTCAATGGCAATACTCTCATTATGGCAAATATTTTTCCATAGTTTTTCAAAATTACAAATCCTCCGCCATTCAGTTGATACACTCAAACATGTCCATAAATCTTGTCCAGACAGAAATTTGAAAATGTATTCTTTCAGTTCCAAAGGCAGCAGAAAAAAACTTGCCATAATAAATCAATCTGTTCTGGAACTGGGAAAATTATGAGCATATCATCTAAATCAAAACAAAGAATGAACTATGAAGTCACATAGGTTTACCATCTGTTAATGGATTAAGGTATACCTTTGATAAGCATCAAAATTCAATGTCTCATTGCCATACACAAGTCTGCTGAGGTGTTATTTAGTGATCTATGAAATAGATGTTAAAATGAAGTTTGCCAAATAAATCCCAACACCGCCCATTTCCAGCCGGTCCAGGTCTATGACCAAAAAACCTGTCATCACTAACTGGAGTATAGAATCGACTTATCCAAACAAATTGTATCGATATCTCCCTGTTCTTCCATATTATATCGATATCTAATGTAATGTTTCATACGTCAGGAATGATCAATAATCCTTAATATAAACTCTTAAGGATATATTTTAAAACTTTATTAGTCAAGTCGATGAATGTTCGAAAATGAGGTACAGATAAGGTAACCAGATTTTAATATTGGTAAAGCAAGACATTGACGGGAGAGGGAAAGTGGAGATTAGTTGGTAAAGCGGGACAGAATTAAACGGGGTTTTAGCTAAAACATTATTGCTAAACCACGCTAAACGAGGGTTTAGCTAAACAAAGATTGACAATTTAGTTCTAAAGGCGTATTTTTGAGAGTTAATAATTTGATGACGTATGTATATTTAATAATCAATAATCAAACAGTTTTTATGACAAGTGTTTTGTGACAGCAGTTTGTACACAATAAATTAGCCCTTTTTAAAAATGCTAAAAACTTATTGAAGGATATCGAAGTAGCAGATGCCCAAATTAATTTGCTGTGATGCCCAAGATTTAACTTTTTCCTTAAAATATTTTAATAACGATACCTCATTAAAAAGATCATTTTCGTGTTGTTTATAATCATTAGGTTCAAACAATGGTGGTCAAATTCTAACAATTGTTTAACAACCCGAACTTTGCTAAGCAGTTCTCGATAATCAGTCTCTTAACAATGATTCGTTATTATTGAAGTTTTCCATTATAAAATAAAAAAAAATAATATAAAACTAATATCTTGGGGAATTATCTACGTGGCCTTCTAAAATAGTATTTTCTCTTCCCGATCTCCAACCGTTCCCTAGCTTGTAGCACATCTTTCCAAAAATCTTTTTGGATCGGGACTTTTTGAAAACGCCGTGGGGCGCGGGTCAAATTGTTAAAAATCTGGATTGTCCGAACATCTGGTCACCTTAGGTATATAGGGCAATGGAAGAACTAAATAGGACATTGTTCTCGTGAATAGATAAATATATTAAATTTTCTTACTCTTACACTTATATTTTTTTAAGTTTTTCGTTTGTAACTTAAAACATCTGGTGCGGTGAGCGCATCACACAACTTTCACTTACTACCCTTTTCTTAGAAGAAATAAGTATGTTCAGAAAAAGAGAAGATAGAGTTATATTTAAATCCCTGATAGTTAAAGTAGAAGTATATAACAAAATTGGCTCTTTCTCTCATCTTTTGCCTCGTATGACAAAATATAATATTAACAAATTTGAATTTAAATAAAAGTTGAATAATCCATATAAATCAATTAAACATTTACTCATTAGCTTATGTTGACTTTTCGGAATGTTATTATTATTATTATATCTCTTTCAACGTTGAAATGAGATGTACTTTATCTTGCCTGTACTTGTTTCTCAGTCTAGATGTGCCTAAATGAGAGAAACCTTGAAGGGTTACTTATTTACAGCTATTTAGACTCAGATGTATGTTTAGACATCTTACAATCAATATTTTTTTCTCTCTCTCTTTTTTACTTGGAGGGCGGACTGTTAAACTTTTATTAGATTCTTAATACCACACATTTATTTTAATATAAACAATAAGGTAACTTTTTTTTTTATCTTCAAGTATAATTTTTAGTAATTTTATTCACTTTCAATCTTTTGTATTTCTGTTATTTGTTTTATGGATTTCTAATAATATAAATCGCTTTCTAAAAAATAAAAAGAAGTTCTAACAGTGATACTTTCTTCAATTTCATTGACAACAGTCTCCATTTTTCGTATCAAATAAAGTATTAACTTTTCTGTATTATTTTTCATGGATGTTTAAGATCGAATTAATTAAATTGTCCTTCATTTTAACTTATCGAATACAAAGACAACATTGAAAACGGAGTATATATTTCTTAGCCATAAAATAATCTGTTTTAAGATTAGAATCAGTAACTCCATTGGAGAAAAATTGACAATGAAAACTTGATTTCCGGATATGTAATGGTAGGTTGTGTATATGTAATAAGCACATTTTGAAGTTTCCTGCCGCGGACAAACGGTGAGTATTTAATTGTGCTGTATGTCAATGCCATAGTAGTAGTTGCCGGGAACAGATGCTAATATTGGTCGTCCTACTATGGCTCCTCTTCAGCGTGGCTTGTGGTGAGTTTTTCATATTGTTGGTGGTGGCACTCCTTTCCCATTAGTTCCATGTCTCAAAAAATATCGTTTCATAACATGGTTCATAATTGAATAATATTTTATTTAAGCTTCATATCGCATGGAAGTTTCTAAAATATTTACGTGCGGTAATTTCCAAAATATTTAAGTTACGATACTTAAAAAATCGATGCCGCTTTGAAGGAGTAGTGCAAATGGCTTATGTCGGATATTTTCGAACCTTCAGGCATTTCTTCGGCAATATGAACATGTTTTGTAAAATTATCCAAGTTCATTTTATCTAAGTTAAAACTTACAAGGAGGCTTTACATTACCTTGCAATGAAATCGATTTATTTTAATTCGATTGTTCCTGAGAACAGTAGTGACGGAACTGAGATGGATGGGGAAAGACCCACTGTTAGCTGTAATTCATATTTGAGAATTGAGTTTGATAGATGACCATGTATATAACTTTTCTTATTTCAAGAGTTGTAGTAATAGATATTATTTTGGAGTTTCAAAGCAACTATGAAAAATGTTGACTTATCGATGCACGATTTCCCTGCAGATAGATCTGAGGGTGAAATCTAGTCCTAAGTCTAATTTCTTAAAAATTTTTATTTCATCTAAATTAATTTTTTTTAAAATTAATTAGTCTAAAATTAATTTTTTTTAATTCTCAACTATATTCATATCCCCCAGTGTGAAACCACGTAGGCCCAAAACGTTTTGGTGTAAGTTTTGTTATCTTTTTATTTTATAATTATTTAAAAATTATACAGAATAAAAAATTTTAATTTTTTCTACTCGATAATATCTCACGTTCTGGTGCTATCTATTTAAAAGGGAATTTATTTCAATAGGATAACCATTTTAGTTGTTTTTCAAAAACATTGTCTACTGAAAAATTGGTATTTAACAGAAGCTACAAGGTTTCACTCTATTGCCGGCTCATGTTTTTTCATAGAACAAGAGATTGTGACGATTTTAGATTGCTTTTGGTATGATTTTTATGTTCTTACATTAAAAATTATTTAAATTATATTTTGTACTTTAAAAAAAATAGTTCTAGATAAAGAAAAACGTCTGCCAAGTAAGGTCAGTATAGTTTCCTCACCGTTTTCATTGGCTAAAAAATATCTCTACAAGCTCTAAAATTTTTGGTATAAGAATAAAATCTGAATAAAATTGGGTTTGATATCCAAAATTTTGTTGTTCTGTGATTATTAAAATGTGAAAGAGTTCCGCATTTGCAGAATGCATGTTTGATTTTTTTTGAGAACATGACAACTAATTGTTTCTTTATGATTTATTAGTGTTATTTCATATTTTATTGCCCGCTCTTGTTTTCCATCTTAGCAAACTGCTTACATCAATTGCATACTACAAAATTTCACCTTTAGCACAAATAGATTAAAAGTTGAAACGTTTTACAAACGGTCTTTTGTCCTAACAGTAGTGATATATATTTAATAGAAATGTTTTCAATCGTAAAATGGATGTAGCAAAGAATCCTATCCTCCAAATTTCCTTCAAGTTTGGGTCAAATCGAACGCGTACTTTTTAAACTATTAAATAATACATTTTCTAATCTGAAATTGGAAATATTTTTTTGGAGTAGTGGATAGAATTTGATACATACTTGATTATCTGTTTACAAATCCGTAACTTCCCTAAAAACGTGAGCCAAACGAACGTGCGGTTTTAGAGATATAGACGTTTCAAGAAAAACACGTTTGCGCATATATAAGAGAAAGTAGTGAACATAATTCAATAAAATTGACTTTAAATTATTTTTTTCACCATTACCTACCTTATATCCAATTTTGAGGAAAATCGAACAAGCGTTTTTTGAAATATTAGCACATATAAAAAAATACGTTTGTGTCTACGTAAGCAGAAGTAATGGATGGAAATTGACAAAATTGATATGGGACCATCTAGGCACCAATCCGCACATTGCCACAAAATTTTATGAACATCCGATATACCGTAGTAGGTGATATGCCCGTTACAACTATTCGACTACATACAGACAGACACCAAACCAAATTAGATCCTTGATGTCTATAACCTAAAACGCGAATGGAAATATTCGATTCTAAGCACATATTTTTTTTTAAAACTCTGGCACGAACACAATCTTCCTATCTTCGGTAGTGAGGAAGTTAAAAAAAAAAAAAAAAAAAAATAACATTTCTAGAAGTATTTTTGTATCATCTAGTATTGATATCATTGAATTTTCAACATACTAGTGTCTGCATTGTGGAGCTATATTTCAATTATGAATCTACCCTTAAACTTATGCCAATAATGATAATATTATAGAAAAACATTAAATGTAAAAATTGCCAATATTTTAGTTTCATGGTCAATATCCTACATTTTCGGGGTTCCAACTCTTCATTCATGCCTAATCGTGTTGGTACCATTGCCACGAGGTCCTTGGCTATCTGGAACCCTTTGCTGCCGGTTTGTCTGCTTCAAAATTATCTTTACTTTTCTTTTCCTTATATAAATAAAAAATCAAGTAATACTATAATATATACCATTTCAGATCCACCCAAAATTTACAACGATTAATTTTAGAAAATACCGCAGTTCAAAGTGATTGCTGTAAGAGCAACGTTCGTTATTTAGGGTCTTCAAATTTGCGAAATGTCTTTTATAATGTCTGGATAGAGGTTCAAATTATGATTTTTATGTGGTCGTGGGGCAGTAAAGAACGATTTCCAATTTTCCGTTAAAACTTCAAATTCACTAAATTAATTTTCATATTTTGTAATGTTAGGTAAGGTTTTAGAATGTTAGGTAAAGACATTTTTTGCGTTTATTTAGTTCTTTATGTTAAACCAAGTTTTTACGTACAACTGAATTTTTTCTTATATGTTATGTGATTAACAATGACAATTCGTTTTAATCACACATTAATCATACAATTTCAATAATTAAGGGAAGTGGTGAGGGGATTTCCGTAGCCCAACGATGCGAGTGCAGTTTGCTGGGAGAGGCGTTACAGTCTATGAAGAAGTCCTTTGAATATTCTTAGGGCAGTGTGGCCGAATGGGTTAACGCGTGTGCACAGCACCACCGTTTGCTGGTACCCGGCAACCTGATATATGACAAATGTTATAAAAATTATAAATATGTTATAAAAAAGAACTCGTGACTACGAGTTCGCGTCCCGGTGCCAAGGCGTCTTTTAAATCCCCGCCCATACCCTTGGTCCGGGAAAACCCCGTTTGGCTTAACGGCGAGGAAGGGGAGGACCAAAAAAAAAAAAAAATCATATTCCTAATATGATTAATTTTTGAAAAAATATTTTCAAACAAAATAGGTAGGTACGTTTTATGTTAGTTGAACAGTTGAAATTTGTGCTTTATTTACCTACACATGTATGAGACGAAACGAATGCCGGCCGTGAACAGCAGGTAGTATAGTAGTTGAAGAATACGCCTCATAAAAATATTTAAAAATTAAGAAGCATATTGTTAGAGGAAGGGATGTAGTAAAAGTAAAAACACACAAACGCATTCTTTTAAACTTATTTTAATGTGGATATGCCGACATTTGGGGCATTACGGTTCGAACGATGAGTCCAAGAATTTTAGATCAAATGCGATTTAAAAAAAAAGTTTCTTATCCTGGACAATACTCTTTCACTTCCCAGCCAATATCTTCTCGTATTACATCTGCAGACCGAAATATTTTTAAAAAAGTATGCTATCATTCAATAAATAAATAAAAAAAAAATTAATGAGGAACGATGCTTCTGCACTAATTAATTACTCCTCTAAGCTATGAAGAATTTAATATATTTTTATTTTTAATTATTTTTTACTAGTGATTTGGTTGTCTCATTTCTTCATGAACGATTTTTTTTATCATCGACCTACTTCAATGGACAATGGGTTTCGATGTTATCTTTTTCAATGTGGAGAAATCGATCATGGAGAAAATGAACTCCGGCAGTTTTTTTTTTGTGTTTATGATCCTCCTTTATTTGAATTTCATTAAAAAAGAAATTACAATACATAATATTGAATTCAGACAAAGGATTAATTGAAGTATTTTAAAGTGGCTACACCTCTTGTTAATGAAGGAATTTAAAATTTACCATTTTATGGCCATAGAAAATTTTATTTAAACAAATACAAGTGATAGAGCCACATCCATCCAATATGACAAGTATATCGCGCAATGTTTATTTTACTTTTTTCAATTGAAAATATTTGGTAGATACATACAGGTAAATTTAAATTTCGAAAACAGGTTACAGATTAGCAGTTACCAAATGATAATGTGATCCAGTAAAATATTATTTTAATAACATGTGAGTTTGGGCAGGTTCCTGAACTCAGGGGTAATTCCATTGAAGGAATCCATCTATCGAGCTTGAGGACAATGCATTTTATAAAGGAGCAATTACACTGTTGTCAAGATTGGAATAAATTATTACTGCTAACTCATGAAGAGTGCAAATGCAAAGAGAGTAGTAGTGAATTCAAGATTTAAATTATTTTGTATGAAAAACGTTAAACAGATAAAGTTACGATAAGAAAAAAAATCTATAAAATACTTCAAAACTTGAAACAATCCTCGAAAATAAATTATTCTTGGAGAGGATTCCGATATCCAAAGATAGATCTATTGGGATAATAAACATCCTTTAAGGCACGGGCAGATCTACGGAGGGGAGGGGGTGGGCTTTGGGCTGAAGCCCCTCCCCCCCTCAAAAAGGTAAAATATACCTTGTTTTATGGAAAAAAATGTTTAAAAATTATCTCTTAAAGTATTATTGTTCGTGTAATTACGTTTAAAAGGACTTAAGGAATCACTTAAACAACATTTCATATAGATAGCTAGTTTTTTTATTTTTTTCCAAAATAAATATCGTCATTTTTATAAAAAAAAAACTTTCGGGCTGAAGCCCTCTTAAAATTAAATCCTGGATCCGCTAGTACAATAACGGAGCTAATAATATCCCCATACAAGCTAATCAACAACGATTTGCAATCGTAAAATGTAGGTAAACTAAACCGTACTAAAAAAAAAATCTCCAATCTATGACTAGAGCATATTTGTGAGTAGGAAATGGTAATATGGCTTCACTTACGAATGAGGCTCTAGCTATGCCGCTATATATTAATACGGATCCTATTCACTTATGCACGGTGTTCCATAAGTTCCTTTCTTTTTATTTATTTGTTGTCTCAGGTTGATTCATAGTGTTATGTATGAACCGTTCTTCTCTATTACCTACTTCCATACCTCAGGAAGCCTCTTATGCTCTTTTTCCAAAATTGTTGAGACTTACAAAATATTCATCGAGATTAGCTTTTATTTCACTTTCACAGATTTTTTTTTTTAGAAAGAAACCAGCAATAATCGGATGCAGCAAGGGCTGTGGAATAAAGATACATGTCTTACGGTCAACAAAACATACAACATTGGCTGTAAGACAGAAACTGTTATACTTTTATTGGGAGTTTTACCTCATCCTCTGTACTCCCCAAATCTTGTGCCCAATCCGATTCATTACTTGTTTCTTTCGATATAAAATTCTATCCTTGATACATGTCACAAATCCGAAAGTGAAATGAAAACGCATCTCGATGAATATTTTGCTAGTAAGTCTCAACAATTTTGGAAAATAGGTATCGAGGCTTCCTGTGAGATGGAAGAAGTTAATAGAGCAGAACGGTTTATATATATTACAGTAAATCAACCTTAAACAACTAATAATCAAGAAATAGGAAAAAACTTATGGGACAATCTAATAGATTGTGCTTGATAAATTTCATTGCCGCCGCTTGAAGAAAAACCGGAACTAACTACAGTTAGAATATGTTTGGACAAAATTTGAAGAACCGGAGAGGCAGCAGCCAATGAGCGACAATATCTCCCGCTAACGCCATTATCCGGCGGCATCCTAATATTTATTTTAATAAATTTAATATAGGTTCTTCTTGGATTACTGGGTTGTTGAAATTACAATTTATTGTTCAATTATGCGCTGTGCATGAAACTTCAAGAACTTTGCATGAAATCGAGCGTCATTGTGTTGTATCAGACAAAGAACATCTCACTATTCTCTGTAACGCATATAGGGTTCTCAGTGCCAAATAGGGGAGATTAACAACGCTTAATGTTTTAACCGAAAGATAGTTTTCTCTGCTAAGAGAATCCGGACTACAAACAAAACCTTGGTGTAGAATGGAAAAAACGCTTCAATTTGAGGAAAAGAGATTCATGGAATGTCACAGAAAAAATAAGCCGCTGGTAGAGATAATGACGTCTTAGTTAACTAATTATGGACAGTATTTAAATTTATATGTTTATTTTCAAAGATTACTTCCACATTTTTACCGTGTGAAATATCACCACTGTCAAAAAAACTGTACAGTATATATATATATATATATATATATATACTGTACAGTTTTTTGACAGTTGACAGTTTATATATATATACATATATATATATATATATATATATATATATATATATATATATATATATATATATATATATAAACTAATGCCAGGAGTATGTTTTGGTTCACTGAAGTAAAACAATTAATTTGCAGTAGGTTCTTTGTGACCTTGACATCGGATTATTTTAAAGCATAAAAAAAAAAAGACACGCGAATACTTTTGAGATAACATTATTCATTCTCAGACGAATAAAATAATTCGCTAATAAATTATAAATGAAATATCATATATGCACTGATAAACAAGAACTCTTCCTGGCATTGTTCAGCAGTCTCGGATAAAAGCTAAGCATTTCAAATAATTTTGCTTTGTTCAAGTAAAATAGTATTCGATAAATGATAGATATTCTATACGAGCCGAATGGAATGAAATTTAAATTAGTCTAAGAACTAAATTAAATGTGATATAGCCAAAAAGTTATTTTGCATATTCACGAATATCAAAAAATCTAAATTGTTAAGTTACTTGTGCAAAATGTGCTGAGAATTAGACTTAAAGGAAAACTATCTTGAGAATTTCCAATAAGCAATTTATTGATTTAATGTAAAATTAGCTGTGTGAAAATTTACGTAATAACTTTGATTTAATTAGCTATAATACAATGACCAGCTACAAATTAAGACAAAATCCTCGGAAAAAATACTTGCATATTATAAACTAAGACGTTTTAACATTCTCTACACATTACTCAGATATTATACCTACTTCCATGTTATTTTTTTAAATCTTTGCGGTTCGCCCTATTTATAAATCACTCAACATGTACCTCAAGGAATGGGATTATCTTTTGTTTTATGTCATCTTCGATTCAACGGTCTGAGGTAAATGATGGTGCGGATTAGTTCTGCTAATTATATATTTTCTACAATATTATTTTCAAGAATGTTCATAGGAAAGGAGTCGGGTCGGTTTATATTGACTTAAGTAGAGTCCAATATAGGAGTTCGAAAGATGGTCACATTAATTCTTTGAAAAAGAGATGGTTAGAAGATGCACTAGCGGATTCAGAATTAAATTTTTGGGGGGGGGCTTCAGCCCGAAAGATTTTTTTTTTTAATATTAGTATAAAAATGATTAATTAAAAAAAAAAAGAAATTAACTACCTTTACGAAATGATGTTTAAGTGGTTCTTGAAGTCCTATTAAATGTAATTAAACGAACAAGAGATAGTTTTTAGTATTTTTTTCTACAAAACATGGTTATATTTTACCATTTTTGGGGGGGAGGGAGCTTCAGCCCGAAAGCCCCTCCGTAGATCCGCCTGTGAGAAGATGTATGCTTAGTTGAAAACCGTACATGAGAATCATATCACAATGTGAAGATATTAATTTATAGATATTCATAAGGAAGTACCGATCCATATTTAAACGTTGATATGCTATATGATCCAGGTTAACAGCCATTTTCTATAATTATATTTAATTAATATTATAGCTAGATCACAATTAATGCTAAGAGAAATTGTTATAATTTTTCAATTAATGTTGTTTTAAATATTAATAGGTTGTGGAGAGACCAAGTCCCAAAATGGGAAGATCGTGGGTGGCAGTGGAGCGGACGCCAAGCAGTACCCATGGTACGTAGCTCTGGTACAGGCCACAAGTAGCCCCGGCAACCTGGTGGTGGATTGTGGTGCCTCTCTCATCACCAAATCACATATCTTAACAGCAGCGCATTGTTACAGGTTATTGTCTCAACATTATCCATACTTACGTACTCATGTTTATGTACGGATATTGTCGTAACTAGGATCATAGTTTCCTTTAGAAAAACACTTACTTATAGATCTGGTCGGCTGAAGCTACTTTTCGATGAAAACTTCATTATTCAAGCTTGGGAAAGATCTTAAAGAGCACTAGTCTTATGATTCGTTCAAAAAATGTATTACTTTAAGATGGGGTAACTTTGAGACTGGGCGGATAATTTTGGGTAAAATTTAGTTTGTGGTAATTCCATGATGGATATAGATATGGATACACTGAAATAGGCTTCTCAAACTGCCGCAAAGTAGTTAGCACAGTACATGAATTAAACCAAAACAATCTAAATGTTTACCCACCCAGAGGGTTGCCCAGAAGGGGGTTTCATGGCACAAGTTGTGCCATCAAAATTTGTGAGGAGGCGTATTTTACGGATTTTTAAAATTTTTAGGGGGACAAATTTCGACGAGGTTATGTATTTTCGGACAAAGGGACAAGGGGAAAACATTGAACAGACCGCAGCAAGTGTAATTGTATATGATCTACGATTTTTCTAATTCTACCTTAGCTTACATTGTTTATAAGAAAAGATAAATAATAAAATACCTTGGGAGGAGGAGAGAGGGTAGGTTCTTGCTATATCGATCTTTAGGGGGATGGGCACTCCTGCCCACTCAGTCCCAAAGTTACCCCATCTTATGGTATATAAATTAGACAAAGAAAAGTATGAATAGTACAGTCATTTGGTTCTAAAAATTAAAGTTCCCCAAAAAATTTTCCGTAAGTTCTGTAAATAGGCAATTGTATAGATTTCGATGTGCTATTTCGGAAATTCAACTTTGCTACATCACACCTTTGCTGCTCGCGTCGCCATATTGGAAAAATGGCGCCTAAAAGCAGTTTTTGACAATATTTTATTTATTTCCAACTGATTTCACGATCAAAACATTTATATAAAAATTATACTTGTTTTCTGAAAATCAATAGTTTTGGTGTATGAGTGTCACAAAGTGCAGTATGACGCGCGTTTTGGCCATAAAACTCATTTCCACACCACCATCGAGGTAGAGCGAGGGGCGTATCTTTTTCCGTGGTATTTCTAGTAGGCATAGCCCACATGCGATTCATTATTCCAAAATTTACCGCATTCTCCTTCGCTCCTCCATGCTATGTGGGCCAGGTGTTTCCACTTCATTGTCTATAGGACCGATCAAAACTTCGCAGACCGAAATTTCTTCCACATCATCCACGATGAGATTATCAGTTTATTTAGAATCCTCTTCGCTCTCGATTTCATCATAAGTTTGCTCGAAAATAATCTCCGTTTCTTCCTGTTCATTGCTATCTTATAATGGAATTTGCGAGTTATCACAAGTACCACTATAATTCGTGCATATAACGAGTCACTTTATCCCAGTCTTTCTGCATCCACAGGCTTTCTGACATCTATTTTTGCATTTGCAAGAAATAAGTTTTAACAAGCTTTCCGAAGCTTTCTTGCATTTGGAAGAAATACGTATTAACAACCTTTCCGAAGCTGAGGGCTCGAATGTGAGGACAGGAATAAGCCCGTCCTGGTTTCTTTTCCACACACATTGCTCTGTAGTTTGTTCATTCCCATACTACTGCTGAACCTGGTGATAGGTTCGGAACGAATGTTGTGTTACTGCTTCTGTAGGTAATATCGTCGCTCGCAATATTAAATTTAGCTCGCAATTTGTTAGGTTGCACCTCTAGAATAACTCCACCCTCCCCCGTATGCCATAAATGGCGATGTTGTGAAAAATTAAAACAAAACCTAATGTCTAATATTGGATTTTGTCCTGAGCGTCGTCGTAATATTTGGCCAGAGCTCTGATATAAATTTTTGGCTATAAAAAAAACTCACTAGTTTGCAGGAAATCCGCAGTATTGCTCTCTGAACAATGAGCAGGAAAGAATTCGCCATATATTACAGTCATTATGAAAAAAAAAACACGTTTATTTGGTTACCTAATTTCGTTTAAAGGGTACCAGTAAGATTTTGTGTTATATAAAGGGATAAGGTTTTGTTTTTTTCTCTTCAAATTAATTTTATATATTTTTTTCCTTTTATCATCAGATATAATTGAAAATATAAGGGCATCTGGTTTGATCTCCTGAAAAAATTAGCTATGGTCGTTATCATCCAAAGTTCCATTCAATGTTTTTAGTTTTTATCCATAAAAAACGATTGAATGCAGTGTTCTAAATATAGTTACCGAAATTCCTTTATGAGGGCCATGGCTTGAAGTAAAATTGATAAAATTTTCTGATCTACGTACTTATATAAAAGGAAAGAATTAAAAATTATGAAAATTGTAAAAAAACTTGGAACTAAAGATGTGAAACTTGGATGATATGAATTTCTTCTAAGGATGTTTAAGTTGGGTGGCATTTATATTACCAGAGTGTTTTATCTTACTCCACCAGAATGGCATTTAAACTTGGCTTAATGAAATTTTTAAAACATTTTCTGCAGTATCAGTAAGTTAAAATCTATAAGAAGAAGTTATAAAATCGTAGGCAATTGTAGACCTGTGTAATCACTTATTAATAATTATACAAATATAAATTAATTAATTATAATATTGAATTTTGTCAAAAATATTGAAATTTACTTCAATATTATTAAAATTATTAAAACATTGAGATGTTTTTGAAATGATTTTGATAAATAGATAATCTCTCTTTACTAACATAATAGAATTTTATTAATGCTTTATATATATATATATATATATATATTTATATAATGTTAATACAGTTGATACTGTCTATATATATATATATAGACAAAGCCTAAATTTATATGCTTAACATTTCAGTGTTAAATAAATTTATTATTTATTAAAAAATAAATTTATTTAATGCTATCGTAGCAGTGCTACTTATATTTCAAGTATTATTGGGAGTCATTCATCTGTACATTGAAATATTTTAGACTGTTAATATTATAAAAATGTATATGTTGTTTTAAACAATTTTACTTGAAAAGTCCTAATTGTAGGGGTATCCCAGCTCCTGCGATGAAGAATGCATTTAAAGCAGTTTTTATTCTGGAAAATCGATGTTCTGGACAAAATAGATTGATAAAAAGGATTTCGAAGGTGACTATACATCAAAATTTCAACTATAATAGTCTGAAAAATGATATTGCTGTAGCACAATTAGAATCAGCTGTTGATTTCGAACCAGTATGTCTTCCACCAACCAGTGAGTAGTATACTGTAGGTGAACTTATTGAACCTCATCTATTAAATATTGTTTTATGTAATATTGTGATATTTTGAATTTTCTTGACTACGCTCAAAGAATATTATTTTGTTTTTAAAACTTGTAGAATCAAATATATCTTTTATAATATGAATGGCTTGTTTTGATGAAATATAGATATTTTTAAAGATAATTATAAGAACAGTTAATATAAGTAAATGAATATATAATATAATTAAAGAAACAGTTAAGGTGAATTATAAGAAAAAAATTGAATGTAAAAATAATTGTTTTTTATATTAATTTATTAATAATAATCCATATTAACAAAAGCCTGCACCACTCTGAACTTGTGTGTATATATATATATATATATTTTTTTTTTTAACTTTTTTTCTACATCCAAACCTGTCTAATACATAATTGACACTCAACGGATTATCTGGTAAGATTAATAACAAAATAATAATGGCAGGTTAGGCATGAGGAAGAAAAAATACCCAGCTCTTCCATGACATTATTTCAGACTCAAAATAGAATTTACAAAACATCTCTCATCCATGACTTTTTCAGCCTTCTCGTGATAATGGTCAGGCATGTAAGTACTGGCCATTATTACTATTAGTTCATTATATCCCTGTAAATTGTCATGAAATCTTTTTTAGTGAGGCCTTATGTATTCACTGACTTCGGGCATTCTAAGGTCAGTGTGTAAAGTCGTGTATTGAGGTACTCGTGTAATAAGTCTAAAAAATTTGGATTGAAATGTTTGGAGTGTTTATATGTGTGTCCTTTTAGCAGAACCGAAAATTTGAGAAGCGTAAGACCAAATCGGTTTTAGTAAGTATGTGTAGGTAGGAAGTTTCTGTCTTAATTTTAATTTTGGTTGTGGTCTGAGTAATAAGTATAACAGTTTATTTCTTAGATTTAAAATTTTAAGTTTTTCTTAATGTGTGGGCTCCAAGTCAGTCCTAGGTAGTTAGACCTTATCTGTTTGTTGTATTGGTATGTTATTGAAATATATGGGAAGGTAAGCTTCGTGTCTTATTGTAAATGTGTGTTGGCATTTATCATAGTTTAATCTTATTTTCCACATCCTGCACCAATCTTTTAGTTTGTATAAGTGATGCTTTAGTGTTAGTGAGGCCTATGTAGAATCTTGGTGTCTCGGTAGGATTGCAGTGTCATCTGCATATGTTGCTATTAGGATGTTGGTAGTGTCTGGTATGTCATGTGTGTATACAGTGTTCAGCATTGGTGCAAGGGCAGACCCCTGAGATACTCCTGCTATGGCTGGTCGAATAGAAGAAATTTCAGGGTCTTGGCGGATAGAGAAAAACTTTGGGAAAGGAAGGATTGTAGGATTAGGAAGTATGTGATGGGTAGTACTACCTGTTGCATATAACTTCTGCTCTAGTGCAGTTGAAATGAAGTCTGTAACTCGATGTAATTGATGTGTTTTTGAGTGAAGTTTTCAAATTCCAAATTGGTGGTCAGGTATTATTTGCTTTTCCATTAGTCTGTAGAGTATTCTTTTGTTTAATAATTTTTCAAATATTTTGGAACTAATGCAAAGCAAACTTATAGGATGATAGGATAAGGGATTGTATTTGTCTTTGTTAGGGCCTACATAACAAATATGGGTGACAATCTGGTCACCAAGTTTACACAGATTAATACCACACATCACACTTGACAATTACAGACATATACACAGTAAATATTTCAAACTTTTACAGGTACTTATAGGGGCATGATAATAAAAAACAATGCCTTAAAAGATTCAAAATTTTATAAACAGATTTATGCAATGAAGAGAGACAAATCCAAAATTTTAAACATTTAGTATATGACTATAAACTTTTTGACAAGCAACAATTAAAATTAATAAAAAAAAAATTATCAAAAATGGAAATTGGCTTGAGACAGAAAAAAAAATTTGTTTTCTGGTTTAAAAGCAGATTTTTTAAAATTTATTAGATCTATTGACTTCTATTTACCAGTGATGGGCAGCGTAGGTTAAATCCTGGCTTTGTTAAATTGATTTTTTGGTTTTAACTTATTTAGTTTTTTTTGTTCGATTTTTACTTTGTTATATTTTTTTCTATTTTTTATTTGTTATTATTAATAATTTTGAAATGAAACTTCATATTATGTAAAACTAACAAAAAAATCATGTAAACTATTGTTATTATGTGTGTGTGTGTATGTTATTTATTATAATTCTCTTCTGTTGTTTCCCCACTAAAAAGCATCTTGATTAATTCATTATGGCAAATCCTTAGTTATAACTTCAAACTAATTTTTTATGTTGCAGATTCAAGAACTAGAGGCCAAGGAACAATAATTGGTTATGGAAATCTTGTAAACAATGGACAAAAATTTCCCTGCACTCTCCAAGAAGCTAATGTCAATGTTTATTCATGGAACAACTGCTTAAAGACTGGAAATTATAGAGATATAATAAACCTTCCTAAAACAGTTTGTGCTGGATTTAAAGCTGGTGGCATAGACACTTGCAATGTATGAAAATGTATTGTTCTAGGCCCATTTCATTATTATTATTATTTTTAAATTTCCCACTTTCTTGGCTTTTGACAAAAATATTCATCTACCAGGACCAGGGTGAAGAGTTAGGCGCAAAAGTTAAACTATGTTTAAGAATTTCTTATATTCCTATGATGATATTTGCTGTGCCTAAAACTGCTTTTTGTCCTTCTTCCAACACTTTTTTCTGGAAGTCTCAAGTTTTTCAACAGAGCGAATGGTATCGTCTGGGATGAGGCCATTGCTGGAAATTACAATCAGATATACCCATATAGATTGCTGTAATTTAGCTAAGAGCTCCTCTGACCAGCTTGAGCAATAATTAGCTTCCTTTGACACAGGAACTATCAAGAAACACCTTTCTGTGATGTTGCTCTCTGTGATGCCAGGGTTGTTTCGAGTTTAGTTCTATATATTTCTCTAATCCTCCTTTTGGCATAGCTCAGGCTTATGCCACTTACTGGTTCAGGGGCTATGGGTGATGACTCCAAGCCTCCTATGACTAATTTATTGACCTCTTTAGTACCTACGATCCTTGAGTGCCCTGCTATCCATTCAGAACAGTTGTTATGTTCAGCAAGGTTGTTCAGAATGGCATTGCAAATCTTTGATTTGGCACAGTAATTTTTGAATGCCTTTTATTTCTGTTTGGCTCTCAATATAAAGTGTGGTCATTTTTTCCTTCAGCTCTTCATATAACAGGATGGAGGCGTACTTTAAAATAAACTATGTTAAATGGGCAAGACGTAAAAATGTATGTTCCTTAGGATCCTCTTAAACAATCAGTGACAGATTGTTTTTCTACAACTTCCTTTAGTTTTCTAAAAATAGGATATTGTAACTCTGGATGTATGATGCAAAATGTCTTTTGGAAATTTATTCATTTTTAAACTCTAAAATTTTCTAAGAAGAGATAATTTATAAACTTTTTCTTATAATTAATGTGTAATGTAATATTTGTTGTATAGTTAGCATTTAACAATAAGTACTTCAATTAAAAGATCATATTTTTCAAATTCATAATGTAGATATAATTGGGATGTATTTATCAAATATTCATGCTATCCTATATTGCATTGATTATAAACTAATGTTATTTTTATTGATTTTAGGGTGACAGTGGAGGTCCATTATTGCAAGTCAACAGTGCTGGAAACTATTATATTAAAGGTGATAAAATTATTTATATGTCATCTCTAAATCTCTATATAGTGATTTTGTTGATTCCTTGAAAAAAAAAAATAGTGATAATACTAAAAAATACAATAAAGATTTATATAAATTTTGATTCATAGAAAAAGTTATTTTCTCATGATGAAAATGTTTTTGACTATAAGTCTAATCAAAGAGAGGTTGGTTGGAACATTAATCAAGAAAGTAAATATAAATTAATGTAGACTTTAAATATAAATTAATTTTTTGGTCTATGTTTTAACGTTAAAACATTAAGCATAAATGTTGGCAAACATCATAGGCATCAATCTCTATGGAGCAATGGGGATCTCCTCCCAGTGTTTGTAATGGTCCCATTCATTCCCATCAATATTTTGGATGGCCCAATGTATTTATGGTCCCATATGAGCATAAAATAATATATTATTTTATATTTTTTTCATATTAGCATAATATGAGCATATATTTGTACGTTGTAATTTGTTTAAATAAAGTTCAAATAAAGGAGGATCAGAAACAAAAAAAAACTCAGTTTACAACGTTTCCATCATATCTTTTCTAGATTTGTTTTATGTTTATTTATCTTTCTCCCATATTTACATAGAACTATCTTATATTTCTAATAACTTTTAATTTTATAAATATTAAAACATTTTATCTGTACCTAGGAATTACTTCCTAATAAAAATTTCATGTTCTTGAAAAGCTGCATTTTATTAATTACTATATTAATATGTAATTCATTGAATCATTATTATAAAATAAATTAAAATAATTTATGTAGGTAGTGCCATCTAAGGTGAAAAATAGAATTTTTATAGTACAGTCATTTAAAATAACTTAAATATATTTTAAAATACCTGTGTCAATAGATAATATTGACTTTGCTTGATTTTAGTATGTATAAAATAAAACTTTGTTGATTTTGTTTCCAATTTTTAATTATAGGTATAACTTCTTTTGGCCATGGCTGTGGACTTCAAAATAATCCTGGAGTTTACACTGATGTATCTAAATATATTCCTTGGATTAGAAGAAATGCAGGATTAGCCAGAACAGCAAGAGAAACAACTCAAAAAATAACATATACCATAAATTTTCTGTCATTTCTTGGAAGCATTATTTCATAAATAAAGTTCCACCACAGTTGCTCTTAAGAAGATGCATATGTTTGATATTTCTTACCTTTCTTATTAATAATAATCTTATTAATAAGAATCTTGAATCAATAGCAACCAGGAACTATCATATTATTTATTTTAATTTTTTCACTATCAATAACTCTATAGTTATTGAGAATATTAATCTCTAGAAATGATCTAGAGCTGGAAAGGCACTCATTTGAAGAAGAAATCCCTCCTGCCCAACAGAACCGAAATTGTTGAACCAAGTGCCCATGCTATTAAAAACGGGACAATCACATTTTAAAGTTTCCTTAAGGGTGCCGAAAACTAGGAGGTTTTACTGTAGTTGATGTATCAGGGTTTAAAAAAAAATACAAAATAATAATCTTAATAATTTAGCAACTCTTTTTTACTTATTGTTTTGCAGAAAATATAATTTATAAAAGAGATAAATCACATAGTAGATTTTAGATAGTGGATATTAAAAGCCAAAGTTCAAAGTATACATTCACACTGTAATATGGCAAGTATAGTTAATAGAGGTTTCCCTTATGCTCTATATAGATATTTAATATATCAGACATTGGAAGTAGAAGGGGTATTGTAAGTTAATTTGTTAAGCCATTTAGTAAAGTAATAATTTTTAAAAATACTATGTAATTGAATGAGAAGTATATTATTCTTTATTCAGAAGAAGTTCTGATGATGGGGATGAATCCCCAAAACATCAACTGACTTTTATGTTATAAAAAAATGAAAATAAATACTGTAGAAGTTCCTGGTTGGCCTTGAATCAATAATATATAAACTTCCTTAAAAAATCTGTGAGATTATATTTAATAATTGTTGTTTATAGGGTTTAAGGGTTTAACTCTTTTAAATATTCCTACTTGGGCAGACGATTTTACAGGTTACTAATCTGTTTTAGTAGAAAGGACATAATTAATTCCTCTTGGATTGGTTAAATGATGTTGAAATTATTAACATCAAATTTTACTGAACAAGAATTTAAAATGTATATTAATTTGAAACTGAATTTAATTAAGAAGACATTTTTTTATCAATTGTCTTTCTTCTTTTTCCTGACTTTTATTTTTCTAAAAAAAATTTCGCGAAACCATCAGTATAACCAAATTATTTTGATATAGTGATGTTTGTTCTAAGTAAGTACATATAATTTTAATTATATTTAAAATTATGTTGTATTAAGGACCTTCCTTGCCATTAAAATGCTTTTAGTAATCAATGAATGATAATTGATCTCTTTTAAAAGTGTAAAATAATATTTAAATATTTTTATTTATTTATAATAATGAATGAAGTATGTTTTTTATTTTATTTAAATGAAATATTATAATTAAATTACAGATCAAAGTTTTTTGAAAAATTGGCTTTAGTTTTTCTATGTAGACTGGACAGGATTAGTTAAAAAAAAAAATTAAAAAACTTACATCAGCTTTAGAAGTAAGAGCCATTTATGGTCCTTGACAATCATGATAAGAGTATCAATTATCAAGTCAGTAATAAGACTATATTTTGTAATAATGTCAAGAAACTTAACAAGTGACTGACAGTTAATGCCAAAATTATAAACAGTAAATAAAAATCCACACAAATTTGATTTATACTCTTGCATTCATGTTTACAACTATGATCCTACTACTAATCTTCTGGAATATATAATTTCCTAAGTTTATTTTAGTTGTTGTGTATGAAAAAGTCTTCACTTAAATGATGCAACACCAAAGATTTTGTTTTGTTCTCATTTACAACAAGATTGAGCTTTTTTGCAGCATGCCCTTCAGTCGAGAATGGCTCATTTGAGGCAGATTTCAAGCTGGAAAAAAATTTTAAAGTTGTTAACACATCCTAGTGATTGGATCGTGCTGTAGAAAAAGTAAGTAAAAAGTGAGTAGTCTTCACTCTTTTCTAATATCATTCTTAGAGTAAATATTTGGTCTGTAGTGCTGCTTGGTGTGTACCTGCTTCTACTGGACCCCTGCCTGGTACTTACCTAACTCTCTTTTAGTGTGAGGAGCATCTTTCACAGATGTCTAATGGCACTATGTGTGCACATAAAAGGAGGAATTCAAGACGGTAGTTGCTACACTCTAGTTGACTTCTTTCTTAAGGAGTGGAGACATAATAAGATGAGAATGAGATTATCCAACTCATTTCTTATACCATTTTTGTCATATCAAAGAAGCCCTGCTTGTCTTCTGTCCAATCCTGGGGTCTTATTATTTTCCAACTTCACAATGGCTGCTTCTATTTTCCCATCTTCCGATGAATCAACATTTGAGAGGTCCTATCTTTTTCTTCCTGCTACATTCTCTTCAACAACATTTTCCTTATCATTCTGATTACTAACATTAAACATTTTATAATTCAAAAGAAGAATGAAGTTATAAATGATGGTGATCATCAGAATGAAAAAACAAAATTATTCTGATTATTAAAATAAAAATAAGGTAAGTACCCTTTAATGTTGTTTAAATCATTATTATATATTATAAATTTTAATTTGAATTATGCTGATTATTGATTTTAGATGTACTCTGAAGTGTTATTTATGGGCTGATTAGAAACCACCACAAATTAAATGTAGTCATTTTTTGCCTGTCAGAGTATATTAAAAACTCAATTATCATTTTTTTATTAATAAGCAAAAATATTATTATTATTACAAAAACATTAAACCTTCATAAATGTTAATTTTTTCCCTTCACAGTATATAGTAAAAACTCAGTTATAAAATTGGGATATCTGAATATAAAATATGGTGTAGTCTTTTAAAGCATTAAGAAATTCACAATTACAATTAAATCATACATTAGATTTAGGCTTTCCTATAAATATTAAGTAGTATTACTGGATAGTAAGATAATATTGCTGTTTCATAATTACAATTAAATCATACATTAAATTGAGGCTTTCCTATAAATATTAAGTAGTATTACTGGATAGTAAGATATTATTGCTGTTTCACAATTACAATTAAATCATACATTAGATTGAGGCTTTCCTATAAATATTAAGTAGTATTACTGAATAGTAAGGTAATATTGCTGTGTTTGATATGTTTAAGACAAACCAGAAGTGGATTGTGTTAGATTGCCTACAACTGGACACCCTGTGGCCCTCCGGAGAACTGTTATAGACACCTACCTGTGAGGGTTGCCTGAAGGGCTCTTGCTGGGTGGGGGAGTAGGGATCTGCAATTTGAATCTGTCTATTAGCTACCAGATCTCTCTAAACACTCCAGTCCAAAGGAACATTATATCATCCTAATTGAACCAACCTATTTAAAAAAAAAAACCTTATTCTAAAAACTTTAAAAGAAGAACTTCTAAAAATGTAAAAAGAAATTATTTTTTAAATCAATGATTGAATCACATTTTTGATAAAATATTGTTGTAGCAAAATCTAATGGTTAATATTGCCATATTAGTTACATATATTGACAACTGAAAAAAAGGAAATAGTAAAATTGAAAAAAAAAAAAGGGTAAATCTCAAGGGCATTATAACCAAGCTGTTGATTGCTTAATATAACACATAATATTGACAATTGAAGAAATAAAAATAACTGATTTTATAGAATTTTATTAAAAAATTATATCCATTCATATTTCATGAAATGAATAATCACTCTTATTTTAAAAATGTATGTATTGTATTAATGTCAATAATATAATTATGACAGAAGTCAAAAAAGAGATGCATAACTAATACATAAAAATAATAGAATTGTAAAAGGTATTTCTTAAAATTTAGCTAAAATATATTTTTATATAATTCTATTAATTACATAAATAATTATATTAATTATAATACTGAAAAAGTCACCATTTATACTTGTAAGAAAGTTTACCATATTTTCTTATTGAAATAAATTTAAATATCAAAGAAAATTTATATATAAAAAATGTATTAGATGAAAAAGATTAGAAAATCCTTAAAATAATATATATTAGTGAGAATAATTTGCATAGTATATCAGTGAAAAAAATTACAAAATAACAAGGAAAAAAGTTAATTCTATGATGTTATAAGATGGAGAAATTATAACAACTTTTAAAATCATTGTTCGATTTCTATGATATTTTTTTTTTGTAGATAATTTATTGATCTTTCAAATAATCATGGATTCAATCAACAATAGCTTTTGAGTTATAGGCAAAAAAGTTCCTTTTTTCCTCTGTGATTTTTCCCTTCGGGATGATATAACAGTTTTTCCTACCTAAAAAAGAAGGAAAATGATGGCTCTCTTAGGGGATTTTATGAAGAATTAATGAAGATATGGCATACAGCCTAAAAAACACTGAGAAATAATATATGAAGATAAACCTCACCTCCCTTATTCATAGGAACCTAGTCCACAACATGTGAAATGTATCCCATGGCATACTTACATTTGTCCCAGTATTGAAGCCTAGTGAAATTTTCACTTCGGCTTTATTTATTTTTGAAAGAAAAACAAAACCGAAGAATACAATTTGCTAATCTTCTGTGGAATTATGAATCCAGTGTATTTATTTCATGGCATTTGAGCAAAATTTTGAGTCTTAGTGAATTCATATATGTTGGGATTAATCAAACATAATAAACTGTCAAATACTGTTCTCAAATGCAACCAGAAATGTTGTTTTTGGAAACCATGTATGTATTTCATGGTTTATTAACTTTTGAGTTTAAAGTGTTATATTGAATAGCTTTACATTCAGACATGCATTTACTATTTAATGCTATATTTATAATATATATATTGTATGATGTGTCCCAGAAAATATAGCCAATCCTTCTAATTTTGTAGTGTCATGTGAATTTCAGCAAAAACTTTTTCGTTTTTATGGGATATAAAGTTTCATTTTGTTGTAGTTTCTTCCATTTTTTCTCCACTGTACCAAAATCTGAAATTCCCAAAAGAAATGTTTATATATGGTGAAAGATTCTGAAAGAAAGTAAGTAAAATTGTTTTTGTTTTAACGATTGCGTCCAAAACTGCTCAAAATCAAAATTTTCCAGTTAAATCTATATTTATCTCTAAGAGACAACATTGTCTAAAAAAATATAATTGTAGAAAAGTTATTCATTAAATCAAGCTAATTAAATTTGTGAAATCGGCCAGGGCATTATTTTCTGTGCTGTATTGTGTTAGTATATCTACACAAATTTGGAATTTATAATGACTAACTCTTGCAGGGAATTAAAATTCAAAACTTTTTTTTTAATTTGCATATTTTTGATTTAGCATACTATCTGTGGATCAACAGCAAAACCATTAAAAATTGACATATTTTAAAAGTTTTATAAAAAAAAATGTTTTGCCGTTGGTCCACAAACAGTGTGAAAATCCAATTAGCCACGTAGAAGAACGAAATAATTTTAAAAATTAATTTTTCTACAAGAATTCCTTCACAGGCATTACAAGAACACACAGGCGGATCTACGGGAGGGGAGGGGGAAAGAGCTTTCGGGCTGAAACCCCCCCAAAATGGTAAAATATAACCATGTTTTACAGAAAAAATATTAAAAACTATCTCTTAAAGCATTCTTGTTCATTTAACTACATTTAATAGGACTTCAAGAACCACTTAAATACTTTTTCATATTGGTAGTTAATTTCTTTCTTTCTTTTTTTTAAAATTAATTATCGTTATATGTATATGAAAAAAAATCTTTCGGGTGTAAGCTCCTCCCTCCCAAAAATTAAATCCTGGATTCGCTAGTGCAAGGACATAATATGTTGAGTACTCTTCTCCTTCACAAATAGATTTAGTTATGAAATGTATGTGTATGATGGTAGCTAAAGGTTATTGAAAAACGTATATTGATTAATTTTTTATTAAAAATAATAAATAAAATATAAATTATAAGCTTTGGTGATGTCAGTCCTGGTTGCAGAAGCATCCGTCCCTGGAGTTCTCGACGATCCAATCGATGTACCTGGTGACCCGGGTGTAGACTCCAGGGAAGCCGGGCCTAGCACAGCCGTTACCCCACGAAACGACTCCTGCAACAAAACCAAAAATGAATACTTACACTTATCCTAATCGGTATCGTAACCAGTTTTGACAAGGTCTTGGTAACTGGTTCAATCTGTAACATGTTCATCAGTAACTGTTATATTGGTTATGTGGTAAGTGTTATTTGAATGATTGTGTCCAAGATTTTTGTTCGAAAGTGTTATGCTAGCTATAAATCACCACACATGCTTCAAAACTTGTGTCTTGACTACTAATAAATCTTCTATTCGAATAAACTTGTTACTATGGTAAATTTTAATATGCTGAAATATCACAATGGATTTCACATGTAACTCGCCGACGTGGTTAATACATTGATTAATTGTGATTATAATAATGATCATTATATTTTTTTGGCGAGAAATATGAGTTATGAATAAAGATGGAACTATTAATAAGTTATATTTCGTGCTCGTACTTGAATTCTAATGCTCTCGGTACTGATTGTCAGGAAAAGAACCATGCCCAAACTTTCTTTTAATTGAGAATTCACAACACGTACCTGTGCTAATTGAATTATTTAGTTTACCAATAGGTGCAGTTAATTATAAGACAATATACACTAAAATCATATGGATACAGATACTTTTCATTCCTAAAGATAGAGGTAATATTCTTACGTTCTCAAAAGTTTCTGTTGTTAATTATCCACAATAGAGTTATTAAAGTTTAATTGTCCAATCGAAAATTTAAATGTAAAATTATAACAAAACTTACCGATCAATTCGTATCTTTTATCTTCTCTTTCTCTTATTAGAGGTCCGCCGCTATCACCCTGAAATAAAAAATATATTAAAATAAAATATATATAATTATTTATATGATGATTTCCAATTTAATTTGTGTTTTATTTCAAACGGTTCAACAGAAACTTCCCGTTCTTAAAGATTTTTCGATCAAAAGCCAACTAATTTTAATTTAATTTTGGAATATAAACTTTTTTTAAAACACTTTAATAATCATAATAATATTTAATTAAGAATACATACAAAAGACCAGTACCTGGGCCTGAGATAACTCGATTCTGGACTAAGCCTGCCCTACGCTATCCGTAAATCTCGGGATACATCAATATTTACGAGATAGCTTAAGAATAAAATTTATACTAAACAAGAAATGATACATAGATTTTGATAAATTTCATTGTTTTAAAATATATTTGGTCTTAAAATAGTTATTTACGGTGTACGTAAAATCTAACTACAATAACAGAAACTGGCCCTGATTTGTTGAAACATTCAACCATTGAGAATTAAAATTTAAATGAGACCAAAACACTAATAAGAGAAACTTATTATTTGTTTTCTGGCAAAATTTCAGCTCTAACCGATACAGGCATCAATGAAAGAGACGGGAAGAACTTGTCCGGCAAGTGAATCTTGTATTCCTTTTTGCCAATACGTACGTAAGTAGTAAGGGCTTCGTAACACAATGCGAGCTAGCATTCGAGCTGGTCTAGTCAGTTACTGCAGTACAGCTACTCGCACGTTGTGTCCGCATCATACAAGTAACCGTCATGTGTGAGTATGTCAATAATTTGCATCCGAGTTACTACAAAGTTTTTTTGTTTTGACACGACACAGGCCTTTCCCCAACACGCCCTAAGCAGCCACTTTCCTGAGAATCGGATCTCAACTTGCATGTTATTACAAAATTACAATAGTTCGTATGTCTTGTGCCACGCAGTTGCATTCTTTCTGTTTTGCTGAATATGCTTTCTGTTTTTGCTTTTCAGTTAATAGTTGTAAAAATAAATAAAATGGCCGATAGATGGAGTATTCAACAAAATATAAAAATTGTGGAATTATATAAGGACCAAACCAACTTATGGAATCCTATGCATCCAATTTCTGACCAAAACCATTCTGTTTTTCTTCTTATTTTTTTTCAGCTCTACGTATTTCAACACAAAGTATTTTTGAAACTGCTTTTATAAGATTATGAACTATGATAAGACGTGTATTATGCGATAACATTCCACAAGAACAAAGCAGAACATTTGTGAAGCGTTGCTCATTTTAAAATCCTCGAAGCGGCACCAGTTCGAATCTACCACCGCAGGTTGAAATATTTGAAAGTGGAAAGAATCTCGATATTCTCACTCTGATAAGAATAGGGATATACCCCTAGAACAATCTCCTCTCTCTCTGTCTCTTCCCTCAACATAATGTCAGTGTCAAGATTCGTTTCTCCGAGCCCTGAGAATGAAATATTAAGTGAACCAGGTGATGAGAAACGAACCCATAACGTTCAGGATCGGGTACCCTGGGATTATCGTCCCAACGTACAGAACTATAATGTCTCAAATGTAGGTTTCTTGTTGTAGGCCTGGATATATCAAATGGCGAGATTTGATACGTTGATAAAACCTATGCCTGATATCAAAAGTTGTAAAAGTAAGTTCCATTTATAAGGGTGTTTTGATTTATTGATCGCAGTTATGAAAAGTCTAGTATAATAATAATTTAATTGTATAATTCAGCCCTGAAAACTGCGTAACATACATTGTTACATAATTGTGCAAATTTTATTTTTGAGTTTCCGGTCTTTTATATACAATATATTTCTACAAATTTCTTTGCAATATTATTATAAAACATCATCTGCTTGTTGAGATTGGTGTAAAGTCAGCTTTATGCAACCAATATGATACAATTTCAACCATTACTAATTTACATAAAATTAATTTGAAATTTAGAATGGTAAATGAGATGGGTTAGTTTGCTGGATAAAACAGGGCTCAGGTTCGAATCCGTTCGGGATAAATAATAATTTGTTTTCTGGTTATATCACCCGTATATGGATTCTGTGTTCAAGAGAATCACCTGGGAGCACGCTTTTAAAAAGATACTTTTAACGGAGTAGAGATAACTATGGGATTGGAGACCAGAACACTTCCTGATATAACTATAGCTCAACCCTTACTCAGGATGTCTCAGTTCTTAATATCAAAATCTGGAGCGTGATTCTAGACAAAATTTCACGATGTACAATTTTTGAACAATTCCATCTGGTCAATAAAAACAATTCAAAATTGGTTTTAACTTCTTTTCCGTTCGGAATCAGATCATGCATCAAATGAACTTTTTTGTTGGAAATGTTGCCTAAAATCAGCCTCCAGAGTTTGGCCAATAAGAACAATTGAGATACTCTATAGTTGTATAGCTCTGTTCACAGGATGTAGTGTCAAATATGAAAATAATGTTCGATTGTTGGGTATAACATCTGATGGTACTACTAACAGTACTGAATGAGTGGGTCAATTATAGGTTACCAATAATATTTTAGTTGTGTCGGGTAGGTCGAGAATATTTCTTAGATTTAAAAGACCTACCACCTGCCCACAACCTGACCTACCAGAACATAGTGATACCCTACTGGCTACTTTTGCTGACGATAATCCTCAGTTCAGATGAAAATCCTATTCGAGCATCCACCACCCTTCAAAACCACTTGAACGATATTGCTGGTTGGGCCACAAGGTGGAAAATTAAAATGAATGAAAAAAAAAAGTGTGTACGTAGTATTCACTCTTAATCATACCCCTTCTCCCGAAATATATTTTAATCATATTGAAATTCCTGCATCCGATGTAATTAAATATTTGGGTTTTTACCTCGACAAAAGACTAACTTGGAGGACACACATTAGACAAAAACGTATGGAATTAAACAGACGATACGGTCTTTTATCTAGGTTATTTGACAGACGTTCAAAATTATCTTTGACTAACAAACTAACACTCTATAAAGTTTTACTAAAACCAATTTGGACGTATGGCATATAACTGTGGGTTTCTGCTAAAAGTTCTAATATTAAAAAAATCCAGTCTTTCCAACCCAAAATTTTACGAAGAATAGTTGAAGCACCATTTTATGTCGCAAACGATAGATTACATAAAGACTTGAACATCCCAACAATTTTAGACACTGCAAAAGAAAACTACAGCAACTTTCACCAAAGACTAACTTACAACAAAAATCCTCCGACAGAAAACCTTAAAAGCACTAGAAACCCGTACAGCCCACCTCGACGATTACGTAGGCGGTGGCCAAGAGACCTGCTGAACTGAACTATTTTCTGGATTGTGATTTGCTCATTGCAAAGAAAGTTGCAGATCGCAAATTTAATTTTTATTTCCAATCTTATGTTATGTATTAATAAATAAATAAGATTTAAAAATAAAAATTAACATAAAGGAGAAATTGGTTTCACTACAAAATTTTTCTTTTAAAATCATTGTTTCGTCTAGTCTTTTATTCGTTTCTGGTTTGTACGTTTTTCGTTATATCATTACGTTTTATTTTATTTATAATAATAATAATAATAATAATAAAAGGCTTAGCGAATCCGAAGGTTCGATGCCGACACCACCAATCGCTTATTACACACCTCCCTCCACCGTTCGCATTCCAAACCCAGTCCCTTCAGATTGGCTTTAATGCAATCTTCCCGGCACCGCAAATATTAACCTTTTAGGAATTCTCTCTTTACTAAGCCCAACAACTTTACAAGTCTATTTGTTTCGCTGCGATGAAACAATCTCAATTATATTACCCGGATACAGCTCACGCAATTCGGCGTTGTGTAACCGTCTGAACTCTCCGGTTAACTCATCCTTCTTCGGTCCGAATATTCTACGCAATACTATATTTTCAAAAACCTTAAGATGCTGCTCATTCCTTAATGTAAGCGGCCAAGTTTCGCATCCATAAAGAACTGAAGGCAAGATAATTGTTTTATAGATTCTATTTATTTTAATTATATATTATAAAAATCGTTTAACTGTTTGTTAATTAAAAATTGGTCACTTTCGTCGTGAGAAGCGCCGCAATAGCCCCCTTTGTCCTGAGAGGAATGCCCTTTCCATTTTAATGAAGGTAGCCCAATTAGCAGACAACGGTGGCCCGGAGACAATGTTTGTGGGTTATGGGGCCAGCGGGGAGGAAGACAACGGACCGCCACTTGTCCTGCCGATTCTTCGCGCCTCGTCATCGAGACCTCTTGCAGTCCTTCTTGGGCCGTCCTTGGAGCGGCGGTCCACCGATGACCGGATCCATTAGGGTCTCGGCCCAGGGGGTCTGCTTTACGGATCGTAAACCCGGCCAATAAAGTTCCCGTTGAGTGATTGCAGACCGTTAAGGTGCTACGATTCTTCGGTTAGCCTGATTGTCCTACGCTTATTTAATAACGATATATATTTTAGTAACTTTAATATCGAAATTGCTATATAATAGTCGTACTAATGGCTTTGCACTAACTCGGATCCTCAACTCAGTTTTTTATCATGATATATTATCTTTATAATAATTCGCATTACGATCGTAAAAATTATATTGAGATGGATAATTTGTTGACTGAATATTTATTTTTAGATTGTGAGGGTGTAAAATAGTCAGTATTTGTAATCCAGATATGTTTTATTAGACTTATCGACGTTTCGACCAAAGCATGTAGGTCATCACGACAGTTAAAAATTAAAACAAATTACATTCCAATTATAAGATACGGACAGAGCTACATAGATAAGTCAAGTTAAAAAAAAAAAAATGTTTATACTTTTGACTGTGAGTCCATCTGTCCATCTGTTTCTCCAAAGACTTATTCCTATTTTTTAAATGAAATTGTATTACAATTATTTTTTATCATTAAAAACATCACCACATTTATTCTTAGTGCTTTTGTTGTATGTGTATTTTTATTTATTTATATACTTAATATATATTTATTTTATTTTTCGGCTTATTGTTATGTTCATATTACCATTACCGTATGTGTACTTTCTATCTTTTTATTTTGACATATTTACGTAGTTCTTTCTATATCTTAAATTTCCCGTGTATTGTTTTTTATTTATAGCCCTGATGATGGTTCACACGTTGTGGTCGAAACGTCGCGACGGCAAGCCTAATAAAACATATTTGGCTACAAATGTTGACTATTTTTCATTTTAATAACATATAAATTACAGCATATGCATATTGTGGGTTCGCTGCGGTGTTCCAAAAACCATTGAAATTTCGAACTTTTACGGGTTTACGCTAAATATCTCCTTTTTAGAGCAACATAGATAAAAATGGTTATATTCTAACAGCTAAAGATTATCTAACATTTTTTTCTAAACCCACCAGGAAGCGAAATATCGAGCTTTCGAGGATGTAAATATCGAAAAACATATCATTATGTTTAAAATATATCGAAACAGCACTTCGAAATATCGTTTTATATTATTTAACTTTGCCGAGATGGTGTGGGAGGGATGCCGGTCATTTGTTATGAATAAAAAAAATATACAAAATGTATGAGAATAAATAATTTTAGCCTATTAACAAAGTGACTGAATTAGAGCCATACAGAATTAAATACAATTGAAAAATTACTACTTCACATTAAAAATGTTTAAGAAATAAATAAATTGCTTTGGAGCGATGATTGGAATTGATTGGGAATGACGTCATTGCCTGGAGGCACCAAGTGTCTTAAGTTTGAACACCTTATAATACGAACGCGCTTACAATTATTTACAGAATGGAATATTTTTTTAGTGATCAATTTATGTATTTGGAAAAATTGTAAGAAGCACTTGTTGTCTGTAACAACAAGTACGTTACAGACTTGACGTAATGGAATCTTTCTCTATATTGCAAAATGTGTAGTTAGCCAATCGTAGTACTCAAACCACGATGTATAACAAGACTAACAATAATAAAATACATATTTCTTAATATATATACAAAATTAAAAAAATACAACTCACCTGACAGGCATCCTTTTTGCCCTCATCGTAGCCGGCACAGAGCATGTTGTCGCTTATCATTTTGGGATTGTAACTCGTGTTGGCCCTGCAATCATCGTTGGACATGACCGGGATCTCCACTTCTTGGAGAATACAGGACGGCTTACCATCTTCCTTGAGGGTGCCCCAGCCGGTGGCTATCGCCTTCGTTCCGGCGTATAAAGTATCTGTAAGAACAAAGTCATTTCATACTTAAGAGCAGAAAATCGGTTCATATTTTAAAAATATAGGGAAAATATAAGGTGATTATGAGGTGGATTTGATTTTTTTTAAAAACTTTTTTAAATAAGAGTATTACTGCTCATATCATTATCTCTTGCCATCCAAAATTAAAATAATTTAATTTCATCAATAGCATAGAAACTGTGACCTCGCAAGATACAACATGACATACATACATGTGTATATAAACTTGCACATTAACGATACCTAAAAACTGTAGTCCTCTATTTTTTTATTTGAAGACACATTGAAACTATTATACAAAATTTACGGTTCTCATGTTGTTTTATTTATTTATAAAAAGAAATAATAAAAACTATATAAATAAAATAAAAAATTAGAATTTCATTGGTGAGAAGAGAATGATATCATTGGAATCACCTCTGAAAGATTTTATTATAATCGAAATAATAATTACTAATGACTTTTTTTTTACCTGCCCGTTTTGGTTGATATTAATTTTTTTTGTTCTCCTTTTAGGCTGTACGGTTTTTTCTCCCCTAGGAGCGAGGGCGTTGGACAGGAGCGAGGGCGGGAGATTAATGCCAGAATTAAAATCCCCTCCTTCTCTCCTTAATTGAGACGCGAACTCTATAATTATTTTATCACAGTATCTGCGGTTATCAGGTTGTCGGGTAATGCGTGATTCCCACACGCGTGAGGCTGCTCGACCACCCCGCCTGATTGATATTGATATTAATTCTGAAGAAAGAAAGAAAAATGTTGAAAATAACTATAGCAATGAATAATCTTCTATATAAACTCATTGCTCCCATCAGCTGTTTGATTACAACCTACTGTTAAACTAAACAACACAACTTTCACGAAATGAGTCGAACAAGTTTTGCCTGTAAAAGGGCGACGTTTTAAATTTTAAGGGAACGAGGTTCGGCTCTCGTTAAGGAAGGTAACTGTTCATTTTCAACAGTTACACTGACAGATGATGTGGTCAACACCCTCGAACCATTGCAAGGTGAGGTGTCCACTTAATAGGACCTATTGTTGATCAAATGCTGTGTGAGAATTAAATTAATTTTCTATCCTCAGCTAATTAACTCGAGCTGCCTCAAGCTCAGTACTAATTACAAAAACATCAAAGCGACGAAATGTTTTCTCCATTGTAATGAAACACGGATTAAGATTTGAATCCTCAATTTTTGAAGGGATACCCACCGTTTATCCAGACAAAGGAAACTTAAAACCATTTAGTAGGAACCAGGCACGTGTCAGTGTTAGAAAAACTCTTTAAGAGGATTGGCATAAGGTCGTTCAAGTTGTCTCTTTTCTTTTGAGTTTCATCGGTTCACCACTCCCCCCGCCCCCCCCCGTAGTTAATATTCATAAATCCCTTTAACATTTATCTCTCTCTCTCTTTTTAACATCGAATTTACCAAACTTTTCTCAAAACGAGTCACCCCCCTCCCCCTCCTACGATAACCATCTACTTCAAAAAAGAAGTTGGTGGGAATTTAAAAAAGTTAGGACGAAACTTGATTAGTAAAATTAAAATTTAGTAAGGACACTCTTTCGAAAGGTAGAAGAGGAAACTTTGTTTACAATACCGCTAAAGTCGAACCTGTCCTTTATAATTTCTTTTGTGAAATTCAATTTTATCGTAAATATAATACTTTTTTTTTTTTGCACATCAAATTTATTTTATTTTCACATCCAATTCGTACATAATATAGATAATTTTTATATAAAACCAATAATTTTACTGATTTTTAACAACATTAAAAAAAAAATCATATGTATTTATATATGTATCTATACTGATATGATTTGAGAGAGAAAAATATTTATTCTATCCCATATTACGTTTTGTATTCTTACGTGGAGCACTTAAATGATTCATACATACATTTTTGCAGACGATATATGAAAAATTATTCATACCGTAATAAAGAAAATGGAAAAATATACAAATAAAAAATATTTATAAATAATAAATAAATATAATATAAATAATAAAACATTTATTTTATTTAATTTTTACATGCAATTCGTATCTGATATAGACAATTTTCATATAAAATCAGTAAATTTACAGATTTTTAATAACATTAAAAACAATAATCATATGTATTTATCCATGATCTTATATATTATATCTGATTTGAGAGAGACAAAAAACTGTTTATTCTATCCAATATTGCTATTTGTATTAATTAAGAACTTACGTGGTAGTGCTTAAGTAATTCATACATACATTGTTGCAGACAAAATATTAAAAAAAAAAATTATACCGGAATAAATGAAATGGAAAAATATATAAATAAAAAACATATATAAGATCTCTCTTTAATATATATATATATATATGTTTATAAGAATATATAAAATATTTTATATGCTTTATAAGAATATAAAATACTTATAAACAAAATATTTATATTAAAAATAAAAGCAGTTTAAAAGAAAATAATACAATAATCAAATAGTTTAAAAATATATATGAAAAAAAAGTGTAAAAGCAATTTTTAAAAAATGTAATAATTAAAAGCTGGATTTTGTTGACTGTTTTTCGATATGATACAGCATGATATATAGTGAGTATTTTCGGTAATTTTTTGTATTCTTGTTCAAATTACTGTAATAAATAATAATAATTACTCTTTAAGATTAAGATTTAAGATACATTATGTAGAATCTTGAAATCGGCCAACTCCATTTTAATTGTTATTAATTAACAGAAAACTGTTATACTGAAAAGTACTCGATTATCTATTTCATGATAATTCAGTACCATAATGTTTCTACCATAGAATGCCTTTCAAAATTATTATATTCGGTATGCTTCATCATCAAACTATAATTATTTGATTTTCTAAAACGTTTTTATAATTTTGTGAATTCGTTTCCATACATAATAATGAGTTGTTATCATTTTTTAACGCGACATTGAGGCTATGCCGTTTTATTATCTAATAATAGCAGAAGACATCATCATTTCCCACAAAGGTTATCTCGGTCGGAAATCCCATGTAGTTGAAGAAGGTAACTATTAGTGCAATACTCGACAAGAAGTCAATTGGATTTTCATTAAAGAAGGAGGGTGTTTGCTTTTCTCATTACGACCAGACCTACTGCGCTCCAATCAACTTGCAATCAGCTGTGAATTCCTAACGGGATCTTGATGAAGCCGATAGTTCAATTGTTAGATAGAAGCAACATATTTGGCAGATAGTACATAATTATTTACTTATATACAATAACATTTATTAGTTTTTTCTTTGGAATAGTTTCATGAATACAATTTACTGTTTATTGCACAAACCTGGGACAGGGAAACTTGGGTAAGAAAGAAAGGTAAGAAAATTGTTATGGGAGGCTTATGAAAGTCAAGGTTTCGCAATAGTGATAATAAAAACTTTGTTATTCGGCTATTTGTCTAGAGATCTCTTTAATAAAATCCCTTTGGAGATAATTTTAATTTGTCTATAGATCCCGGTTTGGCAGTTCCCAATTCTCATCCCAATTCTACTCTACCGCGAGCCACATTTAAAAGTTGTACTGTTCATGTGATCAGTTATAATAACAAAACTAATTTTTTTTTTAAATTATAAGATTCTCAAATGAATTTGAATTCTCAAATAGAAAAATTCTCAAGTTTTAACTATACACACGTCGACGACGGGTACATCAGGTAGTTATAAATTTTTCAAAGTTAAATAAATTGTTCAAAGTATTATGTTATTGGTATTAAGAAAAAAAAAATAGTTTTGTTATTATAATTAGAAAAAAAATTAATTTTTTTATGATGAATAGTAAAACTTTTAAATGCGGCTCGCGGTGGAGTAGGTTGGGATAAGAATCAAAGTAAGTAACTGCCTAACCGGGATCTACCGACAAATTACTCAAGAATTCATAACTTTGGTTCTACTCAATAATTTGTTTTCATTTAAAGCCTATATATTAAGTCAAGATAAAAATTAAATATTATTTCAAAAGTGTATCATTAGCCGTAGCTAAGCTTTTCCCTGACAAAATTTCGTTGGACAATGCGGACATACAGACAACAATTTTTTTAAAAGTGGATAATTTGATTACAACATCGATAAAAAATATGTCCTACAAAAAATTGGGACGTTTGGGATATCAAAATCCGATATCAAAATAACGAGGTTATTTATGCCAAACAGAGCCATGTTATTGTAGGCCACCTTTTTCACGAATTTATGATTAAATTATCTTACTATTCGAGTAGAAAGCAAATGGTTATTCATGAGTTTTTAGTACATCATTAAAATATCAATTTAATCAGAAAACACGCAATTTTTGAGAATTGTAGTAAATAGAAAAGTTGTAGGTTACGATAAAATTAAGCCATTTAGGATGTTGAAGATAAGTGTTAATAATTAAGTAAGCAGTGGTCTGTGACGCAGACTATGGAGTCAGAGGAACGGCTGTGCATATCGAAATGTACCTACTGATTACGTTAGATCCTTTCTTCTGGGTTTTAGTTACCGTAGATATTTTAATTATTGTTTTAGGAAAAAATGGAAGTAAAATTAGAATCTTTTTTTTATTTTGGGACTCTTGTCCCTTTAGAATAAATTATAAATACATGGTAAATCCCAGTGTGGCCATACATAAATTAAGTATTTAAAAAATAATAGTTAATTAAAAATATCTCCGCTGGCTTTAGTACCAGTGACGCGGTTGAGAGAGTAGCGCTGGGTTCTCCTGGAGTTCCCTTGCCTGATTGTATATAGGTATGCATGTGTTTATTTGCTTAGTTTTAATTTTCTTATTTTTATGTTATTTTGTTTTATTATTTATTGTATATGCTTTTGATTATTATGTTGCTTCTATTTATTTTATATTTTTTGTACATATAGTGTGAATGTTATCCTACCTTACTATAACCAATGTCCCAGAGATAGATTGTTGTAATGCTCAATAAATAAATTTAAAAAAAATAAATAAAAATACAGATAGAAAGAGAGAGAGAAAAAAAAACTGATATATAATAGAAATATAGAAAAGAGAATACCATAAGTAAATAGTAACAGCCTCTAGGAGTACTTAAAAAGTTCTTTTTGGTACAATTCATAATCAGTCTGATTGGGAAAGGAGTAGGTTTTTAAAGGGGAAAGGTAAAGGTTGTTGTATGTGTTTATTATCAGATGGAATAAAATACCAGAGGTGGACAGCTTGGATCACAAAGAATTTGTCAAATGCAGCAGTTCGGTGAGGAGGAGGATAGAGGTCTGAAGTACGGGATCTAATGGGATTGAATGGAGTATTTAAATTGTAGGCTCTGAAAAAATATCGGAGGGTCGCTGTGTTCTGATGGCCTACTATAGAAAGGTAGTAAGGTTTTAATGTCATTATGTATGTATAATTCAATTTACCTGAAACCTTGGGGAGACATATGGGCCTTATGGTCTCGGTGAGCGGTACCTGAGCGTTGAGCCTGAGCACGGCGATGTCGTGGTCGAAGTTGACGTAGCTGAAGTCCCCCGTGAAGGCCCTGATCACGAACCTGGTCTCCGGTTTCCGGGTCGTGTTGCACCTGTCGTGTTCGCCCAAGGTTACCTTTATCATGAACCACATGAACCTAAACAAACTGATACCATTAGGACGAAATAGCAACATGGAAATTATTTGTTAGTAATTTGTACAATAATTTATACAAGAAAACTACGCTTAGAATTAAATTTGTCTGTTTTTCGATCTTAAACTAAAATGCAGGGTATGAAATCGATAATAATAAAAAAAAAAAAAAAATCAAATCTGATAAAAATTTTTATCTGAAACTTTTAAAAATCATTTGATGATTTTTATTTAGAGCAATTTTTATTTTTTGTCATAAGTAATAAAAATCATATCCTGATCATTAATTCTAAACAAAATTTTTACAATTAACAATAATAATAATTCTGGAGTAATACTTTTTCAAATCAGAAATATAATTTTTTTATAATCTCTATGATGTTTAATGAGTCTGTAGTAGTTGGTGAAGTATATTGTGGCTTACTGTTTGCAACAAAACATCTTAATTACCAAAATTCATTAGAAATTTGGGCTAGCAGAAAAAATATATATATTTATATGTACATATACCTTATATAGTGCAGGTACCGAATTAAATTTCAAAAATATAATATTAAAAAAATGTGTACATTAAAAACGTATACATTTTATTTTCTGATCAAAATTTTTTTGATCACAATTTAACGATTATTATTTATGTAAAACCGTATCATTCAGTGAGTGATAATACATTTTAATCGAATAAATAAAGATTAAAGATAGATTTAAATTTTAATTACAAATTAAATATAATAATTATTACATGATTTTTTTAGCAAAAATAATTATCGATTTCTAACCCAGCTAAACTTTATAACCTCTTTTCCAAATAAGAATATGTAAATTAAAACAGACTTCATTACGAGTAATATCCTTTTCTTTTAATAACTGGTTTATATCTATATATCTGGTTTATATATGGCCTTTGAATATAAATTAATAGCATTCAAATCTTTAATTTCTGAAACGCGATGGATAACAGTTTTAACATTTTATTTTCACATATCTATTCAGGATTTTACATAAATGGTAATCTATAGACAAGAGATCTGACATAGGATTGGAAGAGGTATTTTTTTACCTCTCATACTACTAATATATTTTATTTATGAAAAAAAGTGTTAAAAATGTATCCATAGCATTTTAGAACTACAAGCATTACTACCTTACGAACTTAGTATTTTATAACTTGAAGCTTTTTAAACTTTTACGAAGTATTGATTCGAAGACCATCATGGCTTTAGTGTAGTGGTAGTGGTACTACTAATGTATGTGGGATCGGGGTGGCTGAGTGGATTAAGGCCAGAAATCCACTTCTTCTCCGTCTCCTCTTCTTTCCGGTTGTTCACGACCCGTATGGCTATTGGAGGCAACTAACACCGACTGGATGTAAGAGTGATGTCGCTACTCCATTTACTTTAATCGGAAATCGCGAAGTGGTTTTCAGAATGTGAGTAGTCTCCAAGAGGTTTGGATCCGTGAAAGGTCTTTTCCAGAGAAAGGAATATAATTCCTCGAGCACCTGCTGACTCTGACAAACCATAATTGACTTGTAATGGTTAAGCGTTAATAATTAGAAACATCTAATGTCTTTTGGATACATGAAAATACAAAAATTTTCTCCTACAACATTGTTCTTTCTGTTAATGTTTTAGAAGTTCCAGTACCAGAAACGATTCATTCATGTTCCCATCCTTTTCGACAGGTTTAACTAATTCGTTTTGAAGCTTAGATGGTAGTACTAGTTAAACGTCTGGTGTACATACCAGGTAATCGAAAATGTTTGATGACATAAGATACGTCACCACACCATAAGCTATCTTAGCCATATCATAAGACACCAGTTTATCCACTTAGGCCTTAAATCAGCAATCCAGGAATAATCTTGTTTTGGCTTCAAAGGCTCCTGAGGGATCTATTAAGGAGCTGTGAATAATATGGTTTCTGGAACATGAAGTTGGGTGATCCTATCCAGGCGATCTGTGCTTCCGCAAGCAATAAACGTTTGTAAAAAATCATACCGCTTATCCAGAAATCTGCATGGTCTATAGCGACAACCGAAGAATAAATTGTAATATAGATATCAATGTAAGATCCTGGTTTTCTATATTTCAGTTATTTACATGTGTGTGACCCTCAAGACACGTATTTCTAAATCTTATTTGTTCATTAATTAAGGATTAAGTAAAACTTCTTTCCTGTTGTGGCTTACTATATCCTTCAATTAAAAAAAAAAATCTGATGTTTTTAACTTTTTCTTAACCTTTTATTTTTAAAAGTATAATCTCTTCTCCCATTGCTTATTACTTTTTACCGCCTTCCTTTATTCCCAATATGTGAACGCTGATATAATGAACATTTTTTGATGATTTTCTAATCTTTGAAAAGTTGCCAATAACTGTAAGTTTTTCCTCATATTTTCAAACCGACTTCTTACTTTATTATTATTATTATTTTTTTTTAAAACAAATTTCACCAGGCAAACAGTTCTTCGACGATCTTGTACAATATTTTCCACACGGAACTCCGAATGGTCTGAATACGCCAACGTTCCGGTTTGATAATGAATTAAGATAATATTATGATTACAGAAATCAAAAAATGAATTATTACTGAACAATATAGTATTTATCTTGCTTTGTAATTCACCGTTAGTTAACCGTTACTGACCAACATTCTGGTTTATCACCCTCAACGGCTGGGAAAGATCGGTATCACCCAAAAGTATATAGTCTGTCTTACTGGTTTTGAGAGAAATATGATAATATCCTACGATACATGAAGATTAGTATAGGAAGAAACCAGGAGATCCGAAGTACTTATTTGGAACCAAATATCATATTAGCTATAATGAGTTTCAGTGCCACCTAAACAGTACTAATAGTGGCATATAAGCGTATAACAACGATGTTTCCTAATAAGGAAAAACAACTAGAGAAGTCATGCAATACCTGAATCATTACCTGGTTCAGATGAACTTTATGACTTGTCGTCAAACAAGTACTCAGACATTTTATATTATAAATCAAGGCTGAACGAGGCAGGTAATACAAGTTTGAGGCGAGCCATTCCACACCGGCAGTAATTCTTTGTCGGATATTATTCATGGGATTTAGTTGTAGTAACTGTCTCTCTGGTCTTTATAGTCGGATGAGCCTGACTTGTTCTGGCTTTGTCTGTGTCTCGTTTTACCACTTAATGACTATCGTAAAATTTTCTGTTTGCATTTTAGGTTAACGGTATCTATGCACATCAGAATTGAGAGAAAAAAAAATCTGTTTAGACCAATAGATTTCAAATTAATAGCATAATTTTATAGAATTATTCTAAAACCACCCATTTTCTTCTTTACAAAATCTCCTTTACAAAAAAGTTCAATGAGGGCATCGCAAGATCCAAAGGGAAATCGTTACCGGAATAGAACTGATGACAACTGTACTATTGACGATGAGTAGATAGAGAGATTCTGTTGCGTCGATGAAACAACCAGGAAATTGTTATTGTTAAACAATTTATAATGAAATGACATGTCTATAAAAACAATAATAAGGTCATCAGGTTCTTTAGCGATGAGAGTCATTGGGCTGAATAAATTATTTTAAGTAACAATCGAAAAACATAATGCATTTTTGGGAGTGAAAGTTGAAAATTATAACGTATTTTTGTGATTTAAATGTGTTTAAATTTTTTATTTTTTTTTTTTTTATTAATATGGTTCAGAGCATCGAAAGCTACGAGAACAAAGTGGAAATAAATGATAATATGTAAAAAATGGCGAAGTTTTCAAATTTTACAATCAATTATTTTATTTTACAACTTACTATTAGGGAAGGTTCTATTTCTGTTTACAATTATTTTTAATTATTTTTATTTATTAAAAAAAATAAACATTATATAATTATGAAATATAAATAAACTTTGAATATTATTATTTAATGTTGTTTTCCTATTACAGGTATGAGTATGGTGCAGGCACACCGAAATCGTCTCTAATGTTAAGGTATAAAATAAAGTAATTTATAAAAAGGCTGTCGTTGATAAAGAACCAAATCACCGAAGAAAAATCTGGTGCGCCCAACACACAACTTTCACTTACCGCTCAACTTTTAATAGAAATTATTTTCTGGGCATGTTGGGCTATTATAAAATTTTGTAATTGCATTTTTAACTGAGCTAAAGCTAAAAGATTGCAGCTAACAAATCATAAATACCATTAAAATAACAAAAGTCCTATTTATTATAACATGATTATGGATTGTACGATTCGTTAATTATTGATTGTAGGATCCATTGATTATGGATTGTACGACTATTAGTTATTAAACTGTTATTTTCAATTGCAAAGTTTACTAAAATGGAATAGAGAGATTTTGCATTGTCTGTCATAGACATGTCAAAAGTTGTCACACTGATTGTAAGTGGATTCTGTTGGAATATCGCAAAGGGAAAATTTATCAAATTATTCACTAATTTAATTTTTTTTAAAGTTACATAATGATTTTTCGGAACAAACGGACGATAGATATCTAATTATTTAAATATAATGTCAGATATGCAGTTATTAAACTACAGTAAATATATTTAAGGTTATAAACGTATCACTTCTTCTTTCACACAAGTACAATGAAATAGTATCTTAAACAAAGTCATTGCCTTGAATCCGTGGGTTTTAAATACTTTTTCAAACTTAAAAATTTTTTTTTTAAGTTTTCATTTAGAAGGAAAATTTCATTTAATTTCCTAACAAGTTATTATTTGTGTTGTTTTCGCCACTATTCGTTACATTTTACCACTTTTTATATTAGATACTGTTTTTTCTAAAATTCTCCTCTTTCCAACGATATATCATACGTATCATTCTGACCAGTATTTCCGGAGATTCATTATTTTTTTTCTCCTTTATTTAATGTAAGGCATATATCTATCTTAAATATGTAACATCAGTTTCGTACGGCTTTTCGTTTTCGAGCTAGAATGTTCACATAAAAACAGTCACACAGACCATTTTTCGGGGCTTGGTTATTTGGACTCAGGGGAACTCAAAAGGTGTATTTTCGTTGAAAACTTGGATTCAAAAATTTTCACGATAGCAATACTTACACTTACTATATATTACATATATCAGTAAGTGAAAGTAATATGAAACAGTATAACATTACCTAATAACAATAATAATTTATCAAACTAATCTGTACATATTTGATAATAACTAAAACCTATGAAGGATCTTGGGGTTAGTAATTTGTTAGGAAGTATTGTTTCAAGGTCAACGGCTATGGTGTGAGGTGATCGAACCAGGACCACGCTCAACAATCGCTTTCTTCCTCATAACTGATTATTTTAATTAAAAGTACCCACTTTTAGAGGCTGGGTTTGTTCCAGAAAGGTCTCCTGACCACACTGTTGATTAACATCTGATGAACAGGATAAATAATTATCTTTCACAGCTGAATTCTAACTTAGAACCTAAAGCTTAACAGCTCAGTAACTCACTGTGATACTCCTCTCCCGATTTAAAAGGGATTATGATTTTAAAAATTCTAGAATAGCGCCTTTCTCGGAACGGCTAAGTCATTATTGAAATAGATATAAATTATTTCTATTTTAGTAATTAATAGACACTTTGTTGAAGAGAGTAAGAAGAAAAAGTAAATAGAAATCGCTACCATATTTTTCAATCATACATTTTCCTTTCTTATCAAATAACAAAAAAATCTCTCTTCCCAGCCATAAACATTTCTGAAAGTTGCAGTTCCTTTGCATAAGATACAACTTTCTCTACTTCCAAATACAACTATCTATCCAAATTCAGTGCCAGAACTACGGTTTCAATAGGTTTCCTGTATTGAATTTTATGATTTTCTATAAATTTATGTGTTTTTGCCACACCTTAACCAAATATCTTTATATTTCAAATTATGCTGAGGTACATATGTTTATTAAACAAATACATATATAAACTATATATCCCAGTCAGGAAGCCCCGAAGACATCTTCTTGACAAGTGACGCGGCATGATGGGACAATGCCGCAGGGTATAGGAAAGCAACCAAGCAATCTGACTGCAGATGACATCATGGCTCCTCTGTATGTCACCTTACCTAATAATATCTGTGTAGTTGTTCTGAGTGTTAATAACTGGATGTTTCTCTCTACTGCTAAGTGCTCAGTTAATGTGTCCTGTAGGCGTGTTAGCTTCAAAGCCGAAGGTTTAATGTTACTGTCTCATTACTCGCGGGATGAGAGGTGCCTTGCATTCCTATGGAAAGGTAGTACTAAGCTCTGTTGTGGTTTCATCAAATATATATCTACAGCCACACTGCAAAAGCCTGTAAGAACAATAACTAAAAATTTTCAGGAGAAAAAAAAACTGCCGTAATTTTTGTTGTATGGACATTATATTTTTGTTTCAATTTTTTTTTTCAGGCCTGAGACAAGGATGTAATGCTCTATGTAACTATTTTGATCGTATTTCTGCCAAATAATCTATAAGTAAAGTTATCAAATTTACTGGAGTAACATCCATAACACTTAATGATTACCAAAGCACGACAGGAACAAAGTCAGTTTCCCAAATGTAGAGAGATGGTACTTCAAATGAAAATTTGTAAAAAATCTGACTGGAAAGCGATTATTTGATCAAATAGGTTATTCAATTTTTTTTTCTCCCACTGTAGGTGCGATTCGTACGAACTATCCCATTTTGGAATAGTCTATGAAACTTGGTTTGCTTCACGAATGCTTGGTAAGTTCTAGGTAACCTACTGATGTGTAGATAACTTCATTTTTCAGCTTCTTTCAAAGATTTATTGGTTTGAAAAGAAGAAACTAGAGTTCAATTTTCGTCTCGTCTTAATTTTTTCTATTAATGAAATCAATTCTTTATCTCTCACTATCTGGGATTTGGCGGCATTGTAGCTTTTTTCCAGCCCAGCTGCAGTGCCCCAGGTTTCGATTATTTTGAAGGCGGTTTAATATTATATTCCCACTTACCACTCTCTTCTTTGCTTCGTCTAATTTCATGGTAAGCAGTGCCGGCCTCAGAGAAAGGGAACCCGGGCATTTGCCTAGAGGCCCCGTGCTTGAGTGTTTCTCCACTTATATTTAAAAAAATAATACCAAGCGTATAAGAAAAATTAATGTTGGCGTATTAATAATACTAATTGATACTGTAGTCTATGCGCACAACGCTTAATACATTCAATATTTATATGACCACCTTTAATTGAACATATTATTACGTTTTTTCGGTAACGACACAATCTCTATAACCTTCATTGTAACTTACAGTTTTTCACATCACAATTTGCTGATTTTAAATTACAGATTTTTACAAAAGGCCATAGAGAAGAATTGAAACATCGTGGATTTCATTTTCTGAGATTAGAATATGCGCTGGGACAAGATAAGCTCAAAATCTCATTTTCCAAAAACAATTGTCTCAGAGACTTTTGCTGAGTGAGTGTGGCTTTCGATATGTCATACATAATAAATTTTAAAAAATACGTGTTTTTTTACTCAATAATTTCTACAAATATATTGAACATAAACTAATCCCTCTCCTTAATCATAATCATTTGAAATAGTCAAAAGGCTTTCCATAAATCAGAATGGATAGCTAATTAGTTTAATTGTTTCAGGCCTATCAGCTTAATAATTAAATAAGATTATATAATTGCAAATAGCTCTGAGCACTGCTTACTGCAGGAAAATTAACTGAAGTTATTTAGGAACAAAAAAGACCTATGTGGTGTATAATGTGAGAATGATTACCGGATGATCATCGGACAATAGAAACTCGGTTATTCTTGGGTGCAAAATCTTGGTATCTCTGAAATTGTTTTTGATACCTATGTTAATGAATACATCCTAGTTTGAAGCCAAAACAAGATTATGTCTGGATTTGCTGATTTATTTAAAGCCTAGGTAGATAAATCTAGTGCCTTATAATATGGCGATGATGGCTTTTGATCAAGTGGCTTAGCTTATGTCACCAAACATTTTCGATTACCTGATTTTTGCATCAGACTTTCAGTTGTTAGTTGGGGTTTAAGGCGTAAAACCTCGAGGGCATCAACGTCTGTGTTTATTTTGAACAAGATTATATATAGTTTAATGGATATACAGTCTTTCTAATTTCTAAGAAGGTTAGTCTTTTTTTTTTTAATTTTTTTGATAACACGTTAAATTGACTTAGTGTACTTTATCAGTTAGACATTGGCTTACCCCCTGACGCAGTGCGCCGCCGTGAGAACGTATCTGTCGTTAATGAGCATCCCCCCGCAATAGAACCTGTTGAAGTAGGACAGCCTCACCATCCAAGGAAACTCGTTCATGTCTGTCTCTTGTCCTCCCACGATCCGAGTAGCCTCGTTCCTCTCTCCACAACCTGGTCAAAAAGGAAATATTAATTTATTTTGTGCGCATAAGGTTTATCGGTAAAATATATGTTGTGTTTTCTAAATTGGAAAATGTGTTATTTAAAAAAAAAAAAAAGCTTTAGAATTCGTCAACAGAAGCTCGAAGAATAGGTTCCTTTCTTTCCAAATACAAATTAAGCACGCGGAATATAAAAAATATTTGAAGTAATTTCTAAGTAAGCAGCCCATGAAATGGCCGATATTTTTGTTAGCATATATAACTTTTTTTTTCGATTAGCCCTTATCTCATCATTTATGACATAGAGGGTAGGTATTCTAACCTGGATGGGAAGAGAGACTTCTCTCGTGAGTCCGCCCAGAAATAAATTTAATCTGCCCAGGCCGGATTCGAATCGCTTTTGCTAGACTCGAGAATGTTAAAGTTTACGTTTAACACGCTCAGCCATCTCAACGTCAACATTAACATAGATAACTTTTGATCATTGGTTTATTCAACTCAAACAACTTTATGAATTAATATCGTCAAATAATTTTACTTGGCATACCTTGCTTTAACAAACGCCAATACGCTTGGTGATTAATTAATCTGGTTTAAAATAATATGCCAGTGTTGTAACGTTTATCAAAGGTTTCCATACCCCAACGTTCGCATAGAAAAATGCATAACCCCATAAAAATAAGTTTCCTTAACAATTTTTTAATGCGCAATTAAATTAAAATATAATTATGATAAACAACATTATTTAGGTTATTCATATTTTTTTGCGATATTTTTAATAATTATTATATTTAATCTATTAATGATTATGTATTTATCATAATTCGTTTATAATCTCACAGCTTTTTGTTTTACATTTAAAATATTTTAAAAAATAAATTTATTTTTTAAATTACTTTTTTGAGCTGTAACTCTAAATAAAATAGTTTTTTAAATGTTTATAAACATGTTTTAAATAAATGTCTGTGAGATTATAAACAGGTTTTGATAATCATATAATCATTAATACATTAAATATACTATAAAAATATCATGCATAATATGAGCCTTTCAGTTGACAGAATGACTAACTCCAATTTCAACATTTTTTGAGTAGTCACTTCTAATGATATTTCTAGTTTGAAAATTTATAAAATCTGTACATTCAGTGAGTAAGTTGATTCCAGAGTAGGTCATGGCAGTGTTGAAATATAGAACTGTGAATAAAGGTATAAATTTTCCCGCTAGGAATCTCAATATAATTGATAATTAAATATGTTAAAATTGGAGTTAGTCATTCTGTCAACTGAAAGGCTCATTTTATTAGTGTTGTATTAATATATTGCTCTGGCATGGTTTGCCTTGAGACCAAACTCCACAGAGTGGCTTCAGGCTCTTCTAGATCTTCTGGGATAACCTTTGACCAACTCTAACCGGGATCCTTTCCCCTATAGCGACTATGATGGTCTCAAATTACGTAGATAAATCTAGCACTGCTGCATTCAACATTACCACATAATCTTTTCACGGCTTGGTCCAACTCGGAGTCACGACCACGAGCTTTATGGGATTTCTTAGCATGCCATAACTGTTTTAAAATATATTTTTAAATCATTGGTAAAACTACTAGTTTTCTTGCTAAACATCTATGTGAATATTAAAATTTTAGATAAATTATTATCATACAATCAAATAAAAAAAATATATTGAATTTGCCATATATTTACGGTAAAGTATCGTTTCACCTTTACGAGTTATAGATATATAAATCATTATTAAAAAAAAAAAAAAAATCCATCCCAATACAATCCATGAAGAGTCTTTGTGTTCAGTACTATGGGAGAAAGTAACTGTTACAAGGCCGAATTTAATTAAAGATACAAATTGTACAGAGAGATGATTGAGTCGAAATCACGCTCTACCTCGAGGTTTTCTCCCTTGATTAATTATTTAATTAAGAGCACCCAAATTATAGAGAGGCTGAGTGTGCCCCATGAGGGTCTCCCAACCTCAGAGTCGATCCACAGCTGATGGAAAATTACTAGTCATCAGCCGGATTCGAACCTGGGACATTGAGCTCTGAAAGTCAGTGCTCACCCACTGAGCTACCTCGCTCCCCAATAATTATTTTAAGTTAACGTAAATCTCCGATTAAATGATGGTATTTCCACATTTTCAGTAATTATGATGTCAATCCCAGAAATAAAATCTAAATGAAACAAAAATATATATTTTTTTAAATTTAAAAAGGGATAACCCTCCGAGGGGTCTGAAAAGAAGATGGCCTCGGGATCTTCTAATATAGAACTTTAATTTGAGTTCTACCAATTTTCTCTTCATGTTGTACATGTCATGTTACCAATTTCGAATTTACTTATTGTATTTTCTATGTAATACAGTTGTAAATTGCATTAAAATAATAAAAAAAAAAAAATTAAAAGGATTAATATGCTTTAAAAAAGTAATGAACTTTACAAATTCAATAGTTCGCCACTATGTTGAATGGTTTTAATTTTCTACTATACTCGAAAATTGTATTTACTCAAATGCACAATGATGATTAAGACATTCAAAGATGCTTTCAATATATATATTTTTGTATTCACTAATATAACATCGTGTCACTTCAACAATAATTATAGCGAGATAAGACCACATTCATGCCATATATACAGAATACATAAAATAAACAGAAGCAAAATAACAACTAAATAATAATCTAAAAATATATACAATAATTAAAAAATAAAATATCTTCAAATAAGTAAATTAAACAAAACAAAAATTCAGATATACTTATATACAATATTTACAATCATGCTAGGGAACTCCAAGCCAGTCTTGTTCCTCCAACTATAGAAGGAAAAGCAGGACTTCAGGAGATCTCTATGCTATTCTCTCATTCCCGTCACTGATGCTAAAGCCAGTGGAGATTGAATGAGAGTGACATTAAATAAAAAAAATTTTAAAAATGGACAATTCGACTTCAAAATTGAGAGATTCTATAAGGAAAATATTCGTCTGAGATTATTTTTTAACGTTCGAATTAAGATTTTTTTGGAGAAAAAAAAGACACCTAGAAAATTATCTCTTTGTCCTATCGCTTTCATTACAAGAAAAAAAAATCATTTTCATACAATAATCAGTAATAAAATATAAAAAAAATTTCTCTCCATGATTTATGAGAGTTCTAGTAACGTTTCCTATCGCGACATATATTCTGTAAAGTACGCTTAGGTTTCTCTTCTGCTGGATAATTTTTTTAAAACATCTTTTCACTTAAAGTTATAATATATTAAATCATAGTCACTTGGGTCAACCTCTCTCCCCTGGCCGCTTTCAAATTTCCCTCTAATACACTAAAAAAGGAGAGATATAAAACGATGTTTTGTTGTTACTCTTTTGTGGCAACAATGCTAGATTTCTTCAAACAAGGCTGATTAATCCTGTTCAGTAAAACTTTAGGTACAACATAAAACATGTTATTTTGCATTAATTTTGCCTCTTAGCGATAAGTATTATTTTATAACATTTATTAGCAAGTTGAAGCTCTGAGTGAAAGAAAAAAGATCTCCACGACATGTTACTTTTATTTTTTGTACGATGATCAATCAAGTTTTTATTAGAATTTTTCTTTTTCTTGCTTCTCCATCCTAGCCTCTGTTGAAAGCTGAGTAACCAGCGAAGAGAAGTTGGGTTCGAAGGAAGAAGGATTTATTTTTTTTATTTATTTGAACTAGAAAAATAGAAACCTAAGTAAGTCCGCATGAAAAATTAGAGGAGTTAAATGCAAAAGCATATTGGTTATACCAATTATTTACATATAGTAACTAAGTATTGCCAAGTATTATTAACTATTTTGCCTTCATTTTTACTAAAAAAATCTATCTTTTTTTACCTGTCCTTGTCTTGGTCTTGCAACAGTTAGGCGGCCTTGGTCTTGGTCTTTCAAAGTGCCACAATGTAAAAATATAATTAATAATAACCTATTTGATACGCTATTTATGTTTATTGATATATGTAGTCAGTTTGAAGATCGTTTATCTGAAACTATATGAAAAATTTCGAATAAAAATTGGTATTGTTTTTGTTTCTAGTGGACCATACGTTTCGCTAAAAATTGTTTAACTGAAAAATGAATATCTGACAAGCTAGAAATATCTGCGAGATACCACTTTCCCCCACCTCATTAGAACAGCAACCTTAAAGGAATGAGTGGAACGAAGTTTGGAAAATCAATTAAAAAAAGTAACATTTCCTAAATATTTTGACATAAGTGCTTAGCCAAAACGGCCTAGAACCGAAGCAGCTAGATTTATAAAGAAGCGTATAGGCGACAAAGCTAAATCTAAGATGAAAAGATGATCTGATATATTGACAGCTGAATTGACAATGGCCGAGTCTTATTGAAAGGAGAATCCAACGGAACTCCCTCCAGCCGAGGTGGCTTTCTTAGGACAGGTGCCGGCCTTTCGGTTATCTTAAGGCTCTGTCTATTTTTGCTTTTTCATTCGCCCATTGCAAAAAGGATGTTGAATGCAAATTCAACAAAACCAAAAACGCAAAAAGTAAAAAGAAACAGACTTTCCATTCTGATTGGGAGAGTGATGGGCCTCCCCAAAAAAGTCTTGGAGTTTTTTTTTTATGTATAAAATTATGAGTGATGAATAACATAATTATTATAAAACGCCTAATATAATACTCTAAATAAGGTTAAATTTATATATATTTACTAGTTTTCTTTCTTTTTTAAATGAATATATTTGAATATATGTTAATAGAACAATTTAATTTATTACCTTTTGTTTTTATGTAAATTGACTTTAAGTCCTTACATAAGTCGGTAGCATACAAAGGCTTTATTAATTTTATTTACTCTTGCCGCATTACTATTCATTATTGAATTTACAGCAAACATAATATATCTTCAGAAATGAAGTCCGGGTTGTTGTAAGAATTGAAAAAATTAATATATTGTGTGACATACTAATCATAAATTAAACCTTGAAACTGCTTGACGTTTCCGACTGC